CTTTATATACAGTTAGTTTAGTACAATAGTTCCTCCAAAGGCTTCCAAAATAAATCTGAAGGGTCATGAGATACTTAACATGAGAGTGAAGGAAAAAATACACACATCAGTATTCACACAGTGAGTTTGAACTTTTGGTTAAATATTAAAGAGTTTCACCTCTTTGCACCTGAAACTGTTATGTAAATGAACAATTTATAGAGATATGGGGTGTGGGGTCAAGAGCTAAGGAGCAAAAAAGGCATTATTTCTCTCCAAACTGCAGTCAAGTGGCAGATAATGGAAGTGCTTCAATCAAGAGCTGGGATATTTGGTTTCTTCCATCACTGAAAGTTATCAGACTGAAGTCTTCAAGATAAAAGAATATAAATGGAAACAAGGACTCTAATACTGAGTAATTATCTGTTTCTTTCTCTTTTTTTGTTTGTTTTGCTTTTGTTTTTTTGGATGGACAGATTTGCTGGAGGATTCCTAGAGTGAAACTTTTTCTATGTAAGATGAAGAACAGGCCATTTGCCCATTTGCGTTTTTTTCTTTTTCTTTTTTTTTTACTTATTGAACAAAATACTGTAGGGAAAAACTCCTGGACTAGACTCTGAGTGAATAACTCAAACTCATTTTCTTTAAATTCACAGCATATTCTCATTATTTTCATATCTATATTTGAACTGATGAATTCTCAAAGTGCAGCAGACAGGGGTTTAGTTCCATCTTCTGCCAGGGATGTCATTTTGTGCTGCTGTTGACCTAGAAATTGTCCCTGGAATAATCAAATATACATTAAATGTATCTGCTTGCATGGAAAATCATGTCTGGATGAACTTCAAACAGCATTGGGCTGTCTGTAATCTACCAAATGAACTACATGGTTCATATTAGAGATGTGTCACACAATATAGTGCCCCAAAGCCTTTTTCTTTAACCAGTATTCTCTGAACAGTTGCCTCACTCCTCCCTGATCCTCCCAATGTAGTTGTAGGCGGTGATTGTCAGATGTGTCTGCTGCATCTTCTTTCCGAGAGCTCTTCACAGGGGAAATATTTCCAAGATTTATTGTCTACATAATGCCTGTAACACTAAAGGGTATACAATGTTTACATTGACAGCTCCCCGTCAAATAAATCCTTGTTTGCAGAGGCAGGGCACAAACTGAAGACAATTTTAATGCATCTGTTGTTTGGAGGCTAAGCAGAGTGACAGGTATTTCATCAAAGCAATGACAAAAATCTGAAAATGACATTCAGTCGCATGAACAGTCAAGAGTGTCATGCTTCTTATTAATGTAGCACTCGGCTCTAATGTCTTTCTGTCTTTGCACTCTCTTCCAGGATCTTATCTATTTGTTTTCAGCTCATTCATCATTGTGTTTTTTCTCGAGAAATGTGTTTTTTTCACATTAGTTCTCTCTGCAGGAGTCATAAATTTTCCTCTTTTGTCATGTCCTGGATCTGGTTGGAATATGACTTTGAAAAATTCAACATAAAGAGCTATGTTTAATTCACTCAATAGGATTATACCTGGAAACAATGCACAGATTTATTACATCTTCAAATACAGAAGTGTTTCGCAAACTGTAAAAACAACTTCAAACTTAAATATCTTAATTTTAGATCCAAGCTGCTGCTACCTCTTGGAAAGTTTTTATCCATGTGGGGGCGGGTGACTAATAAAACCAGTTTGCTTGTGGTGGTCTGAGCTTGCTATGGATGCTGTGAGTGAGTGAGTGAGCGAGTACGCGTGGGTGAAGCTTCCTATCTATTGAGGGAGAAAAAAACACAGCAGCACTGCACTCGCTCACAGAGTGAGCCCACTTCAGCTCCCCATACAGCTCCCATTGATGAGAGCGCCACTTTTCGCCCCCGTCTCCCCCATCGAGCTGCGTATCATGCATTAGATGCTTGAAGAGAAGCTGCAAAAGAGAAAACAGACAAATATAGGATAGGTCAGGCTGAGATAGCTTTACTGAAAGACTGCTTTTCCTTACCATGTGCTACTTATATCCTGGTGTGGTAAATGGTGAGGGTGAGGTGTGTATGTGAGGATGATGCTACAGGAGGTGTCTGTTGTCACATTTTGAGGGGTTACATGAAAAATAAATGCTTCATCAAAGTACTTTTAAACCTTGTTAAAAACACCTCTATGGTCTGATGCAAAACTGATGCAAAGATATTGAATTCTCAGAAGTTTGCTGACACCTTGAAGCCAATCAGAATTAAGCATCTTGGTGTCGACCTTGGTATGAATAAGTAGTAGTGGCCTTTGTTTTCTTTTTAATTCTGTGAGCGATCAATGCTGGCTGCGTTGGACCTGAAGGGCAGTGAGTGGCATAGGAACAGCAGCTTTAGAGACTAATGTCCAGGTTGTTTGGCAGGTGGGGAAAAGAGAAGTGGACGTGCATGATGGTCCGTCCAAGTTCTGCAGGGAAATGAAGTGCTACTCTCATTTTGCTCTGACATCCTGACTTTAGAAAGCCGGCATTGTTCCTGACACTCACAGCTCTCTGGCAGCTAAAGTCACCTCGAGGCAAGAGAGTGAATGAGCGCCAAAAGACGGTTTAGACCAGCGCCATTTACGTGCCAAGGTTTGAATCTACAACAGCAAATAGTCAATAAAACACCCTGTGGTGGACAATATGCTCTGATAGGCTTCTGCTACTAAACAATCCATGTATTTTCAGTGGCTGCTAACCTTTGCTGTCTGACAGCTCATCAGATTAGCAGTTCATCAACCCAGCCATAAAAAATATAAACTGTATGAATTAAAAACTGGACAGATCCAGTTATTATTGTTGCTAACATTGCACTGAGTTTATATAGGAAAATTGTCATCGATCAAATTGTCAACTCTTCACCCTCGCTCGGGTTCTTGAGGGGAGATGGGAGTTTGCCCAACCAGTCCACATGTGTTTTGTGGACTTAGAGAAGACCTACAACTGTGTCCCTAGGGGAATCCTGTGGGGGGTGCTCCGGAGTATGGGGTGGAGGGTTCCTTATTAAGGGCCGTCCAATCCCTTTACGAAAGGACCATGAGCTTGGTCCGTGTAGCCAGCTGTTAGTCGGACTCGTTTCCAGTGAGAGTTGGACTCCGCCAGGGCTGCCCTTTGTCACCGGTTCTGTTCATAATAATTATGGACAGGATTTCTAGGCACAGCCGGGGGGTAGAGGGTGTCCAGCTTGGCAGGCACAGGATCGCATCGCTGCTTTTTGCGGATGATGTGGTACTTCTAGCTTTGTCGAGCAGTGACCTTCAGCTCTTGCTGGGGCGGTTCGCAGCCGGGATGTGAATCAGCACCTCCAAGTCCGAGGCCCTGGTCCTTAGTTGGAAAAAGGTATAGATTGCTTTCTCCAGGTCAGAGGGGCGGTCCTGCCTCAAGTGGAGGAGTTCAAGTATCTCAGGATCTTGTTCACGAGTGAGGGTAGGATGGAACGGGAGAGCGACAGGCAGATCGGAGTGGCATCAGCAGTGATGCGGACGCTTAACCGATCATTCGTGGTGAAGAACGAGCTGAGCCGTAAGGTGAGACTCTTGATTTACCGGTCGATCTACGTGCCAACCCTCACCTATGGCTATGAACTTTGGGTAATGACCGAAAGAACAAGATCGCGGATACAAGTGGCCGAAATGGGTTTCCTTCGCAGGGTGGCCGAGCTCTGCCTTAGAGATAGGGTGAGGAGCTTGGACACTCCGGAGGCACTCAGAGTAGAACCGCTGCTCCTCCACATCGAGAGAAGTCAGCTGAGGTGTCTTGGGCATCTGGTTAGAATGCCTTTTGGACGCCTCCTGTTAGAGGTGTTTCAGACATGTCCCACCCGGAGGAGACCTAGTGGCCGGCCCAGGACCAGGTGGAGGGATTATATCTCTTGTCTGGCCTGGGAGCGCCTGGGAATCCCCTCGGAGGAGCTGGTGGAAGTGGCCGGGGTGAAGGCCGTCTGGGCTTCCAACCTGAAGCTGCTGCCCCCACGACCCGGACCCGGATGAAGTGGAGGAAAACGATGACGACAAATCGTCAATTTGTAGTCTGTGGTTGCCACTCAATCTTCTAGAGACTTATATCACACCTTTTTTTGCATTTAGAGAGTGGTTTCAACTCTTTCCATTTATTTCAAAAATTAAAATATTCAAAGTGTTTCATTTACTTTAAACAGATCCCGTCTTTTTTCAAGGCATAGCAACTCAAGTCCTGTATCCAGGCTAAATATCTTCTTAATATCAGTAGTAGTAAATCTTTAATGGTTTCTCTGTTTCCCCAGCTCCTGTCTTTTCCTAGTCAATGTTTCACAACCAACAACCTTAATGTTACAGAAACGCTATCTCCTCTAATTTAAGCTCACTGTACCACTTTGTCTAAGGTAGAGAAGTTATCACCAACAGAAAGTTCCTCAGAAGAGCTTTAAATCAACTTTCTAAAACAACTTTTCACTAAAACTTGTATTTTCACAATCTCAACTCTTAATCAAAAGCAGTTCCTGAACTAACTCTTAAGGGGGTTGTTGATTTGTTGTGCTGTAGAGGTGTACGCTCAGGACCAGCACTCTCATTTAAAGAACTGAAGATTGCAATATTCATGGTTTCTTAAAACACAATGATTCAATGTAATGGAAGAAAAAACACAGAAATTACCCAGTTCAGACAGAAAAAACATGACCAGAAAAGTCTGATCTATTTTGTTAATTGACCCACCTTATCATCTATTTTAATAGAGCCACCCCTTAGAGTTCTAGCTATCTGATAAATTTGATTTGAATTCTTAAACTTACACTTTCCTTTAATAATCGATTGCACTTTTTCACACCATGAAAGATGACCAAAAAAGTTTTTGACAGAATATGATTGGAGTTTTTTCTAGTTATCAATGGAATTATAGATTATCAGGAATACTGGACACAGAAACTAACAGTGTATACTGTTTTTGTTGCAGTAACAGTGAGAGGTATTTTTGAATTAGTTTCTTAAGGTCAAAAAAATAATAATCAAGATAAAAAAAAAGATAAGGACAAGGCTGAAGACGCCACATCATTCATGCCGAATGTTTTTATTGACTATATTCACAGTACGTCATATACACAAGTTACTGTCCTGACAAGTGCTCTGAAAATCTGTGTACAATTAGAGGATGACCTTTGACCTTTCTTGAGGTTGACTCCCTTCTGTTTAGCCACTAGATCAGTTGCTGGTATCAATTTTTTTAATAAACCTCCTGGCAATCTGTTTTCCCAAGAAATTCATTTACAAAGTAGACAATACACAATCTGTTAGAGCATTGACAAAGAAAACAACTAGCCTATTATTAAGGTCAAATAAAACTGCTGTCAACGACTATGGCAAAAGGTAGGTAGTTCTTCAATTTAATGAGCTGATTTTTCATGTAAGTACAGCAAAGTCTTTGTGGAAGAGCAGTTATCTTTCTCTGCACCGTCTGCTCTGTCTTTGTTATTGTGGTGGTGGAATACCTCCGTGGGAGTGTTTCAGCCCAGAAATAAAGAGTCAGTCGGATCAATATGCAGTCCATCCACTCATCTTGTTTTCTCTGTCTTTCTGGTTTGGTCTTTTCATTTCGCAGGCAGCCCCCGCTTTCAGGAGAGCGAAGAGATCTTTTATAACCCAGTCTTCTCCTCTCTTCCCAGATGACCACATCTTCTTCTCTATTTACTAGACCTATACCAGTACTATACATGTCCAGGTTTGGACAGGTAGGCTATGAGGGCCACCACCACCCCCACATACATCCCTGTCCCGACGGTGATGGACAAAGCAGCCAAGAACAAGGCTCTTCTGGAGTTCATTCCTGCTCTGGAGAAGTCTCCCTTAGAGATGGCCTTGCCAGTCTGACACAGAAAAAAGAGGAAAAAAAGCAGAGAGCGGCATGAGCTGGTGTGTTACTCATCAGCGCTGAGTGTATGAGTAGGTGTTAAGCCACAGTTAAAAGAGAGAAAACAAGAAATGCTCTCAGGGAGCCATTAGTAACCATGGCAATTAGGTCATTATACCTCTGCTGACAGTGACAAATGTGTTGTTTGGGTGTTTGGGTTTCCTATCAAAAAATGAGCCTGGCCTTTATTCATTCTTTTGACACACTATTTGCTAGTCTGTATAATTGTCTATCCAATTACTGTGGAAGATGTTGCTTAAGCACCTTGGATACGGTGCGCTTTGAGGTTGCAGGGCTGCATTTGAAAATCTTGGAGTGTATTACAAATGGGGTCTGAGCTCTGGAGGAAATAATAATATGAAGCCAGAGCACATCTCAGACAGAATTCACTCATCATCAAAACCTCAATGTTAATGGTTTTCTACTAAAAACCGTAGAGTGAGACGAAACTACTGAATTTACATAGTCAATCATCTGAAACAACTGCGAGGAGGGTCACAGGGTGGAAAATGGGCTGTGGTAGCACTTGTCTAAGTACCTACGCTGGCTGACCTTAAAGAGGAAGCATTGTAATCAAAGTTAATGACAGGATCGAGCTCTGTGGGCCTTTACCTTGTGAGAGTAGTAAAAGGCAACGATGCCCAAGGGCCAGAAGCAGCAGAGCATGGAGAAGATGGCGAGGCCCAGGTAGTCCCGAGGGGGTAGCACGATGAAGTTGTCCTCGCTCTCGCTGTCACTGGAGCTGTCACTCTGGGAGACAGCAGGGTGATGAAGAAGAATTGTCAGAAAAGGAGCAAATGATGGATTTTTTTACATGCACTACTACCTACAAGTGGTTCCTCCAAGGGCTGCACAGTAATTGCAATGTCATTGTTTCTACAGCGTGAGGGTTTGCAATGAACAAACCAAAACAGTCTGAATTCAATGCAAACAACAGACAGGATGGCACTGAAAGTAGAAAAGCAATGATTTCTCACTGAGCATGCTCAGACTTTACTTCTGGATGTAGACCGGATTAAAATAAACTGTCTATTAGCCATCTTCAGATTAATTGGTGCCAATTTTGAGTTTTTTGGGGGCAGATGAGGAAAAAATGTCGGCCTGTTGTATAAAACACAAGGAGCAGCTTGAATATTTGTTTACTCATCATTCTTATATCATGCTGCTACGTGAATAATGTATTTTTTTCTCACACTCTTTCAAAACATCTACAAAACAAGCTATAAGGTTAATGCACTGATCTTGACATTTAAACCTCCGTATAATTGGAGGAATGTTGACATGTGGATAGTCAGGTGTATTTTGGACATCTTCACATGGATAAAGTTTGACAACTTATGCCACACCAGGACAGTTTATATACCCTGTTTCCCCACCACCCTGAAAAAGGATGTGCTTAGCCAGCCAGAGAGGATTTGGTGCTTCTGTCAACACCCATGAGCGGCCTGACAGATAACACAGGATTAAAGGATTGTCCCATCATTGCATGGTGACAGGGGAAACAGCAGGAAGACAGTGTTGTCTATGTGCTAAATTACTTCTACAGCAGGCAAGACCTCCAACGTCTCTGCCCAATACACCCGTCGTCCTCAAAAGCTGTAAGTGTTCAACAAGCTCCAGGTCCTGGGCCTTGAAACTCAGGGCCATAAGGCTGAAGTGGGCGAATAAATGAAATGTGTGAACGCCACTCTGGGTACATTGGCACACAGTGCCTGCAGCAAGGATGGCAATGTTACTCCACAGGTGACCTTTGAGAGGACGCTGCCTTTCTTCGCTCAGCTGTCCCAGACACTGAGTGGATGTTTGTCTAAATAAATTGGTGCAAGAAGGAGCAGCTTTCATTAGTCTTGCTGCCTGTAGGGATCAATCAAAGCGTGGAAAGAGACGGCACAAAATTGAAATCGATATATAAGGCAGGGACTGAACTGGCCATTTTAGAGGTAATTAGAGAAGAGTCAGGGAGGCAGGCAAAAATACAAGCCATACATGTTCACTGATTTAGCTCTCAATGTCATCTACATTTACCAAGCCACACAGTGTAATGTTATTATCTTGAGCGTTTCTGTACAGAAACTTTGTTCAGATGTTTGGGGGAAGTGCAGGACAGTAGAGCTATGCTATCAAAATAATGTCCAAAGAGCCACCTTGGCCAAAGAAAGATTATAAAGTGCCCTGTTATCTGCTCTGTGAACACTGTCCCCTTGGACAGCAGGGTGTGATCCATCAAAAACAACAGCTGGTCACAACCACATAATCTGCCATCACATGAATAAACCTGAGGAGGACATACAGCAGTCATCTCCCTTTATCTTTGCAGTAGGACCTGATAACAGGTCTGAGTGACTCTTGCGTTCAGTTCTTCTGACAGCTGCCCTGACATCCAGTCTGCCTGACTGGGATTACACTACCAGTCTGGTATGAAGCCAGATTCCCAGCACCTTTAATAACCCTGTCACTCCTCTCTCTGAGGCCTCATTACAGTCTGGGGGCTGCAGGTGACTCCCGAGCAGGGTGCCCATATACTCCTGCACCCTGTTAGTCTGGGCTGTCACTGTGATTTCCTACTCACGCTTCTGTTACATTTTTAATACAATTTATTTTTACTCCGTCACACAGATGTCAAACATCTGCTAAAAAAAAAAAAGAATTGCATTTTAGAGGTACACTACCTGAGGGCTTATCCAGACTTGTTTGACTTGGCAGCCCCAACATAAGTCTTGACTCATGGGGGAACAGCATTTGGTATTAGAGCTTACGCAAACAAGTTTTATTTGCATTTATTTAGCATTTTTGACTCCTTTTGATCACACTGCTCAATTTAGAGCTCCTGAGAGGAGTGTTTAGTTGGTTATGAAACTAAATAGAGCGAAAATATATGCCTCTGTTTGACCTATGAAGGCAAATGAAGCCATTAGTACAAAGACTGAGTAATTTTAGTTATTTCTAATGTCTAAATCTGCTGCCACAGGGTTAAGTGCCATATTGAGTAACATCACTATGTACAATACAGCTTTTATTTGCATTTTTAACTGTAAAGATTCACAATAAACAATTCTTCCTGCTTTGTCCACAAGAGGCACCAACGTTGACACAAGCCCATTTGGCTTCCTGGCAGGAACTGGAGCCACTGACTCTGATCTCTATGCTGATCATCCTGGTCTTGAGTAGGTACTTTTTCCTGATGTCAAATCTCATCTGGATGTATGTCAACTGTCAAGATGACCACACAGTTTACATTTCTCTCATTAAACATTAACAGAACAGTTCATTCTGACACCTACCCCATAGCAGAATGATTTGAAATTACAATGCAATGACCGGTCTTGCTGCTGATGGTCTTGTTTGCTTTTGTGGGTCAAATAGAGGTATCAGCATAAAATTTAGTCCTCAAACAGTTAAAACTCCTCACATACGCTTTAAGGCGTTTTGCAGTTGTATGAACTGTAGTGAACTGGTCCTGCAGAGGAGCACCTTCAGCAGAAGGTTCCTCACTCCACGATGCACCACGGAGCGCCACAGGAAATATTTCCTGCTGGTGGTCATCAGACTTTTTAACTCCTCCCTCAGTGACTCTGACACCCTCAGTCAGTAGTCTTTACCTGGACTCTGCTCACTGTAATACATGCATACGATGTCACTATTTGTGTTGTTTATAGTGTAAATACTTGTAGATTATCTCTATATTTTATCTATTTTACTTATTTTATCTATTTATCTCCAAATTTTTACTTGTTTAATCTATTTTATCATCTGTTTTATCTATTATTTTTTACACTTTTTACTTTTACTGTATTTGCACTGGAGCACTGTAACGAATGCAATTTCCCCCTGGGGATTATTAGGGTATTTCTGATTTTGATTCTGATTCTGTATCATTCCTGTTCACACTTAATTCTTGTAGTTATTAATTATTTTTGGAGCTAGAAAATAAGATGTACATGAAATAAGAGATAATTGAAATGCAGCAGAGGCTAGTCACAGCATGATGCAACACAGGTCAGTATAGTTTTAAAAATTGGTTTCTGGGGTGGCCCATCTCAATTGGGGCTGATGCCACCCCTCTGCACCTCCTAGACACACCCCTGTCAGATTGTTGGTCCATCCTGTTGCTAGGTAGAAAGGTGTTGTACGGTATTTATATTTGTTCCTCCTGTGGTCTGCTGTCTCCTGTATTATAGTGAGATGTGACATGTCACATCCTGAAAGTTGAGAATATGTCTGAAACCTTCTCTGCCCTGCTCTTTCTAACTTATTCTAACTCTGATAAAAATAGGCACAGGGATGCAGAGACACAAGAATGAAAAGTAGAGAGATGCAGGTGCTGAATAGAAAGTCTCATATTGCATCTGGAAACTAGAGCACTGTTCACATCCGATCCATTCCCTCCTTCAGTTTGATGTGGAATAACTTTGGCTCCAGGCTCACCTGCTCTGACAACCCTGCATCAGCACAGCCCTGCCTAATACCCTCACAACAGGGCATTACTTATCGCATTAATGGCAGTAGCCCCCACGTCTCTATCTATCTGCTGGGCCTCCAAGTGACAAGAGCTGGCGCGTCAGATGTTGCTATAGTTGCTATACTTCTTCTGCTCCCAGCTCTGAGCCCTCAGCGTTTCAGATATGCTGCGGATGAAATGAGGTTTTAAACACTGCTTAAAAGACTTAACTCTTTTCCTGCCATGGTTTCACAGCCATTATAGAACAGAAAGCTTAGTATAGGTGATCTTAGATGTGTCATTTTCCCAGGATGTAATTTTAAAACAAAACTGAACCATTACTCCACAATAGATTTCAAAGACTCAAGTAAATTGACCATTTAGAGAACAGAGCGAGAAGGGTGTGAATCACAGTGAAAGTCTATTAAAATGAAATAATAAGCCTCTCTGTATGCACCGTGACTCACTCTCTGCTGAAAGATGACTCTGACGGTTATGAGTAAGTGTTACAGCGCCTTTAATTTCATAAAGAAACTCAATCTTCTTATTCTATCGGAGCCTGTCAAACAGCTCTTACTTTGTCATTTTTTGCTTTAGTGTGTGTAGTCAGAGTGATTATTATTATCCTATTATAGCTGCAGCAGAAGTGTGAAACTTTTTATCATCACTAATTCTGCATCAGGCTGAACTCTGACTGTAGACGCTCCAGCAGATTTCACCACTAAAAAACTGCAGATGAAAGTATCTATGCCAGTTTTGTTCCCAGAGAATGAACTCTGACCTCGTACTCGGGACCCTGCTCCTCCTCCACATCGTATGACACCGTCTGGATCTTCGCATCCTTCTCTCCCTGTGTGCTGTCCGGGTTGTTTTCAGTGGAAACTGCATCCACCACAGCGTCCTTACTCTCTGTGAATGTGGTCTCAAAGCTCTCACTCTTGGAGTCCTTGCTGTGCAGACTCACGTCATCTTTGTACAGGATAAAGTTGGGCCTGTAGAAAGCCTCCACAGCCAAATGCAGGGATGTAGCATCCAGGTACTGTTGAGTCTTATGCTTGCCATTAGTCCCGGTGCAGTAGTACCCAATGAGGCCATCCTGGTAAGGCTGGCTTGGGTAGTTGCATTGGTGGCCCTGATAGTCATTTTGCACTACATGTTTGCTGTTTTTGTCGAGCAGAGGGTTCTGGAGCTCACTGAGGCTCTCCATGTTGGCACATTCAAACGTCTAGAGGATCAGAGGGGGCGGTCCAAAGAAGATTTGGCAGTCTGGTAGCTGTAGATAAATATCAAGAATGGTCACAGTTAAATTTGGATGATGAAAACTAAAACAGAAAGCAGTAACAAGCATTTCAGTCATAATCAGCATTAGGCTTTTTGCGCAACAATAATCTAGTACATGAATCCAGTAGACAGAAAATTTCATCCTGTTCAGAGACCTGCATTCCTCTCAAAAGCCAATCTGAGCCGGAAAATCACCATCTGCTGTATGTTTAACTGTTGCATCTCACACCTCCAGATTCATACAAACACACAGGGGGGGAATATTTTCCAAACGTCTCTGCTGCCTACATTAAAAACTGAGGAAAGTGTGGCAGGTGGTGCTTTACTTTGCACTGAAAACTGATCACTTTGACTGTAAGTGATCTGGCCTCTGGTTTTAGCTGAACATACAGCTTAAGACTATGAGAGGTGAGTGAAAGATGAGTATGAAATTAAGGCTTTGTGGTTAAAATGTTTGCTGTATACAAAGACAGATGTTATGTCTCCACCCTCTCTATCTACAAAAGTGATGCTAAACTGTCCCCATGATAGGAGCTTACTTCATTTGTTTACTTAATCTTTCACAGTGTTGAGTTGGTATTATTGTTAGTATTATTCTGTCATGTTAAAGTCAGGGCCTCTGTTGTTGCTGGTTGGGCTTGACTTGGTCATGTTTTGGTGCATGCAGTACCTTTAGGGCTATTTAGGAGATTTTTTTCTTGACAGTGACACTGTTTTGGGAAGTAGAATAACGTAATAATAATAACGCAATTCCATAAAGCATACTTATTTTCCTATTCTGTTTTGATCAAAGCAATGATAAATTTACTTTTAATCATAGACTGTATATAGAATGGACAGCGTCTGCCTCCTCGCTGGGTGAAGCCACTCCGAGAACAGCACCCTCTGTTGATGGGCTGCAGTATAGGTCATAAATCCCGCCTCCCTCAGCAAAGCTTATGGGGCTGTGGACAAATTTAAAAATTAATTACACAGAACGTACATTTTTCTCCTCCCTGCTTGTGATGTTGACATATAGTTAATGTAAGACTGGTTTGTGCTCAAGTCCTCTTTTTTTCTGTGAAGCTCAATTTTTAAAAGTTATTAGGGGGTTCATGTTTTCGTTAATTGACACCTGATACAGCCTATGTGGGTACAAGGATTGCATAGCTCACCCAAGGGATACACTGTTTGAGCCAAGCATCATCTCAGCGACTCTCTCGCTGAATGCGCACAACACTACTGCGCAATGCTGGTTTCAGGAAATGAAGAAAAATCGCGTAAATACCGAGAGCTTTTTGGCTTCAAATCCCTATACAGACGGGAGACGGAACCAAGTTGTCCATAGTATATACAGTCTCTGCTTTTAATCCTGAGTGAACTGGACTGTCATGTAAATAAATCATTTAACAACCATAGTTGTAATGCCTTTTTTAAGCATCAAGTAACTGACTGAAAATAGTTGTCTAAGAACATTATATTTCGGGTTATAAAACAGGATAATCACAACTTACTTAGAAACCATATTTGAAAAAATTCCAATGGGTAAATGTTTCTATTTTTTTTAGTTTAACCCTTATCTTACTCACATGGAAAAACAATCTGACTTGTACAACAGCAGGTCTGTAGGGGGAGCTCAAAATCTTTTGGCTTCACTTTGTCCTGCCATCATCTACTCCATCTTTTATGCTGTCGGAGTAAAAACATCAACACAGCTCATCTGTCAGTAGAGGTCATAAAGCAACAGGTCCACTTATTTGAGACTTTGTGATTCTGTCCATTATGTCTGTTTTCGGTGCACTGTTTTATTTTGAAAGTCTGGGGCATCTTTGGCCAACAATGATCAAATCCATTGAATGAATAATTTTCACCTTTTGTACCAGGATAATAAGGAAAATGTGCAACTACCATAATGATACAAGTAGAAAAGCAGTTAGAGTCACTTTATGCTTTGAGTATAAATTGCTTGGGGTGAAAATAAGTTTCAAGAAGAGAAGAGAATTGCTTTTAGTGGAAGTATTATAGGAGCCTGAGTGTGAAACGCTTTCTTGGGCTTCCGTGAAGAAATATAGTTCTGCAGTAGACCTTTGGTCCCCGTGACCCTGAGGGAACAGAAGCTCGTGCAGCGCCTGTGGGTCCCAGAGCTGTTTGGAGCAGAGAAGCATGAAGAAAGTGGGCCAGGCAGCGCTTCTGTCTGAGCCCACTCACACCAAAGACCGAGGCTCATATCTTCAACGCAGACCTGCGGTCTCCATCCCTAAATGCCTCAGAGGCTGAGCCACTCTCCAGATAACGGGGAATTCCATTACACACTACATTACACAACAAAAACCACATCCCACAACCACAAATAATTAATCTGACAAGAGATGATGTGCACTTAGCGCATGTGAGAGTGTGCTCAGACTCAACAATTATTAATGGTTGCGAGCACATACAGCACTCTCTGTCTCTCTTTTACCTCCTCTTTCGTCTTTATAAACAGTATAAACAGTACAATCACTCTTTTTCCCTCACTCACAGACACGTTTGTCCTTATTTTGATGACATCACATCTTCTTTGTACCCACATAACACTATAAAAATTTCATTTGCAAATTCTCGACTTGCTTGTAAAGGAAATCCTCCAATTTGCGCTGTTTGACAGATTGTTTAGAAGAGACATCTGGTATTTGCCTCACTATAATCATTCTTAAAACGATTTTGGGATACTTGAAGCCAAAAATCTTCAGAAAAACATCTTACCTTCAGTGTGCAATCCTCCCGCAGCCTTGCTCAGCATCGTTCCTCCGCGCAACTGAGTCTATATAGAGACAGACTGACGCTCCTTCCTACTTCACGTTATCAGTTAAGGTAAACTGCCATCGCAGCTCTCCTTACAACATGTGGCATCCGTGGAAAAGGAAGTTATTCCGTGTGAACGGACTTTGCTCGCGGGGCTCCTCTCGCCATGGCACCGCTGCTGCGTCTGACAGGTAGATTTTACGCACAGTGTGGCACCGAGCTCAGGCGCCAAACAACTCCGGCACAGGCTCAGCTGACTCCAGATAACTGAGTGGAAATGCGAGGCGCGATGTACACTTGAATACCGACCACGGATTTGACATTTGCCAACTCTCCCTACATTGCTTAGGCGTCTATCTCAAGCCTGGTGTCTCATGCGCTGGCTGGTGGTTTTACGCCCCCTCCTGAGGTTGCACTATTTTGTGTCATTGCATAAGCAGAGTCTTTACAAAGAGGTTGGTTGCCTCCTGTCAGAGCTACTGTTTTGGATTACATGAGCAAGCGTTCCTCAAGCTCATTTGGCTCATTGAATAATTGCACCGCTTGTATAACTTGCACAACTGAATTGCAGTTTGAGTGTTATTCCTCCCTGCTGAGAACGCCCACTTCGTGTAGCTATACAACACAGCACAGAACTTCACAGGTCATTTTTCATAAAGCTCTTCTTCTGCTGCATTAATTTTAGGATCCCCCTTCCTCGCATAATTCAGCTTTTATTCCCTCTTACTGAAAAAATGCTTCCATTTACCTTAATTTCCTTATCCCTGCAGAACTGTGCCCGGTTCTGAATTGGTTCCAGAAATAGAATAAGCCGTTATTAAATTCATTGCACATTTATATTTGATTAATATTTCAGGCAAATCCCATGCATTTATCATGAGCCTGCCAATTTGGTGGTGCCTTTAACCCCTCTCTCCTAAGCTGCTTATGATTTCCATGCCACAATTTATCACTCTAAACACTGTTTACATCATTAATATGGATGTATTTCCCATGCAGGCAAACAAGCAACATAATAGATTCCACTCATGAAATCTAAGCCTCATTTATTTTCATCCCCCCAGAGAATAATCATGACATAACTACAGTATTTACAGTGTTGTTTTCCGCACTTCCGACTGATGTAAACATTGAAATCAGCACCTATCAGAGGCTGTAACGCCATGCCAAAAACTAAACGACTGATATACAGCCTCTGAACACTGGACACATATCTTATTCAGAGGGAGCACTCTTTTCCACAGGCTCATAAAAATGTCTGGAGTTAATAATGTGCAAGCCCAGGCTCTGTCACTTTCACTGGGAGATATGCATTAAGGTGCTGATGGACACTTTATGGGGGGAACATGGGGCTGCATTTATAAGACTGGGCACACATGAGCTGCGTTTCATTCTCTCCTACACAGAGTCACCTTGTGTTCACATGCATAAGGCGATGTGGCATAACAGCCCCGCCGTCTCCATGATGGATACCACTCCCTCAGGAGACGAGTATATTACAAGAGGGGGTGAGGAGGGGAGCAGAACCTGCAACCGTTTATCCATTATTCCTGTTTTTTTCCTCCTTCTATCCATCAGCCTTCAAATCCTGATTCTGAATATTATTTTTTAACAAAGATCCATATCAAAGTGTGACACAGAAAGATCTACATCTTCATCTTGAGTGTGTCACTCAATGAGCACACTTTCTGAGAGAAATGTTTCCTTGAACCAGGCTCTTTACTTTGGATGGACTGTGAATATTTATGGTCCTCACTGCGCCCCTTTTCCTGCTCTATTTTCCGCTCTATATTTAGGCACTGTGTCACCACATAACAGATGCACTATTTGTCAAGCATTCCTCCCTCAGAGTCTTATAATTTCCAACAACAAAAAAGGATGATTACAGCTAAATAGGCAGGTAATCAGGTGCCGACGGCTGACAAAGAGCAACACTGAGGTAGAAAATGTTCTTACAGTTTCCATCTATTGACTCTTTCCTCCACTCCTGTTTGATATTGCAGCCAACTCCTGACACCGTGAACTTTCCTGAGACCCATTAACCAGCTTTAATCATTTAAACACTTTTGGGAATTCATCAGGCTAATCCGATTGGCAGGGAAAGTATCAAAGCACTTAATTTGATCTGGCCTAGTCGGCTTTTGGGAAGAAAAGGGGGGATTTAAGCGGCTTTTACCACATGGATGTTCTGTGCTTTATTTCCTGTCTGATTAAACACTTAAACAAAACGTATGCCAACAGGTGCACCTCTGACACAGAAACAGCCTGTTGGAGTGATGAAAAAAAATATAAATACACAGTTAAATCAGGATGTGAAGCTAAATATAATCACTTTTCTTTAGTGATACAAAATACAACAATAAACATGGAAATAAACTAAATCCAAAGTATTTTCAGAGATTGGAAAGCAGCTTTTGCAAACTGGCAAGTTATTTCAGAGTCTGGGCACCTAGTCTGCAAAAGGCTGATAGCTCTTAGTCAACCTCCAGGCTGGTACAACCAAAAACCTCTATCAGCTGCAGGAAGAGGTCGCCTATAGGCTCTTTTGTGGGGGTAAGGCTTTGATATTAGCAGGTGTCTGGTCATGTAGGGACCCGGAAGGCCATCTATAAAATTTTAAAATCAATAGGGAAAAGGAGAAGAGGCCAAACAAAAAGGCTAGCATTGAGCTGGATGATGTTGCATCTGCGAACAGTACTAAAACAAAGAGGCTTTCTGAGGGTAAGGCTTAATATAGAAAGGCAGAAAATATGCAGCATGCAGCAAAGAGACATGACCACAAGTCAAACCTGCAACTGCTGTGATGATGGATGACTAGAGATGCTGTAAATGGGACATGCGCCTTAACTACCAAACTACACCAGCGCCATAGAGGTTGAACTTACTTTAAAAAGAGCACAACTGTAAGGTGAAACTGATTGTGTCTGCAGTGGTTGACTGTCTCGCTTTTGTGCCTCTCAGGCCTGGTATTCAATAAAAAGTCAGAGCTGAATTACTGTTTTTTGACAAAAATCTCATAAAACCACTCTTAAGAAAAAGCAGAGACACCCCTTTCAGAAATAGAAAGCCCTTTATTGTCATTGTATGACAAAGTTAGAAATGCTGCAGCCGTACACAGTTTAAGTTTAATTTTAAGGATGAAATGTATTTCATTTTTGTATCTTAAAGCTTCTGTAAAGAACTTCTTGTTTCTGTACATTTTGGTGCCTCACAATCCAAGAAGTCTTTGCCGATCTTGACCTCTACCTGCTTGAATGGTGATTTTTGACACAAAATCTCATCCTACTGACTTGAGACATCGATATATATATATAATTCTTTTGAGAATATGTTAATTAAAAAGTGTAAAAACAGGGCTGTGTGTTTATCTGCTCAGCTGACTACTCCCCTCTCGGACTAGTTTCAGCCAATTAAAACCAGAACATAATAAACCATCAGTCTTGGCAGTGATGGTCTGGTTTGCTGTTGAATACCATGAAAAAACATCAAAGCATTCATAGAAGTCAAAAATCTCTTATAGGGGCTTTAACTTAAATTTAAAGAAACATGATTGAACCTTAAACTGGACATCTAAACACAGACCCAAGTTCAATAAAACACTTGCATCATTGATTTCTCATTGATTGCATGTTAAAAGAATTAGGTGTGGCGAACATGGCCTTTTTTGTTCATCATAATTAGATTTAAGGAAGTTTTGAGAGGTCTACACATAAGTGTTGGTCTAAACTGTCCAGCCCATTCATAGGAATGTATGAGATGGTGTCATCGGTGTAAACCAGAAGTGGTATTCTTTTTTCAAACAATTTCAAATCACTTTTTTAAAAGTCAGAATGATTCAACCACTTTTTTAATTTGTATCTCTTTACAAGTATTTTTGGTCGCAGGTGTTTTTTTCAGACATGAGATCCTTGTCCATCTGGCCGCAGAGGTCAGTTTGCAGGGAACTGCAGGACTTCAATCCCTGCAGTGACAGGTTCAGGTGCAGGAGCAGGAGGAGGTTTGGCATATGGGAGGGATTTGGCAGGGGCAGAAATTAAACCTCCTTCCAGGCCTGGAGTCATGCTGCAAGCCTTTAACGGAAAAAAAAAAAGAAAAACACATTTGAAGAGCTAACGTGTGCCTCGTATTCATCATCTGACTCAGTGTACAGTGAGCTGGCCAGGAAGGATATGACAGCATCTTACTGTTAGAGGAAGAGGGAGAGAGAAAGAGAGAAAAAGAGAGTATGCCGAGTCAAGCTGGTGATGAATAAGATAGTAGGTAGGTGGGAGAATAAATAACAGATACAGCTGAGCACTTTCAGGCAGTGGATGTTTCTTCAAAAGAAGCTTTAGAGCAGACAAAAGCTCTTTTGTAAGGCTGGGTTTGTTTACCATTAAACTCTGCTATTAGGCCCCCACAGAATTAATTTCACACAGCAATATTACCAAACTTCACTTTAGTCATTTGTTGAGCTCTGATAGTAAAGCAGGGCGGTCTGCAGGGCATTAAAAGAAATGGATTTATTGCCTGCTTGCATCCAGAGGAAATGAAAATGAGTTTGACTCCTACAGTAGGTTGTCATAATGAAAAAACATAATAGTTAGTGAATGCCAACGTTATGAGAAGCAATTCCATTAAAGTGTTTGAAAGTTGCACAGTACGTGACTTTTCAAGGTCCTTGGACAAATGTTCAATCAGAATATTAGCAGGGTGTGTTTGGATGTTAGCCCATTTGGGGGGGCAAAACAGGAGCAGTGGATGTGCAAGGAGGCCCGAGGGATCAGCAGAAGCTCTACAGTTCTCCAACACACAAAAGCAATATCTGTCGAATTAGCTGAGAGCGCTCCATCAGGAGGGGAGAGGTCGGACTTTGTCATCCATGGTTTCAGACAGAAGTACCACTTTGGAGCTCTACCCTTCACCTGTACCCACATATCCCTTTAGCAGAGCATAAAAAATGCAAAGTGTGCAACTTGGGAGCGAGCCAGTCTGCGGCTGCTGTAGTTAACGTCGATCATAGTTGGACTTCCTCTCACAGAAGGAAAGTGAATGAGGACGGTGAGGAGCTTCTCATCTTCACAGATCACTGGCAGTGGTACAGTGGCAGACTATCACACTCCAGAGAGAGACGGCGTGCACAGATTAATGGCATCCTCCGTGGCAAGATTTGAAAACTTCCATTAATGGAATACCAATGATAATTTATTTGGACTGGCGAGCTGCTTCTCTGTGAATAATGAAGTGGCCCCTGGATCATTAATATGATGGATTTCCTCTAATGTGGTGATGCTGTGCCAGCTTATGAAAAAAAAAAGAAAAAATAAAACAGCTATGTCCATTGTTTGCATTATTGATCTGTAGATGGATAACAGCCGTGATTTGATTCTAGGATCTTGACCCTTTGAGAAGATAATAGATTACTTTTAAAAATAATACCTGACAGAATTTCTGTTTGAAAATTCGCAGTGCCGATGAATGACATGGTGATCTGGTGTAGTGTTTGTAAGTATACCAGGTATGACTGCTGTATGGTTTGGAGGGATGTTTTTCCCTCATATTGGTGCAATATGAAGAATCAACAATTCAATGTGCCTTCTATGTTTAAGCTCTTTCCTTTAAACGGATTAGAACATTTATCGAACAGCAGAGGATTTATGGTTTTGGTGTGCTTCTAAGCAAAACAGAGCTCAAACAAAGACAGATTTCCCCTCCTGTCAGTGCTGTAGGATGGCTATAAATAGGTGATGGTATGGAGCCGCTGCAGTTTAAGCAGAGAAGCTTGCTGAGGGTTGGGGTGACTCATTGCCTTGTCTCATTGCATTATGTCAGTTACCTGGCATCTGCACCTGTCACTACACCTCCTACCACCACCTAAAACCACTGACTCACTACATAAACAAGAGCTTGTTGCAAGGTGTACTGTACAGTGCTCTAAAAATACTAACCCTCTTTAAGCCTCTTTAGCTTTTAGATATATTTTTAAAGATTTTAATGGAAGCATGTGAAGTGAAAAATGCAGCCCTCTTTGCCTTTTTTTCACAGACTGTTTTAAATGAACTTAAACTAACTATAGGAAGCAGCTTCATCTTTGAGGTTGTGGACAGTGATATGGCTGTTTAGAAAAAGTGAGCATGAATTCAAACCTGAGTCTGAATAAAAGCTATAGGGATGTGGTGTGTCTGCTGCATGCATAACCCTCCTCCTGTGTTAGGGTCAGCACCAACGCGTTTTTGATTTTAAATGCTTAAAAGAACCACATAAATTAGCTTTTTTGCATCAAGACTTTATGAATTTATCAGAAACCTCTATTTCAGCAAAATAAAAATAAAAAAAAAGAAAATTGACTGAATTATAAAATGTTCTTATTAAAATTATGGCACTTGTTGTGTTAGAGTTGCTGTTGATCCGGTTAGATCAATATCTTATGATTAGAGCAAAAACTGAACTCATAAATGCACTGTCAGGCACCACACTTGACAGTCAGATCCTCTTCCAATCATGTGAGATTTAGGAAATTCTCATTTTGCCATGTTTTTCCCTGCACAAAAAATGTCGGGCATGTTCAGACATGTGAGTTCAATTCAGTACGGATGTCTGTGTGAGGGGTATACTGACACAGAAAGGCCCAGAGGACCACAAAAAAAACTATTATAAGCAATATTTTTATGAATAATGAAGCCTAACAAGATAACCTAAAGATGAGAACCAAATTGGGTGATAGAGAATTGTTTTTAGTGTAATGTACAGCAGATTTAAGACACGGGTCAAAACCGACCCTTAACATGCTGGGTTAAGGAAGGGAGGAAGGATAAACAACCAGATATATGCTATAACATACATAATAGCTTGTGCTACAGCTTATTTTGTCATTTGAGATTCACCTGAAAGAAATCAGGTTTGAGGAGAGCATGACCTCACTAAAACAAGTAAGACCTAACCAAGATAAAGATTGTGTTTTGTTTACAGAGAATGAATGTCTTCAGGCATGAAGCAGCTCACCAAGGATTTGTGTATCAGTAAATCAGTTTTTATCATACAAAATAACTCTTCTTGTTGAATCATGAAACAAAATTGCTGACAGAGAGAATTTATCTGATTTCATCCTCCGCTGAAACAAAACCCTAATTATTTCATTTCATGAAGCTTGCTATATGTATGCGCTGTAAAACTCTTCTTCTGCTCCCGATGCTTGATTTAAATCGATAGCTACGCGCTCCCTAATGCTGCTCTTTAATGTTCCTCTTTAATGTTCTTCTCTGAGCTGCGATTGCAGGTGGGTTTATTATCAGAGCCTCAGCAGGCTGCCTTATTTAAAAGGCTGCTCTCAGTGCACACTGTCACTAGCTGGTGTTGAGACCAATAAACAATACAAAACATCCAGGGATTCCTGTTGGTGTCAAAAGGTCGAGAAAGACTACATGTTTGTGGTGCTGTCCTCTTTCTCATTTTCAAAAGCCTCTAATGGACCCAGAGGAGATGTGAGTCTTTCATGGTGAAAGACCAATCCGGCTATAATTACAACATGCCAGGGAGCTATGATGCACTGCACCGGGATTGCTTTCTGTGTCATCGGCCACTCTGCAGGATATGTGTTGACTTGGACAGGCTTTTAGAGGAATCAATGCTCACATGTGCAACCCCAGGGAGGGGTGTAATCATGTGGATCTGAGACGAATAAAGATGAATTTCTGTAACTGCTCATCCATTCAAGCACTCAGGTCCAAGGCTCGTTAAATGGCTGGTCTGCTCCGCCATATTAGTTTGGTCATCTATCCCTGGATGGCTGTCTGCTGCAATAGAGTGATTCTCTGAAAAGCGCTGCAGCAGGAGAGGCTGAAGCTGCACATTTTTCACTGTTAATGTTAAGCCATGGCAGCAAGATCAACATGCCATCGACATACGTGCAAAAAAAATGACACCCACTGAGAAAATGTGTCCACTGTGAGATTGATAGTCAAAGATTGTGCACTGACTATGAATGACACTAGACAGCATGTCTGCACTATAATTGACATCACCTTCCTTGTTTGGCTGAATAGTAGATGTCTTTCTATGCATAATACATCTGAAAAACAGCATTTGTGGGTTTCCACTTCCAGTTCGAGACTAGAGCTGTCTCAACCACAGTCACTGCGTTAGGTGTTTATTCCTGTCATCAGAGAGGATCAGAGGCTATCTGCAAGATATAATGAGAACATCGCTTCCAAAACTAGAGCAAAGAGAGCGAGCTGAACAGAGGCAAGGTATTTCTTTTGATTTTCCACGCTTTCTGCGTGAGTTATAGAATAAGAATTTATGCTTGTAATTCTCAGATTCTCAAGGCTTGTGCCAAAACTAACTACAACCCTGGAGATGCTGGACACTTGAAGTTGAGTTGGTTTAACACCGGGGACTGCTGCAAGTATACATATTTTATTGGCATATTCATATTTCATTGAAGTACTCATTATGTTGAGTGATGGCTCGTACGGAGATTTAATCAGGCCCTTTTTAATCTCTCATTCATTTCATAATGACCTATTTCCCATCTGACATTGAGTCAGAGGTGGACATGACATTTTACCGCATCACTGAAAACCGTCTGTAGGAAAATTCCATGTGGACTTCATTTCAAGGAAAAGATAAAAAATGCTAATGTTGGATTCTGATGTTTTATATTGGAAGCTGAATTACCCAAAGGACCCTCACCCCCTTAAACGTAAGGGCTTACAGTGAACAGAGACCCCCATGGCTAAAGATAACAAAAAGTGTTTTACCTGAATCAGCTGCATCACTGTCACAGCGCTCTCTAATAGGGGCTCAAAGAGTTCTGTTAGTTTCTACGTCACTGAGATGACACAAACACAATGTTTAAGACTTGGATGTTCAGAATGACTGTAACTAATTATTGAACCACTGAAACTGTATATTTGGTATTTTACAAACTAATGAGTATTTGACACGTGCATGTGGACATGTCCTCTTTTTGGGGGCAGTCCGGCCTGTCTGGGGAGGTTTATAAAATCTTTCAAATGTTTGGGGTTTTGTATGGAAGTTTTGAGTTTGTGTACCATGGACAAATTGAGTTAGAAGCGTGTAAAAAACACTCAAACCCTCAAAATTTTGCACACGACTCCATCCCGTGTAGTAGTGTCCTCTTTTTGGGGATTCAAAATATAGTCATCCTATGCATGGCACCTAAATAAATAATCAATCAATCAATCAATCAATCAATCATGTACTCCTGGCACATGCTGGATAGCACATTCAGGCTTTTCAAGAACTTGCTTTCAACATGTCTCTTACAGTGGAAGGTCACCTGTGCTGTGTCAGGCATGCTCTCCAAAATCTGTTTGGTTTTAGATTGCGTCGACAGAGAAGGTGGATTTTTCTTTAGGTGACTGTATCTGTGTTCATTTTCTACACCTTACACAGGGACCTTTTTACAGCAGTGGAAAACAACATCATGGGGCGAGCTGTGAAGAGAATAATGCATCAAAACTAAACAGGAAAGACATCCTCATGGGATTGTGGATGATATCCCTATGACTTGCTGTGTTCACATATTGGCTCATAGGGAAAAGTCCAGATAAAGTTGGAGAACACAGTAAAAATACAAAAAAAAAAAAAATTAAAATAAAAAAATACTGAAATGTAAAGGAATGCAGGGCAAATATGCAAGGAGCTCTGTTAAGTGTTTCTGCATGGTAATGTTTCCTAAGTTCAGTGGCTGAATTTAATGTAATTCATTTTTTTATTTATCTTTGCAGGAACTTAGTGGTATTACAGATTCAAATTTTAACTTTATAGTTGCTATTACACTGCACTTCATTTTTCCAATTCTACCAGCTGTGATGGCAATCATGTCTCATTTAACAAGATATCCCACCCAAAACCCTGTGCTTTACCCACTGTGGTGGACCTTAAGCTTCATCCTCTGTGAACTATGAATGTTTTAGTTCATCACACTGGTGTTTCAATCTGTTTTATCCATCTAAAGAACACCACTAGCACCACTAGCATGGCTGTAAACTTAACCGTGCAGAGTTGTCATTACTTTAATGAGTATCTTTTACAGCCTTTCTACCTTGTGTTGTGTTTACACTACATGTGCTGATGAACACATGTCAAACATTACATAACTCTGGTATCAGCATGACAAATAGACCTACTTCCTCCAACAATATGTGTAAGGCACTCCCTATGAGGGATACTGTCTTAAAATAGGCTGACAACGTGACTTATAAGGTAACCGTGGTTACCAAGTATGAGGTGGAGGAAAGGGAATAAGGGCATGGGAGTGGACCTGCAGAGGAAATATTATCCAGTTATCAGGGTAAGAGCAGATTTTTATAGAGATGCTTCTACTGTTTTACTAAGGCAGTTTTAATATGATTGGTATACAAGGTGAATGTGTGTGAAAGCAAAAAAAAATACCTGTGCAGGGAGTGTAATATCAAAAAGTGTCTCACTAAAATCAAAGCCAGTGAATGTCTCTCTTCTATGTGAAAGGTTTCTTAATGGCAGGATTACACTATGACTTAAGGTCCTTACACACCAGGAATGACAGAAATTTACGACGTGAAATTACGACATAAGGCGAATTTTGACACGCCTGGCTATACACATCAAGCGCAATGCGATTTTGCGACTTTCAGGGGGAAAAATAAGACGCATCCCGGGTGGAGGCAAGAAGACTGACACAACACCAGACTGACTGTTTTTCAGTTCTGATTAGACACTAGTGTTGAGATGACTGTCTGTCATGATAGCATGTACTGAGTCGGTGCCAGTACCAGATAAGCACATTAAACTATAATCCATAAATGAAGGTAACAACTGAGACCTAATGGTGCTGTGACAGCAACACGACTGAGTTTGAGACCGTGAAAATACATATGGTATGTTGTATCTGAACAGGTTAGCTTACGAGCTAAAGTTACTTAGCACAGATGAAAGTTAAAACAAAGACGTTTAGAAAACTGTTAAAGTACACAAACCATCATCATATGAGAAATCCGACGCTATGACTCTCCACAAGTTGTCCTTCAGGTTGTTATTTTTGTAATGTTTGTGTTTTGTTTTTTTTTTTTATCAAAAAGCACTCTGTTCTCCGACACATAAACAACCAGCCGGTCGGCCATGTTGGATATACCGGTGAATCTGACATTGCAACAACGCGCAATCTGTTTGGTCAGAAGTGGACACACAGTATGCGAAACTTTGGAAAAATTGACTGTGATGCGAACAAATAAATGCTGCAATACTGCAGGATGGGAAAACATCGCTGATATGAACGCTTGTATTGACAGGATACGGGTTTGAAAAAAAATATTGGCGTCCGAAATAATTGCACAAAAAACATCCTCCCGGTGTGAAAGGACCTTAAGTATGGGAAACAACAGATATAACCATTCACCTTTGCACGAATGTTGGACATGACACAAGTGTCTTCCTCTACCTGCAGTGTGCCAATCAGCCTTCCAGGTCATTAGTCTTTGTGTCAGCTCGCTGTTTGCCCAGTACATTCACATAACGTGTAATTTGATATTCTTTCATCTAAGTTTGACACAGTAATGGCTTTGGAGTTTGTCATTTCAGCTCAGTCTTGCCCTTCAGCTGCTAACACACTGTTTTTTTGCTAGAGTAAACAATGGGCCGTATCATTATGCAATCAAAAACAATGAGAGGTGAAAATTTAAGGAGACGCTCTTCTGTTCAGCTTGTCTGGTTTTCTGATTAACTTCTAATTGTTGCAAAAAGTTGGTGATAAACAGAGGCATTCTGGGAATGCTCGTATCCTCTGATTCTTATGTTTGAACATGGCTAACCAAAGATCATTGGATCCAAGACAAACACATTTACATAACAAACAAGTGCATCACTAAAGATACACAGTTGATTTTGACTTATTAAAGATACAGCGACAAAGGCCCTGATTTTCAAATATATGAGGTCTGTTAATACTTTGAATCAGGTCTAAAATGTACTCAAGAGTTTCTTCATTGTCAGTAGTTTGAAAGTAGCTCTCCAGTGTCGGCTGAAATCTAACTCTGACCTTATTCTTTTGCTCATTAATTCTGTTGTTTGTTGCCCACAGTCCACTTCCCACTCCAACTTTTTTCATACAAAATTCTTGCAAGTTATTGCACTACTTCTGACACCGCTTTAATCCAAAGTAACAGATGCCTGAGCACACTTTTATGAAGCGTGTTTGTAAAATTTCAGCAGGCAACAATAAAAGCACAGCTGATCTTCATGTCCAAGGGGGGGGAAAGTGTTTTCCTGTCTATGAGTGCCCACGCACTGTATCTTCACTCATCAAAGCGCCCGACACTTAGACGAGTGGACAGGGTCTGTCCCTCAGTTTGTGCAGCATGTTGCAACATTCACAGGCTCAGAGTTTGAGGGTTTCTGACATGCGAGAGAAGATATCCCCCTGCAATGTGATTTATAAATAAAAAGCTGTGGCTGTGCAGGTCTGAGCTGTCGACTCACATTATCTTTGGGTTTCCTCTTCTTGCGTAGCTGGCGAGGCACAGGGAAGGCCAGGAGTCAGCCGTAACTGTGGATCATGTGGGTCGATTGAAAGATTAGACCTTGCGGGCGGCTCTCTGACTCATGAAGTCGTTACCTTGCTGCTGCTATTTCACATAAATGACTGATGGGCGGTGCAGGTACGTCTCGGATTTGTCTGCTGATTAAATTTACTCCAATCTGGAACATCAAAAAAGAATAGAAGACAATCATTTTCCTCCTATTATCCTGCTCAGAAGGAAGTGGCTACAAGACTAATGGTCACTCTCCAGGGATGCCTGCAAGAAACAAAAGCATCAAATCACATTAATGGGAACAGTTGGCCGCCCTCTGTGGGTTTGCTGCTCACAGATGGTGGAGAGTGGTGTGTGATGTGTTTAACTTCCCTCAAGTTGACCCAAATTAACTTGTGCCATTCACACTGGTGACTCCAGGGATCAGAAGGGTAAGCCTTAATAATTACAATGAAACTATCATGATTGGAGGCATGCCTACATTTAAAACGGTGTCAGGCAGTATGGTTGATTTAGTGCAGTCATGACACCAAGAGGTAGAACAGGGGGAGTTAGCAAGACTTTGCTAGTCTTGGGCAAAAGAGCTATTTAATGAGCTATTTTTTAAACGGATAAAACATGTGTGTGAAATGCTCCTTTAAAAACTCCAATGTCAAGCACGGACATGCAATGTGAGGGAAGTCACACCAACAACCAGCCAATAAACAGCAATTTGGCCAGATCACCTGAGGGCTCCCAAGGGTACTGTATACGATCTTGAGTTGAAGCTATTGACCGTACATCAAACGGACAAGGTTTTCCTCCCATTGTGAGCTGAAACCAAAGGACTTCCTCCACGGATATTGACAAATAGCGCTGGTGGAGCCAGGCCATGTCCAGAAGGTATCTGGCTGACAGAGCTGCGAGGTACACAGCTCTTCCACTAACCAAAACACGTGTTTCTGATAAATTGTTAACAGCCCCTGAGGTTGGTAGCTACAGTCCACAGAAGAACAGATTCTTGAGAAGTGTGTACTAGTGCTACACATCTCAGTGGGTTATGTCAGTGCTCGTTAGGTTTTCTCTCGCCATCCCTCCTCTGCTACAGAGCGCTGCAGGAGCCTGCATTTGTCAACAAAGCTATCGATTATTCATTTTAATTCAAACTTTAAACACCTAATTAACACTTCACTTGCCATAAAAGTTTTGCTTTGAGGGAGGATTTGAGGTAAATGTTAAAAAGGCTATTTCATCGGCATGTTGTAAATTGTAATAGCTTACTTGAGAGCTTACCCATACCCTGCAGCAGTGGTTAAAGGCATTAAGAAGTACTTTGAAATAGTAAATCTTTGCTGATGATCCTGTTTGCTTTGGTTGGTCATCACTTTTTATTCCAGTCCTGAAAAGTCCTCACAGAGGTTTCTAAAATCTGTTTTTTTTTTAACCCTGTAAATTAGTGGAGTAATTAGATACTCTGTCAGTCACAAAATAAGTAACAGCCAAATAAATCACACAACATCTTTTAAAAACTTTGGACAACTTTTCTTCTGATTTAATAGTTTCCAGACAGACAATGAAATAAAAGCAGCTGGTTTGATGGTGCCAGATTTTAATCTGAGGGTTTTTTCTCTTCATGCAGTAATTGTACAGCCTCTCCTTCCCACTTTTTCTCCTGGAGATCTGACCTTCAAAGATCATACAGAATAGATGAGGAAAAGGACTGATAGAACCGTCTCTTCTCCTGACCTTTAAGTGATGTATCACCCCTGAGCTGTAAGTGATATCAATGGTTTTGTGCCGTTATGATGTTCCAAATACATATGTCACTGTATCCTCGAGGCATTTAATGTCGACTGTCCTACGCACGAGGACGTGTCACGCTGGAGGCCCAGCGGCGAGCGGCAGACTTTTAAACAGCCTGCTGGCCTTCATTAGAGTCCTGTGGCTATTTCAGCCTGCCATGATGGAGAGCTGTGCGACTGATGGTAAACGGACACTCTCATGCTCTCTGTATTTTTGCTGCAGAGAGAACCTTTTATTCAACAATGAAGAAAACTGAAGCTCAGCTACTGTATGTTTAAAAGCCCCTAAATATCAGTGTGATTTAGTCTGATTGGGGCATTGACACACCGTGTGCTGCAGGCTTAGATAGGCTGTTTGGTCCTAATGTTAAATCAAAAGTGTGGAGATATTTTCCACCACAAATTAAGGTCTAACTAGAGAGTCAATCCATCAGGGAGACATAAAAGGTTTTGATACACTGACACTATGTCTTCTTTCTGTATTAATCCAGTGTAACAATTCATTTTTATTTTCACTCTTCATTCAGTGGACATGCAGCAGTTATTACAGATGATCCATTTGATGTGTTATCACACTGTGCATTAGTATTGACGTAAAATAAAACATTCCACCAGTTATTAGGTTTGGCCCTTACCTATTTCATCTTCTGTCTATTTATATGAAATCAAAATTGAGTCTGCTCCAGCTGTAGAGCACATATTGGAGCAGACTAAGATTGTTTGGAGATACACTCTGCGTATAGGCTGTCTGCAGGATGGTTTATGCTAATGAGGAGCAGCAGCTGTTGAGGTTTGGCCTCAAGTTAAGTAATAAAGACCTGCCAAAGTAAGACGAATATGAGAGGGGGATTTAGTTCAAATTGGATGTTCTCGTCCTTATTTACATTTTGTGACTCAGCAAAAAGAGCGAAAGAAATCTGGCACGTACACGGACTTGAGAAAATGCTTAGTCACATAGAAGACTTAGTTCATGAACAAATTTTCTCAAAAACAGATATCAAATTAAAAGTCAAAAACTTTTGTATGTACAGGCTCCCTTGAGGATGAAATTCTATCACCTTGGGGATGTTCAGATTTTTCATCTAGTGCCTTAATCAGAGCTAAATTTGTCATAATCCATCAAAAAGAAAAAGAAAAGTCTGAAAAAGAGCTGACATTTCAGGCTCAAGTTCATGATAAGCTCATAGGGGTAACTTCCTATTTGTGTTGATTTTGGCGCTCCCTATGGACAAAACTGAGCCACTTGTTTCTCTGCTGATCTGGTCCTGCTAATGTATAATGTTTTCTAACAATTTTCCCCAGCTCCCTTCCACCAGTCAATTATACCCCTCACTGGTAACCTTCGTAATGCAGACGAAAGCTGGTCTTACAGTGTGCTGTATCAAACTTCCCCTGAGATTAACCCAGCAGTAGTAGGCGGAGGAATTAAACATTAGTTAAAAAAATAGAAATCATCAATCTTTTGGTTAATGGGCTTGTTTGATTTTGCAGGTCACACAAAGGCATCAGTATTGATTTTTGCCACAACCCCCTCCCACAGGAGCTTTAAGTGCTCCTCAGGCTCTGCTGGCATGTTGCCAGTTCATGGTACTAAATATTAATATCGACCTATAAGTGCATATCTAACTCGCTTCACAAGTTTTGGCATTGTCATTGTGAGCACTTAAGCAGGATAAGCATCCTCACACTGCCATATATAAGCAGAATCCATGAACTGTGTATTAAATAGACAATGTGCTTTTTATTTCTGTCCACTGTGAAGCCAAAATATCACCTCCAACACCAAAGAACCAGGGGACTGATGTCACACCTGATAAAACGACAAAGCCTGTACGAAGTTGGTACAGTCCACACCAGAAAAGTTTCTTGTTTTGATTTGACTGGACTTGATTTTGATTTATGGCTTCAGACAATCGTGTGGCTCTTGTGCTCATAGGTTAGTGTGTGCTTCCTCTCATCATTACCCTCCTCTTCTCTGCTAATTAGGGAGAGAAAACTGCAGGAGCCTGCGTTTGTCAACAGAGCGCCTGATTAATCACTTTTTTTTTTTTTCACATCAAGTAAAGGTCCCACCATGGTAATTTTCTAAAACACAACTGCAAGAATTGGTACCAATCAATGCATAAATGGTTAGATGACTTTTACTTTGAAGGGACTCATAAAAGAGTACAAAAAAAATCTGTGATTGTGCGATTGTGGTGGGCTCAGGGGGTCTGATTGACACATGACATACGAGGATGATGGGTTAATGGCTCAACTTTCCATGTGGGTGACTCATGACTGGATGGACAGCTTACAGCACAATCTTAAGTTCACTGAGAGCCCACTTCACACATCCTGACCGAAGGCTACACACTTCGGCATGTCTGCTACATAGAGCGTCCATGACATTATTGAGCTGTCCAACTGAGCAGGAGAACTATGTGTGCTGAAGGATGCAAACAGACAACACTACAGTTTAAAAGTTTTCCTCTGAGTTCTCGGTATTTTGTGACAAGTGACAGGACAGCAGACTGTCTGTGTGTTAGATAAAACAAATGACATGCAGTACGCAGCAAAAATGATAAACGCAAAGACAGAGTCTGACTGTTCTATGGAAATGTCACATAATGAAATGCTTCCTAACTTAATCAAATCATCTTTTAAAATTGATTTTTAATGAAAATAACAAAAATTGACTATGAATATTTTAAACACCCACAATAGAAATGATAAATCTAAGGAGGGGGATTAAAGTAGGACATCCTATTCAACCTGTTTGGGTACCGGAGGGAAATGTAGAAATTTTTAATGGATGATTTCACACCTTTTTTCATTAAGAGTTAGACTAGTGAGAATATTTTCCTCTCACAAAAGAAGAAAAAAGTGTCTCTGTATTGGTTTTACAATTGTAAATGCACCCAATTTAAAAAAGTGATGAACCGCTCACCATTGAACCCAGGATACAGGTCTTTTATTTTGGGGTAAATCAGCCCTACTAACAAATATTGCTCCACTGCTAACTATTAAACCTGCTTCAAAATGTCCTTCATGAATTTGAGTAGAAATCAGGCATGAGGCTTAACCCAAACCAAGGAGGGTTATCTCGAGTGATCATATTTACTCTAACTCCTAATAGAGACGTTGGGTTAAGAGGGTTCATGCTGGTTCAGATTTGCTCTGTATTTCTCACCTTCTCAGGAAACCCTCACGAGAGGAAACTCTTCTACTTCTTCCTTCCCCTCCTCACTCTGAATCTGCTCCTTTGCTGCATTGCTTTGCCTCCCTCCCCTTGATCTCAGCAATGTGTTGTTTCAGAAGGTTCTGCTGATTGTCTAGTTGCTCAAGTACTGCAGCATCTGCTCTTATCTCTCTTTTTTCTCTTTTCACACCCGCCCGCCTGCTTTTTTCTCAGACAAATCTCCTCTCCTGCAGTTTGTCTTTGTTTTCTGTGTTGTACCGTATCCTTCAGTTCTTGGCGTGAGGGAGTACTTTTCATCAAATGAAATGATGTAATTTGGCAGCTTCATGATGCATACGATCTTGGATGAAAGAAGACGGAGATTTTCTAGCACTCCGCTTTTCCATTTCACCACAAATCTGATCCAACGGGATGTGTTTAGTTAGTTAAGTACAGTTGCGAAATTAATCAATATCTGTCAACTGTTTCCAACCAAACAGCACCTTCAGGATCAACAACAGGGAATAAAAACTGATCCTGACAGCAGCTTTAGTGAACAAGTGAATCAAATACATCTCACATGTAAACCAAAGCGGCTTCCAGTTTCATTATTCACGCAGGAACAGTTGCGCTAACTATGACAGCATGCACACATTCACCAGAAACAGTTCGTCTATTCAGCTTTTAAAATGCTGCAAGTGGTGATAAGTCTGCTTCCTTGAATGCAGCCAAACTCTTTATCTGTGCCAAACCAATTTGGAGGCCATTTCTGCTGCAAGAGAAGTTTCATTGTCTGGTGCCTCGGCTAGAGAAACTACTGTGAAGCCTCCTCATTGAAACTAAAATCCTGCACCAAAAGACTGCTTTAAGCAAGCATAGTGCCTCTTTTCCTGAGGAAGTCATGGCCAGAAATGCAAACACAAGTGTCTTTGCGTCAACTTTTATTCACAACCCTCAAATTCATTATTCTTGTTTCAGCTTTCGGCGTCATTCTCCGTTCTCTGAGCTGGATTTAGTCTGCACTGTAGAGCTAAAACTTCCTGATTGTTAAAGGCCAGAAAGAGACACAGGCAGCTGAGCAATCATGCTTCTTTTGGCAAACTCCTGCTGCTGCCCGTCTCTTGTTACACTCCTCCGCTATCATCAAGGTTAATTAAAAATTTCACCATGGCTTCACACAATTTTCAAACCACCTCCAGAAAGAGATTCCACTTTCTCTCCTTTTCCCACCACCTCCACAGCAGTTGCTTTCTCTCTCTGTGCTCCTCCACCAAGTTCCTTTGGCCATCATTAGAACTTAATGAACTCAGTTTAATAATCAGGGGAATTAGTGGAGTTGGGTTGGACGGTGGCCAGGCTGTACCCTGAAGGATTTCTTTCTGGTGGTTTTTCCTTGTGTTTGAAAGGAGCATCAGCCGTGTGTTAAATGTGCTGTGTTCTCTTTGCTATCATGGGGGACATTATGAGATGCTCCACATCTTTACCTAATTAGTTTCAGGAGTGTGTTCATTAGACTTAGCAGATTTAGTGAACTTATGGGTGTCTCACTTTGGCCCAATTCCCCGAGCAAACTGATGTCTGGGCGATAAATCATCTCTGTCTGACGCTTTAATTATGCAGACTTTTGAAGTGTGTCATATTGGGTTCTTAATGTATGGAGAGCAGAATTATTCTCTGAATCAGTCAGCTTGCAATGTCCCAGAGGCTTAAATGCACCGCATTTAATTATATTTGCATTGTTGGTTATTTATCTGAGTCTGATAAATTAATCTTTATCATGACTGTTTTAACATGCAGGGTACATGCAGTTCTCGTTTCACGGGCTGCCATCCCTCGGGGTTCAACACATGTTCTCTCTCTATCACTCTCTCTCAGCCAGCCATGATATTGGAAATTATTCAGCATTAGTGTGCATGGAGCCTGCTAGACTTGGGGTGTTACTCCCTTGCAGCTGGGTGTCACATTCAAATAGAAGTAAATTAGCTGTCACCCAGGCCAGGCTTGGGAGCCACTGCAATGCCTCAGAGACTCTTGTTTTTTTTTTTTTTTTCTTTTCTTTTTTTTGCACAGTGGGTCTCTGCTCATTGCCAAACCAGAGCAAGGCAACAAGTCATTATCGCTGCAAGAAATGAAGATGCACAATACAATTAAGGGCAAATGGCTTTCTTTATCTGGGGATGAAGTACAAGTGTAGAAATGCGAACATTAAATCACAGCAGCCAGGACATGGCTGGGTAAACTCACCTGCTGAATGTAGCTTAGCTCAGAGCACACGGATGGATTAGACACTCGGTTTGGATCTGTGCTTCTCAAGCAGCAGACAGTTGCCCTCTCATTATCTGCAGGGCAGCATCTACTCTAGAGCTAGACTCATTACCAGCAGCAGAGCCCAGGGGACCGGGTAGATTGGCACAGTCTGAAGACAACAGGGTGACACAACCTTCATTGAAAGGTTGAAGTTTCACAAATCAGTGAATCAATACTGAACGAAAGGTATGCAAAGATCAATTCACTTGTGACAGTGCTTAAATAGTTGTATCTTTTTTTTCAGTAAAACAACAGTCTTCCTCAGACTATAAGCTTATTTATTATTTAATCTTGCCACACACATATAGCTAATTAAAGTGTAACTCTTATCCTACAGATCCTCAGGAGCTGAAACGCCATCGTTATGGTCAAGACATGGAGAAATAAGGCTCCAGTGACCCCTGGTGGATAGACTGAGTAACGCAAGCAAACGCTTGACAGTATTTATTGAGACAATAACAGAACAATACTGAGGGAAAGACTGAACTTTGACAAAACTGAAATGGCACTGTGTCTACTTTGTATTTACATTACACTACACACATTACAAACACGTGTAATGACGCCTCTTCACAGTACAACACTGCTACAATAATTAAGAGTATTGATGTGATGCCAATACAAGCATAAATAATTCACTGAAAGTACCAGCTTACTGTACAAAACTTCATTTAAGCTGCTCTCATGTGAATTTGTAGTGTGAAAGAAAATAAATATAAACAGAATAGCTGAAAACATCTTACATCAGGAACAGTAGACCTCCAACCTTTGTTCTGCTGCAAAAAACAGTGAGCCTTTATAATAGACAATAGAAAAACAAAACAATCCACCTGTCGAATAAAGAGTTGAGTCCTGAAAGCTGCAGCCTGATGATTATTTTAGGTTTCAAACAATATTCAGTCCCATCATTTACTCTGAAATACTGCAATCCTTCATTTAACCATTTTTATGTTTGTGTACTTTTAACACAAGAAATTCAATCCAGCTGCTCTGAATGATTCATTCAATTAGTGGCAGAAATCCACTGATGTTATTTTCTTTTTTTTTGACAACTTAATCTGATAATTTTTTGTCATATTTTTTATGTTTTATCATGGCCACTCGAATCAATCCATAGACACCTTTGAATTTCTCTAACCTCACCACATTTGACGTACTCGTTGACCTAGTTTGATTGTCATTGTAGTCGAAGCATTTAAATATTGGCTGGGTGCATTGTAACCCACTCTAAACCATGTCATAACACAATGCCTGAAAAACTACTTCTACTCTGTCTGACCTCTTTGTCACACACAAGATCCACAGACGTACATGCTGCCATAGGGGGGCAGCAGCTGTCAACTGTTTGCACAAGGGGACCAGTGTAAGGATCTGTTTCTGCATGTGTTTATGAAGAGGAGTCCTCCTCCACAGGATGAAGAGCATGTCTCTTCAGCAGTGTCTTTAGAATCTCCACCTCCCGCTCGGCCTCCTTCAGCTTCCTACGTAGTGTCTCATTGGCCTTCTGGAGCCTCTGGTTGTCCTGGAAATGATGAAGAACAAATGGCATGAAGTACTTTTGAGCACTATCGTTTTGTAAGGCTCATTAAAATGACGACGTTCCCCAAAACTCACTGTTTCCAGAGACTCATAGGTGGGCTTCCTCTCCTCCTCTGGTTCCTTAGGCACCACAGACGCTCTGTTTTCCCATTTGACACAGTGTCGCTGTTTTCTCTGGGGCACCGGGCTTGGGCATGAGGTGGGGGTGGGGGCTGCTGGAACCAGCAAGGATGGCTGGGTGTGGCTAGCCTCAGGGGCTGCATAGGAAAGCTGGGGTCCCTCTGTCTGGGTGCCACTGTGGACCGTTTGAGGTTTTAAATGGGGGGTGACAGGGGATTCTGGGCTCCAGTCTTTGCTCTCATCGGATGGGTAGGGGAAAGGACATTCCTCTGAACCTTCAGATTAAAGCAGAGATATTTGATGTTTATTTGAGAAAAATGAAGATAAGGACTGTCTATTATCATGCTGATCCACTTTCAGATGTTTAAGCAAATATGTTTTGAAAAAGAAACATCTCCTCCTCCATGACTGCAACTACACTCAGTTGAGTGTTGTGAAACGCACTAAATAAACCAGACAAAAAGTCATCTGAAAAGTAGTTGAGTTAATATAGCTCCTGTGTTTTTGGGAAGTGTTTTTATGTTAAAGTGAAACAGCCGTCGCACAGCAGGTGGGCAGCTTCAGTATTACTGTAAGTGAAACAGTTCCTCATAACAGCTGGAGGGAAATCACCCTAACCTACACTCAGTGTGAGAGGTATGTGAGAGATATGTTGTCTTAAAGCCAAATCATTTTAACAGTGACCTTTTGATATTTTTGTGTACAGGATGGCAGACAGTGATTACAGGAAAAACCTCGACTTGATGGATGTAAACATGCCTTAGTTGGCAGATTATTTTGAAGGAGCATATTGACTTTTCACACGTTTCATGCTTTGAATAAAAATGGGTAAAAATAATTCAGTTTGACTGTGTGATAAATATCTGTTTCAACCATAAACCCACCCTCTGAAGTGCCCGCAGTGACAGGCGTCAAGCTTGGTGTCGGACTGTCAACAGGGTTGGTCACTTTGGCGTTCTTCTTGCACTCAAATGCAACCTGGTCCTTGCAAAGCTTGTGGCAGTTCATCCCACAATCTGAGCAGGTTAAAAGGAAAGTACACCTCATATCAAAACAGGAACTAACATCAGTTTACCACTGACAAACTGACTTCAACAAACTGTTTTTTGACACTATCAGTTCTGCAAATGCAGCTCAAAGAGCTTTGCATGCTAACTGTCAAACAAATAGCTCTCAGATCCTTTGAGGGGTGGGGGATGGGGGAAAGACAGTGGTTCTGGCTGCAGACTCTTTTTTTCATGTGCTGCAGAGTTCAGCTTGCTATATGCACCACGGAAAACCACACTGCACCTTCCTAGTAGCTTCACTTTACCTGCTCTCCACTGAACACTGTGTATGCTTTCCCCCGTAATACAGCCTAATACTGACAACAAACCAAAGACAGACAAGTCAAAGAGTGACCAGACTGAGTGCAAAATATACCTTTGCATCTGTAGCCTTGCTTGATGACACCCCACAGCTGCGAAAGAGGAAAAAAACGTCACTGAAAATCATGAGGCAGGTGTCAAACTTAAAGTAAACTTCCCCTCGAGTTTGTGAGCTGACTTACAAATCCTGAGCAGTTGTCACAGAAAGTTGGTTTCATGTAAGTGGTCTCCTGAAAGTTGTGGACAAAACCAAGGCCAAGTTTGGAACAGATGACACTGGCCCGCATGAAATAGGCAACGATCTCCTCTCGGCTGACAAGGCCCTCTCTAGAAAAAAACAAACACACGTAAATCATGAAACAAAGCTGTAAAAGAAACAGTATAGGAACTATCAATGCAGGTTTGGTAGTGCTTTAATTATGACTGCAGCCCCTCATCTATAGGTGCCAGTGTGTCATGGTGTATTGTTGGAACACAAGCTGTCTTTTCCGTGCTAATTTTTTTCATGTTTGGGTCTAGATGAGAGAAATCACACGCTTGTCTGTGGGTTGTAAGAATCGCGGTTCATGAGAAATGAATGTGTAGCGGCGGGTGTTATGGTGAGCTCTGTTGCTATTTTATGTTTCCTGTTGCTGCTCTCATCACTACAAATATACCACTTTTGTCTTCCTCTCCTCTGAAGTCACACATGAGCTCGGAGCGAGTGCGTGACCCACCAAACACTTACTTCTCTTTGTCCATGACACAGAAGGAAAAAGGAAAGCTAGCAGCAATTTTCTCAAATTCCTCTTGAGAAATGAAGCCGTTCTCGTCGTGATCATAGTTCTTGAACACGGACTACAAAAGACAAAAAGGAAAACATCATTGTTGTTCCACTTTTCGTGAACAATAGCTGCATGAGAGGGTTTTCAGAAATGGCAGTATCACAAGTATGGGTAAAATAATTGGTCATGAGTCTATAATAGCTGTCCAGCTCCATGGAGGAGAACTTACATCCACCATTCTCTGCACATGTTTGCTGATAGTTCGGGGGTCAGGCTTCGGAGCCACTCCTGATGCCCAGTCCACAACCACTGGAGGTCTAGAGGGGGTGGCTGGCTGATGAAAAAAAAAAACAGGTTTGTTAAAAAACACCACATACTTTTAAATTCTGGTACACAAAATCTTAACCTGCTTTTCTTGAAGAAGAATAAACAGTCCATTAGGAGAGTCAAAGCATCTTTCGCTTCTTTTAATCCAGTATTTTAAAAATCATGCTTCTTCTCTCTCTCGCAAAAGGTTCAATTGAAAAAAGGAAACTAGTCTTGTGTCTGCAAATATGTTACTTCAGATGTCAGAATGCTGTCAAGCCTATTATCTACCTTCTACATAATTACAAAAATATACAAATCAAAGCTTTAAAACTAACTAGTAAACACTTGTTAATTTATACTTTGAATTGGTGTAACTCACAGGTGCTTTACAGCTCTTTGGTTCTCTAGCATAAGACAGCTCATAGATCTCGTCCTCAGTGTAGTAAAGGTCCAAGGACAGCTGATGGGGAGGAAGAGAACATGTGTGAGCACATGGGAGGGACACAGACCGAGAACAAGCTCTCTATTTTTCTAGATTTTTCTCCTTGAAACATGAGGGCAAAACATGGTCACAGGGTAACTATTATCTCTTCATGGGCATTCTGTCGTTCAAATGCGATTAAAGCCCCGGACACAGAGAGCACAACAATACAGCAATCTGAATTCGCTCTCATTCACACTCAGTTTGTCACCCACACACTCATAGATCATAGACTCTCATCACACCCACACAAGCGTGGACAATCCACATGCTGTAACACGCTCATTTGCATCTGTGCTCATCTTCAATACAATACAGTGAATCAGATAAAGCTATTAAAAAATAAAAGGAACTCCAAATGCATTACCGTCAAAAGATGGACCAGGTCTTTGTTAGCATCCAGCCTAGGGGGAATCTGCTGGAGCTGGATTAGCTCATTAATATGGCTGTAGAGCGCCTGGAGCTTCTGGACGTTTACTTTGTTGTCCTCGACATAGTCTGACATGGCCTCATTGACTGAAATCAGGTCTTTGAGGTGGACACCGAGGATAGGGATTTTAAAACCTGTGCATCTGTTGTAAGCTTGTCTGTAGTTGTCGTAGTTTCTGCAGGAGGACAGTAGGTCTGTCATCTCGTTCAGTACCTGGGGAGATATTTTTGCACTGATCAACATTGGGATCTGTTGGCGATGTTATCGGTTGGACCTCACCAGTGTTGTAGTACCTGAGTCAAGAACCTTGACACAAGATTTCATTTTGTGACGCTTTACTTTTGTCATTTTCCTTTTGTATCCCCATATAGAATTTGTATTTATTTATTCAGCACAGATTAAAAACAGTGCAAGGAGGGAAAAAAGCTGATAGGCTAATAAAGACTTCCCCTCCAGTCAGGGCAGTGAAGGCATAGGGTGCAAACAACAAAGTAATTAGGACATAGACGGGTGATAAATATACAATAAGTGGAGAAAGGTCAAAACATATACAAATTGTCATAAACATAACATTGACTAATCATCAACCAGCACAACCAGAGATAGAGAAATTACAAGCATACATAACATAAGAAGAAAAGAAACATGAACATAACAGATAATGACGTGTTTAAGACATGATTAGATGTGATTTCAATGATATTTTAAAGGATTTGAAGGATAATCTTGATTTTAGAGATACATCCAGATCATTCCATAGTTTCAGTCCTCTAAAAGGGATATTAGACTGATGACAATAGAAATGACATAAAAAATGATAAGATACTACTCTCCCAGCCCACTGCAGTGCAACAAAAAGATGATTAAGTATACCAATATCCAGAAACACTTCTGTTAAAAACAAACCCACAAATAATAGCTTTAGGTACTTAATATTTTGTCAGACACCTGCAGAGATCCTACTGCAGTCGAATCAATGAGAGTGTTCCCCATGAGGTGAAGTGCAGTGTGCATTAATGCAGGACACGCAGTGCTAAAACTTCATAATTGAACAGACTGGGTTCATTACAATCTTGTGTTAATAAAAGAATATGTTTTGTACTTATCCAAAAGATCAGTCAATGGTTTGAATTGAAAAAGCCACCCTGTTTGTATTAAAAATATGAATAATAAGGACTTGTTTTGGGTTCAGACGCAGGTACCAAGACTCTACTTGGACTCTGTCAGCTCAGACTCAAGGTTTGGTGACTCGAGTACAACACTAGACCCCATAAGAGAAAGGTTTTGTTTACCTTGGTGACCTCACTAGGTACATGTGATGTGGTATCCTTCAGCCTGGAGATGGAGCTGTGGCAAAGCCCTCCCACCACCGCCATTAGTGTGTTGTAATTGTGCATAAGGTGTAGACACTGGTGGAGGCAAACAAAAACATATAATATCAGTCCATCCATTAAAAACACATATGAGCACGCACAATTAAACTTGTTCCAGGTAGCCCTCGTTATATAATCCACAACACTGTAGTTACATAAGCCACTTCTACTGTTGCTTTTTTCTTACTCTGCTCCGATATCACACTCTTTTTTTGGAAGTGCTTTTCCCTCTTTTTTTTTCGGCTCTTTAATTCGTGCTGTCACTGGAGCATTATGGTGTGAAATTTGTTTCCACACCCGTGGGTTTTGAGGTTGACAGCAGTGAGCAGCAGCAGACTGGTGCATTAGTGTTACAGCGCAAGAGGTCCTTCAGAGTATGAGCTCCCCTAACGCCGGCATGTCACCTCTCAGCAGGTCTCATGCACCTTTACGTTGGAGCAGCTTTGACAAACAAGAGCTGATCAGCAACTATGCTCATGAGTTTTCCTTTTCATTCTCTCCTCTCTGACTGTGAACCTCTTGATGACTCCATTTACTTGGATTTCACTGATAATTTTCTAGTAGTAAGATCTTAAAAATACGCTAAAAGCCCCCAGCAGGGCTCCTGAGAATCATTAACAGCCATCTGTGAATATGCATTACACAAGTGCCAATTATCCACCATACAGCATTGCTCAAAGTGTGACAATAGACAGCCATTAGTTGGAGAAGACGTGTGAGCAGCATGCAGATTGAATAAAGGAGGAAATGTGTCAAACATTAGTTCCATTTCTCTCATTTGCTGAATCAGGAACAGAAAGTGAATCAAACCACTACCTGAGCCACGTGGATAAACTTGGTGAAAACCTCAGCTCTCAGCTGAGCAGTCGGCCTGCTCAGCACCATCAGCTGAACCCACTGGGAAATGCCGTTACACAGGGCGATGGAACGCTCCATCGCGGGGATGTCCTTCATGCAGCACTTCTGAATGTAGTTTTGAAAGTCTACAAACTGACACAGGGGACAGACACACAAGCATTAAGTGCTGCATGGATACCAAAGGCCTTTTCTCTTGGGCAAACAAAGGTCTAGGCCAAACAAACAGTGCTGCTCACCGATATCCTGCAGAAAGACTTAAATTCCAGAAAGGTGAGATGCTCTGCGAGCTCAATGGGCTCCAGGTGATCAAAAAGAAGAGACACCTTCCTCTTTTTGCTGCTGTTCGCTTTGATCTTCTGGCTGGCTTTCCACGACCAGTCACGTTCATTTCTAGATCAAAACAACCTCATTATCAATCAGGAAAAGCGAAGCCCATTAATTCTTGTTTGTGTAGCTTGCTTCTTGGGATTTCCGCTTATGAAAAAAATCACCATTAAAATGATTAAAACAAATATTAGGATTATTATAAATGATCACCCATTATTCGACATCTAAATCACACAAATTCATGCAGCTTAAAAACTCTTTAAACTCACATTCTCAGAAAACCCAATAAGAGGAAAGTAAACTAGCTTAACTGACTGTGTATCTGGATAATGAAAATCATCTACTACCGCTGGAAAGGACCATGCATCAAATCTTCCCTTCAGTTTCAGAGCTTTCACTTAATTTTGGTGATAATTCTCACTAATTTACGTGCCAGATTTCGCTTGTAGTAAAATATTCTCACACTGTGTGATGAAAATTATGGGATTTGAGCTCTTTAAACACTAACATTTTATCACAGGCTGCAGATCTTACAAATCAGTTAGTCCATTTAAGTTTTTTTATAACATTCTTCATATTTTACAGGCATGGGCTTGTACTTTTTTGTATTTCACTTTTTTGCCCCTCTGTCTTTAGTTCGTAGGCACCACAGCCTCTGTTTTACACACCTGCCCCCTCCTGCTCCTCTCCCTGTTCTCCTCTCTCCACCTGTGGCTGGCTGATAGTTTGTACTGCTGTTGCACGACAAGTTGAAGATACAGCGGTTTACCATTGAACTTTGCTGGAGCCACAACTTCCTTGTGCTCCCAAACTTTGTTTCACATCGATCCGAACGGCCTATGATGAAGTGAAAGTAATAGGGGCTACACAACAGGTTCAAAATTGCTCAGTCTTAAGTATCATATTTTTATGATCCTGGGGAGTCATATTTTTTATTGAGAATGAAATCCATCTAACCCACTGAGCAGTAGACGGCTATTAGACATCTATTTTTTTTGTAGACCTTATTTCAACTGTCTAGATTCTGTATATTTTTAGACTGAATTTGGATGTTGCACTTGAACCCATTATTCTATAACTATTTAATTCAAAAAGCAACTGTGAGCTGCATAACTGATCTCCAAGTGCTTAACCAAAATAATTATGATAGCCATTGAGCAATATACAGTGTAGTATAGATATAGCCCATAGATTTAGTCTAAACTTGGTCTAAATTTAGACATCTAAAAAACTTTCATTTTTAGACCTGTGGCAGCCTGGTTTTAGACCAGTTATCAAGGCTACATTGAGACGTCTTTTAGACCAAAAAATGCTCGGTGGGAAGTGCCCAGGTCTACTTGCTGCACTGTTACCTTTGAGTTCAAATGGGAAATGTAACCTTAAAACAATACCAAAAAGGTAGCTTTATGCAGCTGAATAGGACATTTCTTGACTGTGGTAACTCAAAAAAGTTTAATATTTCATTTGGTATGAAGTTGTAATGTGTAATGTTAATTTGACTGCACTTCAATACAAGGACACAAATGTCAGATGAATGTGTTGTGAGTCAACTAGATTTAAAAAATAAATAAATAAATAAAAAAATTTGATATCACGTTTATAACCTCAAAGTTAAGTCATTCACCCTTCAAACTCTGTATCGTGACTGATTTGAGTATTTTCTGTGACGGAAACAACAACTGATGGGTTGTGTAGGCCTAATGTCTCAGTTGCCAGCTGGTCAGAGATTTAACACTTACATCCATTTGGTCTCTAGGAGAGAGCAAAGATGCTCCTGGCCCTGCTCTCTGATCAGCTCCCGGAACTCTTCCAGGCTGTCCGACAAACTGTGGTGCAACCGGAACATGATCCAAAACTCCTGGATCCAGTGCCTGCAGTCCAGATGTGATAACATGTGACTCCTGCAGTGTATGCTAATGAGGGTAGTTGTGTGTTACACCTACCTGATAAGGTGGCATATCCTCTGGCATTCTGCTGGCTGCTCATTGTCCATGGCTGTTTTAAATGTATGGACTTTGGTTAAGGAGCAGACTGGCTGTGAATGTGTTAAGCTTGAAAGTTAGCAGCCCTTTTGTTTTGGTGAAAACAGCTTGTTGGAAAATCTGCTGATCTTTAAAACTGTTTAGGACAGGTATTTTCTGAGTAAAAAAATGAACATATGGACACAGTTTTTTTTTCTTTCTGTTTCAGCAAAAAAAACAAAAAACAAAACAACTCATTAATGAAATCTACAGCAACTGAACAAAAAGGCGCACAGAAGTGGCATTTGGTTACGTGGGAGGAAGCAAAACTCTGATGAGCATCACTGAATCATTCTGGCACATAAGAGAAAGTGAATAACAAAATGTAAAAAGAAAACACACAATCAGTGCCTCATATACAGCAGAGTAACTGTTGATGCAACTGTTGATTCGTGTGCATTGTTTGATGGCAGGACTCTGGAGACGTGTCAATCAACATCCTGTAATTATTCATCACTGTGGTAGATCTCTCCCCCTTTATGCTCATGCTATCCACAAAACACGACTCTCTAAATTTGTATTAAGTGCACAAAAAAGTGCTTCTTTATTAGAGCAGCTTCTATAAACAGACTGACACAAAAGCTGCTGATTGGCAGGAATCAGCTTGAAGTGATGCACATAAAAAGGCTATTTGCGTCATGGGAGCAGAAGAACAGCCCACGCGATCGCAAGGCCAGACTGTGAAGAAGGCTGTTAATGGCCCCTATGCCTCTTCCCCTGATCCTTACCAACAAGCTGAATGTATTTGATGTATCCTTTTAGGTCTTTGGATCAGGACGAGGGGCTTAAAAATAGCAGAGGGGCATTCGGTGTTGTGCTCTGACGTGGGTTCATTTGAGCGTTGTTCTCTTTAACCAATAGAAAGTCCGTGTTTATATATAGTTCAAGAGGACTTGTGTGTGAAAGAGGCAGAGGTAATTAACACCTGAAACCCTGATGCTGCTTGTAAGGCCGTTTACCTCCTCTGAGAGGCTTTGTGACGCTGCTGTTTCCTGAATGGTAGCCTAAAATCACGAGACACTGCGAAAAACGAATAAATCAAAGAAAAAAAAAAGGAACAAGCTTTTCTTAAGGTGTGAACTGGGGGGGAAATGACAGAGACAAAATCAAACATTTTGAGAAGTAGTAACACACCCTTTCTGCTAAGAAAGGAGGAAATCTACTCTGACAGAGATTCAGAAGGTTTACAGTAGCTGACAGCAGGAGTAAACACGAACTGCCACTTGCCTATCACATTTTACACTGACAGCTCCAGGCTGCATTGTGAGCCAAGTACAAGCTTGATCGCTCGTTGCTGTTGACAACCAGAGGAAAGTGGCATGAAGCAGAGGCAGCATCTGATGTTACATTCGGTGCTCAACACGGGCAACTGTCCAGTTTGAATGGTCCTGCTGTGTTGTGATTCTAGCTTAAAGTCTACAAATCGAAGGATATAGAGTGATGAGTTTGTCCAGCAGATCACTGGAGGAGATGAGGAGACGATGCATGGTCAGGCTGATGTTCAACAGGTGGTTGCTCCCACACACACAACCATTTGAGTCTGCAAGATATAATGCAAACATTTGAGTCTAACACTGCGGTTACACAGTGGAGAAAATTACAAGACAAAGGGTCAGAAGACAAGCGATCACAGCAGGGTTTGAATTGTTTTATGATTTTGAGTCACATATCCAATCATCTCTGTAACAGGCAAAAAAATACATTCATAAAAAAACCTTTCTTCTCACTTTGCAATGAGTGTATCTGTGCATTTAAAGCATATTAAGAATCACAATGCATCACCGTGTATCTCACTAATGTATTGAATCTTTTTTTCATTTATGCATCTGCACTACCTCAGTAATTAAAACAAGCAGTCAGATTAACCTGAACTGTGTATTTATTGATAAAGAGCTTTCAAAAACTTTTGACTATTACAACATGTAATGGGAAAAACAGGATCATTTTTTAATGCCAGAATTACGAGTGTTTGTAACAATGCTAATCGCTGTTAACAATACATCAGTAATATAAACACAAACAAATCCTTCTGCAGGGAAATTCCTTTGTTAGGTGAATCTGTAACCACCATGTACAGTACTTACGGACTGACCTTTAGCTTCCTAGTAACTTCAGGGAACTTTATAGAAGTTTTCTTTCAGCTATTTAAAGATGTAACTCTAATATTAAACATCAGCCCTCTCTTCTTCTCTTTCCCTTTACATAGATAACACAAATAAATGCCTTTTATAGGATGAGCAACTGTTGTGTTATTACTCAGAATTGAACTTTTTGAAACACTTGAATAACACTTTACTTGAAGCCTATCTCTAAAACGCATTATAAATATATGTATAATGCATTATGATGACAATATAGCACTGTATAACTACAGTTATAAACACTCATAAATGATCATAATGCTTTATAGCAATGATCATAACACATTATTGAGCATTTGATCATGACTTACAAGATCAGGTATAATAATGTGTTATGCTTATTGTTATAGAGCCTTATGATAATTAATAAGTGTTTATAATGATAGTTATACAAGTTTATAAGCAAATTATAACACATCATAAATATATGTATAATGCATTATCTATGTGGGCATTGTCAGTGAGTTGTTAACAGTTATAACACATTGTAATACCTGATCTTGTAAGTCATGATAAAATGCTTTATAATGTGTTATGATTATTGCTATAAAGCATAATAATGATAATTTATGAGTGTGTATAACTATAGCTATACGTGCTACAACGTGATTATTCATATATTATACATATATACGCTTTATACATATATTTATTATGCATTATAGAGATAGGCGTCAAGTCAAGTGTAATCACTTGGAATAGGCATTAAATATTAGCTAATAAGTCACATAACACCTTTATAAAAGTTTATAAACATTTATTAGTGTTAAAGGTGTTCATAAAGCATAATTTACACATCTATTATTGCATATAATAGACACTTATAAGAACTGATTAGTCTTAATAGGAGACTGCCCCGCACTTTAGATCCAACTGCATCATAAGCAATTTAACATAAGGGGGGGTTATGAGCAATAATAAACATTAGTGATGATAATATTAAAGGCTCATGATGTTATAGTAATGTTGATAAACATCTTATAAATTCTAAAACCTGCATAAACTTTATTTAGGCTGAAGTAGCCTTAGTCCATTGCTCTGTAATTGACCCTGATAAAGTCTATTAATTGTTAATTAACATCCCATTGAGGTTTATGACTCCTAATAATAAAAGATGTGTTTCTAATATTTCTATGAACACTTGTAAATGTTAGTAAGCACTTCATAAGAATAGCTTTTTTTATATGCTCTGAGTGCATAATGAAGATACATCTTTCTCCAATTCCTTTTATGACTGGCCCTTAAACTCTTTATGGATGGACTTGGCCTAAAAAGAAAAAAACAATATTCCAGAGAGTATTATCGTTAGGACTTTCCTAGATCATTCGTTTGATTAAAAAAAAAAAAGATTCCATTTAACCAAATTCTGTCCTACATCAGGGAAAGAGAAATACAGTTATGTCTTTTCATAATCAAACAACTATGAGGCACTCACGTTAAAACCATGGAAATCTACAGTATTTCAAACAGGTGACACAGTACATATGAGTAACCAGGCAAAACACCAACTGGTGCACACACTGTAATACAGCTTGTTATACGACTCACACACTATTTTGTAAAGATTTGTCCTTCCCTCTGACTGTGAGAACCTCCACCGCTTGCGTCTCTCACCACCTTTTTTGCTTCCTTTTTCCTTGCGTATGTATCTTACTTCCTCTCTTTGTGACCGGACCATTTTTCCTTTCTGTCGCGTCATCATCAGTGACATCTTGAGACTCACAACACAAGAACTATGCTTGTGAATCACTTGAGAAAATTAGATCTCATGTGTACAAACTATTACTCAACATTTCCAATGCCTGATCTGACCCGTAATTACATTAAATAAAAAAGAAAAAAACTTCTGCCTTCTGAAGTGCAGCACAACACTTACCTTTTGTTCACCTTAAAACCACAGCTACCTGCCATGAATTAGTGGTTTATCAAATTTGGATGTATGATAGTAAATTTCAGGCTGCTCACATCTTCCTCCCACAGTCTGTAAAGATGAAGACATCAAATAGAAAACGACAACTGTGAATTCTTAAGCTCGAATAATGTTTCCCTTAAGCCCTGGCAGTATCTCGACACCATCAAGGACATCAGGCATTTGTGGACCTACTTTTACACCACATCACCTTGGAAATACTTCAGACACCATGGCAACATGTTTTCCAATCTTTGTTATCTGTAAGCAACTCACTGCTCCAGCTGCAGCTGACTAATCCAGCCTTCATATCCTGAACGGGTTGTGTTTCTGTTTGTAACATCCAGCCACCTGCAGCTAAATCCCGTGAATGTTAATGACCTCACCTGACAAGTCAATAAGAGAGTAAAATAGACAAGTGAAATGAGGCCAAGATTTCTAAATGGTAGGGCTGGCTCAGTAGCTAAACTTGAATGTGGTTAAAAAAATATGTATGTGCAGGATATGAAGCAATACTTTCCCCTGTTAAGTGTGCTAAACTCAGCTGTGAGCCTGTTACATTAAAACTACAACTTTACTCTTATGTTGTAGTTTACAGTCTACTAAAAATCAGGTCAGACCCGAGGCTAATCCACAACAAGATGTCATGACTCTCCATCAGGTGAACAATTGCCCCATCCTTTTTTCACAACCCTCAAACCACTAACCCTCCGCGTGCCGGGTTAATTGCAAGAGGAAATCCCCTCTGGACTGGACTGTCTGTTCCTGACTGCAGCATTAGGAAAGCTGCCACCTGCTACAATGGAAATCTATGATACAGTATGGTGATAAACTCTGCTAAAAGCACTCATCACCTGGCCCTTTTCTAAGGTTATCTTGGACTATCATCAATCCCTTCAACTCTGCGTGTCGCATTTCCTTGTTTTGACAGAGCCTATCAGACTGCGTGTTCTATTTGTGTTGGCGGGACCATTTTCAGATGTGGATTGATGGTTATCCCTCTGTAGGCTGAACAAAGTTCTCCATGATAATCTAAAGAAAAGGGAACTTTATAGACCAGGTTTCAGTTCTATTGGGAAGTTAATCAAATCAGGCATCATTCTGTAGGTACTGGAGTTGTGAAGTGGCTTGAAAAACCTCAGAGCTATTTCATATGATATTGATTTGATGTATGACCAGGGTTGTAAATCACACATTGCCAAAGATAAAATTGTCCCTTATATTAAGTGTAAAATGACAATATCAAGAATGTCACTCCCATTGCAAAATACAATCAAAACACATCTGTAAAGGTCACACACATTCAATTAATATGATAAATCCTAGTAGGACAGGCTGTATTGCATGTTCTCACATCACAACAAGCTAAGCTAGTGGAGCTTCCTGCATCACTGAAGCTAAAAACTAGCAAACAAACAGCGCCAGGAGACAAAATACTAACACCACCAACCTCTGAGTTAACATTGTTAGATTCAGTTGCTAGAAGTGGGTTGTTTACACTTGCTTGGAGATGAATTGGCTTAAAAAAGACAGATGTGGCTCAAAAGATGCGGTTGGTATTAAAGACAGCTAACATCTGCAAATTGGTCACTGCACAGAATATGAAAAATATGAAAACTGTGACCAATCAGCTACAGTAATGGCAAAACCAAAACGCACTCTTGTTATAGTTTTGTTGGTAGTTTTCTGCTGATTTTGGATTTGTGTTTACATTTGTAATTATTTGAATCACTCAGTTTGAAGTTGATAATTAAGAGTTGTTTTACTCAAATAAGTTGCTTGTACCGAATCCAAAGTATCCTGGCTCTGATGATTGTATTAATGAAATTCACAGCATCTAATACTAATAAACAAGGGAGCCATGCAAAACTCTTTCAAACAGTTCTTTACACTTTTTTGAGGAACCAAATTATTCTCAATTATTGTTATCAGCAAAAATATGTTGATATCATTATTGAAATTTTCGCAAACCCCTATGTATTTTTTTAGTCCGGGCAGAATTAGTCAACAAAAATGAATCAAAACCAAATGAGCAAGACCTCATTTCAATTTGTACAGGATAAAAAATTAGAATAACTACGTAGTTTAACAAATAAATGACACAGCTGTTAGGGAGTAAATAACAGTGGAAGTTTGAGAATGACTGATTTATCGATTAAAAGCTGTTTCAACCACCTTAACTCTCACTGTAAGGTGATCCTGTTTGATTTCTTATGTATTTGGTTAATGATATGTATTAGGTATGCTTCATGCATGAATTAGGTTGCTGTATGGGTTGTTGCAGTTCAGTAAATGTGCAGTACAATTTAGAAACAGTGATGATGTCAGCTATCATTGATCCACTCCTCATGACTCTCAGCATTTCAAAGGCTGTCCAGCATCTGAGGACCACTGTTAGGTAGCTGACCTTTTAGCTCTGCTAGGCTTGAAGCTGCCATCAGGTAATCCTTCAAATAGCTCTTACGTGCACTCTCACATTTGAAAAGGTTTGGGACTGGCTGACCTTAGTGGTTTGCCTGTGATGTGACCAAAGTGAAGCAGGACTGTGCTCCATTTTATCAGTAGGACTCTTCCAGAAAAATCAAAGTATTACACTGCTGTAAATGACTTTGTTAACTGTAACTTTGGTTATTCTTGTTCCTCTGTGACTCTAAATAAAGCATAAGACCATCACATGGTGGTCTTGGTTCCACCCTCAAAGATAAATGGAGTTACAGGATGTCATTTTATGTGCAACCCATTGTAATACCTCTCCACTGCTTTTGCTCCATTTCTGTAACCAGGCAACGACAATTTGAAAGCTTGTCTCTTCAGAGATGCAATCACCATAAATCTGAGAGCACTCAAGACAACTTGATGAAGCCAATGATATTTGCTCGATTGATCCAACTACAACCTACTCAATCACTGCTGTTCTTTTCACTCATTTACAAAACCTCTCAATACTATGCATACGGGGAAAAACTGACAAACACACTGCAGCCAGAGACTCTAGAGAAAATCTTTACACAAGCAACTATCAAGTGACATTTTCAGACAAAAAAGGCGTGAATCAATGGGAGTGATTTCATCTTCAAAACATAAATTTCTGCATTGAACAGAAACTAAACCCAGCTCTGATAGAAAATCCTTTTCACTTTCTTTTAAGCGAGGCTTGTACAGAGAGGCCTGCCCAAACTTGTCGGAGATTTGCAGCATGATGGGAAAAACTGTGGCTGCTGGGAAACAACAACAGTGCGTGTTCTCACACAAAGGCATCTTATCTTATTGTTTCTCAACAACAGAGATAAATATGGCAGAAAAATGAGACAAACTCCGAACATGATACTCTAAGAACTGTGGGATCGCAGTGCAACGCAAACCTAAACATATACATCAATATGTTATTCAACCCTGGGAAAATCAGCACAGGTAACAATGAAGCATGCACTCACCAAAGGATTGCAGACAGGCCTGGATGATTTCTTCCCAGCTGGCCCCTTTGGTGAGGTGTCCCAGAGACATCATGGATTTCCCTGGGTTGGTTTGGGCTGGGCTGGGTTTGTGGAACCTGTGAGGGCGGCCTGGAGGAGAAACTTTTGACTTGGGGCCACATCCTGGAATCACTCTCCTTGACAAACACAAACAAAAGCGAGTGATTGAGAGGAGGGAGATGAGTAATGAAAGTGTGCATTTCTCAATTTGCACATAAATATGTAGTGCATATGCACAGGTGTTAAAACCATAATCCTATTTAACCATTTATATTTTAAATCGAGGATTGTTAAAGTTTCAAAAAATGCAGCCATTGTTTTGACTGAAAGACAACCCCAATGAACTGGGATTTTGCCTTTCATTGTTCTCGTTTCCTTCCTTTAACTCGGGGAAATACCGGTTGGTTGATTGCGGACATCCACTTTGAACTATTGGGTGGCCAGAAAACAAGGAGGAATTTGACTAAAACATAGCTCAAAAGGAACAAATCAGTGCTAACTACTGCGCGTTTTTGCGCACAACAATTTGGTAGCGATTCACTTTTACGCACAGCGTGGGCACGGAATAGGACACACCTGTATATTCAGCCCTCTAACTGGAGTTAGAAACAAACTCCGCTCATCGAAATGAAGTGGTTAAAAATTAACAATACAGCACGCGCATTTTCGTTACCCCTTTCCGGTACAAATCATCATTAGGAAGATTTATCGACTTACGTCTCGTCCTTTCCCTTTTCATCCGGCGCTGTACTTTCGTTTTGGTTGTTCTCTTTTGATTGGCATCCCATGGCGAGGTACTGGGCGACGAGCGGCTGAACTAAGCTGTCCATCTGTGTCCTCCTCGATGGGAGCATTTCATCGCATCTGCTCGGCTAAGTGCGCCTCGTCGTTCCCAGCAGCATTGTGCTGACTCGTCAATGGACGTTACACAATTAAGAGTCACCACAGCCTGTCTGAGAGTGGGCGGCCGTGGTACCGGGCTGTCACTCACGCGGAGGGAGCTCTGTGCTTCTCCAGTGGTTACTTCTTGCGTCAAATTTTGACGCAAGAATATGCGCCTCACAACCTGTGTGAAAGATCAGATTTTGTTTTTAAGACTGTCTGCCAGAGAAAAAAATGGGCAGAATAGTTAAAAATCTCATTAATGTACAGTTAAAATAAGGTTAATCATTAATTACATGTTTCACTAAAGTCACCAGGATTTTGCAGTCAGTAAATCGTTTTCACTCCATTTCTTACTAAGCAACAATCCATGTATGAAATCTGAAAGAAGTAACCCCATTATAGTCAGCCTAAGCATTGTAATTCTTCAGGGTGGAAAACAGGAAAGGTTGGACCTTCCTCTGCAGATAATAAAGGTTGTAGGTTCCATCATGGTGGATAAAGTGATTGTACTGTACCTCCTATGAAGGACAGTCAACTGTTTTTTGGGAGTAAAATGAATCACATATATGCAGGTAGAAAACTGAGCTTGATAGGACAGTCTTGTGTTCCTGATATTATGCCTGACACAATGATTTAATGAATTCTAGCATTTTAAATTTAAAGATAACTATGTTTTAAAATGACAAATTTGTTGTTTTTTTCCCGACTAACTTTTCCTGAAACTTGCCCTCATCATTTGATCAGTTGAAACTGTTTCTCACCTTTTTGAGATGCTGTGCTCTCACCTGCAGAATGCTAATGTGAAAATCCTGACAGCATATCACCCCATTGGAGAGTTAATCTCAGTTTGTCTTTGACATTAAACATCCAATTTAAGCGAAAAGGAGTGTTTTAAATTAGCTCTGGGCCTTTGCATTTGCTCTTTTGGCTTTCTTTGGAGGCAGCACATACCTCTGTCATATCATACAAGACACACACACACACACACACACACACACACACACACACACACACACACACACACACACACACACACACACACACACACACACTGAGTGTAATTAAAGCTGTGACAGTCTGCACCTCAGAGGATTCCTCATGTGTGCTGTTCATAGATGAACCTTATGCTTTGAGTTCATGTGTTTCCAGGGGCAGAGTGAAATCACGAGAACCTGTATATTACTACTGCATCTGGATGCAACAGATAAGGCTGTTTGTTAGTGGCCAGTTTGTACCTTTTTCTGTGTCAAAACTGTCATCAGAGGAGCCAGTGGTGCCTCAAGGCTGCCTCCCTGTGGCTATAGTCTTGATAACATCTGCTTTTTTATTGACAGAACAGAAATGATATATTCAAATAACATTTATGTTAAAAGCGATCATATTTAGTTCTACTTTGTGAGGAGTGACAAGGGCAGCTTCCATCAGCATGCACTGATGTTTGTTAGTCAGGGTCAATGCCGTTTGCAAAATCTAAGACCAAGTGAAAAACAAATGAGTTACATTAAAATGGAGAATTTTTTATATGCTTCTGTTGCAAAAGTAAGACCTTCTTGCCCCATTTCATTTCACTAATTCATGGCTGTTTAAATGAGAAGTATGTATCCGAATATATGACGGTTAACACTAGTCAAACATTTGTGAGATGACTCTGGAGTTCACCTCTGTGTGTTTTAATAAACATTGTCATTGAAGTTATTCAAATTTTTAACAGTTTTTGCTTGGAGGTCAAATAAAAGAGGTGTTTTCTTTGCATATCAACCATCTGAAGGTGGTCCTGTACAATTTCAGCAATCTACCCTGACTCAGATGCAGAATATGATGTATGGTAAATTGGCAGTCAGGCAGTCACGGCAGCAGCCAGCAGGATGGTGATTTATGACATCAGGATGTGACTGCAAAGGGCTGTGAAGGATTTCATGATATATGACCAGGATCTAATTAGATTATTTAAATTCTGTGGTGTACCTCTGTGGGCTAATGCAGCGCATTGACATGCAGTATATAAAAAACTAGCGTTGTTTTTGAATTAACGTAGTGTAATTATTATGCTAAAGACAAATATAAATATATAGTTTATTGCATGACCTTGATTCGACTCAAACTGGCCAGTGTTGAGCACATGCTCCATAGTTTTATGTCTTATTGTAACAGGTACCCTACAGAGCTCTAACATTTTTTTTTTGTTTGTTGGTTGTTTTTTTTTTTCACTCTTTGACAAACAAGTTAGCCTCTAGTGAAGTTATTTGTAGATTGTTTTGGTACTTGGCTTAGTAAGTCATCTGGAAGAGTAACCAGCTAAAGGGGACCACAGCATGACTTGACTGTGCATGTAAAATTCCGAACTATTACACGGTCATACTAATTGCCTGAATCTGCTGTGAAGAAGTGGGTGTCAGACCATACTGACAGAAAACTTGAGAAACAGCCTTTTTTTAAAGTTTACCAAACCAAACATTAGCAGTGAGTACCCATTTGGCTGTCACGAGAGTTGTTCTGTTGTCTTTAAACTGCCTTGACATGTGGGCAATAGGTGATCTTTTTGCCAAAATCCCAAAGTTCTTCAATGCAGCTTTAACTCACATAAAAATAGATATATAGGTAACAGGCAATGACAGAAAATTTGAAAAGACCTGGGGACCTTTTCTAGACCATATTCAGAAACTCTCATCATTTTGAATTAGCACTCTCCTCTTCGAGTTGTTTTCTTTTTGAAATATATTTCTGTGATGTTTTAAAATCATATAATTGAAATTCTTATCTCTTTTATGGACTTTTTCAGTTTTCAGCAACTTGTCTATATTTGTATTTCTCTTAACATACAGTAATTCATTTGACTTATTCTCTTTTTACTTTCTACTCCTCAGCATCTTATGTATTTCAAGATCTGAAAAACCCGAATTCCAGCACTTACTTGTATTTTTTATTCTATTATTTTTGTTATAGCTCCATAAGTTGTTACTTAAGGGAAGTATGTAGTGTGTTTCTTTGGATATTCTGTATAAAACTAATAAAAATATTGTTGAGATAAAAAAAAGATACATCCTTCAATCATGTAATCAATTCAATAAGGTAATAGCAACGGAACTGATCAAGATTTTCCATCCTAAGTCATTTCAACCCCCGAGTAATTTTTTACTTAGACGCCAACATCTAATTTAACGGGGAGCTCGTCAACGCAACTTGACCGTTGGTAATTTTCAAATATGCTGTTACGTCACAACGCTCGCGCCGCCAAGCCGTGAGCTCGAGCACTGCAGTTGCTGAGTCGACCGTTGGCGGTTGTGTTCGGTTAGCATCGCGGCAGCTAACAGCAAGGAAAGCCGTTAAAAACCATACTTTTAGAGCTAAAAGTTGCATTTGCTTTCACCTTAAATAGTGCGAATCGACTGACTTCTTTCGACATGGATGCAGACGTCCCTGCAGCTTTTGATATTCTCAAGGGGAAACGTGTCAAACTGACGCTGAAGTCTTGCTCGTACACCGGTATCCTCCAGCGAATCAACCCCGAGAAAACCGTGGTTTTGGCGGACGGTTAGAAATGTTTTGTGTATTTGAAGAAGTTAGCATAGAACTTTTGTAGCACTGGTTATGACATCAAAACTCTTTCTGCCACCTGTAGGCTACAAAAACTACCACTTCCCGTGGCTAAAACGACTGTTTTATCTTTAGTGTCTTGTTCAGTCCCTGGACGTGATATCATTAAACATAATGGGTCATTATTGTTCTTCGGGCGTCAGATCCTGAATGGTGAGTCCTCAAATAGCTGTTGAGTTTTCCCAAAAGGTTAAACCCATACTGAAGAGCAAACAAAATAAAAACGATAATATCTGACCTGATGTTTCTGTGTCATTTAACTGACAGTGGAAGTGATCAATGATGCGAACACTGACTGTGGGTAAGTGACTATTATTTATCTTTGCTAATGTTAACACACTGAGCTCAGCAATAAATTGGTGAAATATATCTATCAATAAAGTTCTTCTCATCTTATCTTGTTGAAATAGCAATTATGCATATTGTAAGTAAAATTTGCTTGCTGCATTTGCAGGCACTTTACCCAACACAATCAATTAAGTTCTTGTTTTGGACTTGTGATGATAAGCCTGTATGAATGGCCAGACATTATATGAGTGTGCCAGAACTGTAAACAGTGTGCCAGAACTGTAAAGTTACTGCCAAAATGTCCTGTGATTTCACCCTGGATAGGTGCAGGGCCAAAATCGCTTCACCAATTTATACTGTTGCTTATAGTGAAACAACTAGTTGTTCGTGGGGCTTACTTTACCCCGACTTCCATCAGTTTTTTTTAATTTTATTTTTTTTAGTAGATAAATAAACTTCCACTTCAGTAAAATCTTGTTGAAGTAACTTTTAACTTTTTAGGGGAATATTTAAACACACTTTCCATTACTGTCCAGTTGTATTGATTTCTATTGTGTTACTTAGAAATGTCCAAGATCACAAACATGAGGAGCACTTGAATGTGGAAAAATTTCAGCCATACTGGAAGACATTCCTGTTTGGTGAGTATGATGAGGGAAATAAATCTGTATTCATACTCAAGAAAAGTAATGGGAGGCATTGTTTACAGTTAAGATGGTCATTTTCTTCACAGGTAATGAAGAAGATGAGGAGGAATGCATCAACTATGTGGAGATACATGGGTTTCATGAGAAATTTGTGCCTGCTGTAAGCTGATTTTGAGTGCCCTCTTGGTTGCATAGGACGTGTAATTGCATATAACATATTCATTTCAGTGATTGTGATGGGAAATCTCACTGATACCTTCAAGTGTGCATCCTTCAGGTGATGGACATCAAAACACAGTGTGGGATCAGTGTAGGAGTTGCTGGAGTTGAGGCCTATCAGCATGAGAGGCTGTGCTGGCTGCTGGTGAGTTATTTTGAGTCCTTGCTTCTTGTTCCTCACCCATCCTCTTTTGTCTTTAGCGCAAAAAGACAAACCTCATGGTCTGGTTTCTGTTTCTGGTCCCCCCCCCCATAAATAAATAAAATAAAGTAAAATCCTACTTTCATTCGTGTAGATTGCCACTAAAGACAAAGTCTACTTGTTTGATATTCTGAGACTTGGAGCCATGGCCTTTAAGAACGGTCTTTCCATGATCCTGGAGAGCAAAAAAATCCTGAAGGTGAGGAGTATGAATGGACTGAAATACTGTAGAGTCATTAGGTAATCAGCTGACTTGATGTTTGTTATAATATCTGTGCTGGTTTGGCACAGGTCATTCATGACTGCAGAATTGTTGCTGGATGTCTGTGGGCTCAGTTCGGGGTAAAGCTAACCAACGTCTTTGACACACAGGTACATGTACTAGGTCCTTTATTAGAAGATCATGTGCTTTACTCGTGTTTCTTATTGTGGAGCTGGGTTTACACTTTTCTACTTTTCCCCTGTCTTCCTCTTCCATGTGTTAAGGTGGCAGATGTTATGTGCTTCCACTCAGAGACGGGTGGTTTCCTCCCTGACAGAGTCAGTACCCTGCAGGAGGTGGTGGGTCTCCATCTGAAAGTGCCCTCCTACCAGCTTCAGTCCCTTCAAATGACTGAACAGCTCACAAAGGTAGAGCGCACAATCTCATCTAAAATAGTCCTGTTGACTGTAAGCATGTGTGTGCTGAAATACATGTCTTTGTTTGTGTGTACATGTATGTATGCAGGAAAAAACGCAAATTTGGCAAGAGCGGCCCTGTCCTGTGCCCCTGCTGAAGGTGATGGCTCTGTCAGTGATCCACCTTCGGCCTCTCAGACTTGTGCTACTTGATGCTCTCATGAAGGACTACATGGTCCTGGTGGAGTCATACCTCACTAGTGACCCCTTCCAACCTGATGAGTTACAGCATATAACCATGGTGGGTAAATCACAATTACAAGTTTCTTATGACTATTTTCTCAGAACCTGACCAAATTTTGTTCCAGCTACAAATCTGTGATCATTTCAGAAACGTAAAAAAAGGTATAAATTACAAGACTTTTTCTTTGTTTGGATAATGAAATCATACTTATTAAGAACTTTTGATGTTAAATGTGTTGGTTAATTTACCAGTGAATAAATTGTAAAACAAAAAAGAAAATTCTGTTTATTTTACATATTTGGTAATAGAAAAAAAGCTGAAGAAGACAAAAACATTTGTGAGTGACCCTTGCTCAACTGCAGGCGTAGAGCTGACAAATTAAAAAATGTAGAGAGACTGTGCAGATACATGACTACAAAATTTACTGCATGCCACCCTGCTGGATGACAAAAACTGTTTTTTGAGACAGACCCTCAATGATGCCAGTGTATTCTTGCCATCAGAGCTTCTCACCCTGGTGCTGGTTGATGCTTCAACAACACAACTGGGCTGTTATTTCCACAGCACAGGTGTCCCACAGAGTGCCTCCTTGTAGTGCCTTCAGCTGCAACACACACAATGAATTGTTATGTGATTCCCGGTTGTTTCTACATGTCCTTTGAAGGCTGTTGTGAGGAAGATGGACACAGGAAAAAAATAGTGCAAGACCTAAATATTAAAAAGTGTGATTTTTATTATTGAATTTTTTCGATTGAAGTACAAAAAAAGTAATACTGGTATTTGTTTGGCATAATCCTTAAAATATTTCAATCATATTATGGCTGTGTTTGAACAGTTGAAGGTCACGTCTAAGGGGGTAGTGTGTCTGTTTTTGTCCTTAGGAGAGTGCATTGGCGCTGCCGGATGTGCTCAGGCAGTTGGAGCACATGCGTGGTGAGAAGCAGGAACGGGCTCTTGCTCGTTACCCCGTCACTGAGAAAGGTCTGCTGAAACGTTTCAACCCTCGAGCTCCTGCATCCTACACCTCACCTGCAGCAGAGCAGCATGTCCAGGCCGATGCTGATTCCGTCAAACCTGCACTCGTGGATTCACCATCCTCTGAACCAGTGGAACTCAGTCTTCACAAGCCGCCTGCCAGCCCTCTGAGGGTTCCCAGTGTCATGTCTGTGGGTAGGGGAAGAGGATGCACAGAGGTGCAGATGGGTGGAATGGGTAGAGGGAAACCCTTGGGGAAAGACTTGAAAGTCCCACCTTTTCCTGCCATAGGAAGAGGGTTTCTTCTCCAGATAGCCACAGGTCAGATCAAAAGAGAGAGTACAGGTAACAGGGTGACAGCCCTCAACCCTCGAGCTCCTGCATCCTACACCTCACCTGCAGCAGAGCAGCATGTCCAGGCCGATGCTGATTCCGTCAAACCTGCACTCGTGGATTCACCATCCTCTGAACCAGTGGAACTCAGTCTTCACAAGCCGCCTGCCAGCCCTCTGAGGCTTCCCAGCGTCATGTCTGTGGGTAGGGGAAGAGGATGCACAGAGGTGCAGATGGGTGGAATGGGTAGAGGGAAACCCTTGGGGAAAGACTTGAAAGTCCCACCTTTACCTGCCATAGGAAGAGGGTTTCTTCTCCAGATAGCCACAGGTCAGATCAAAAGAGAGAGCACAGGTAACAGGGTGACAGCTCCCCAGAGTCCCAACAGTACCCAAAGAGAGGAAGCCCTGTGATGGTCCCAGCCCTGCTGCTAATGACCCTCCCTAAGGACACTCAAGGTGTTGAGACACTGCAGTCCTTGTTTTTGTTCTTGCCTCCATAAAAGTTCCTTTAGTTTGTTGTGGTTTCCTGCTGTCACCAGTAGATGGCAGTAAATGTTCAGAAAATAAAGTTTTATGTTCTGATAAAATATGAGTCTGTGTGTTCTTTCATTTGACTATTATATCATTAGCTGTGTTTTGATTTGATTGATAGTTGATTGCACTCTAATCTAAATGATCTGTTTGATAAACTCAAGGGATGTAAACCAGTAAAAAACTTGTAATTTTGCCAAAAACACTGATCTGAAAAATGCTACAAAATTCAAGATTTGGCTCTCTGAACACAAACTGAAACCAAAAGCAGTTCCACATGCCCATTGAACCGTAGTTCTAATCTTGGTGTGATTGATTGCCAGTACAGCTTGGCTTCTGTGCTTCAGCTAATTGATTGTGAAAAGCAGAGCTGGGCATTGATGGATCTGCTGTTAATTGAGCAAAAACATTGCACTCCTTCTGATTACCGAAGACTAAAAAAACATTAAAACTTGGCACAGGCATGGCTGGGATCCTGATTCTCACAACCTCTTTCATCTCTGCAGTTCAGATGTGCACGATCACAGGTGGCTAACACCTGCCATGTTTTACAAAAGCAGATCTTATCCATCTAATTTAATGCTTCAAGTGCCTTGCAGACGTCGCAGTGAGGCTCTGCACATCCATTTTAGCCTAGATCAAGGCATGGACACAACAGCAGGGCATTGCTGCAGCCTGCGGCACAAATGGGCCCCTCATATTAATCACATCTTAGTGCTGGAGTTATGTGCATGCGGAGGCTTGGGCCCTCTCCAGAGTTTTTTCTAATTGAAAGCATGAAACAGATAAAGTAGGATTTTAATTAACTGGGAGGCAGCCCAGCACAAAGCCTTGCATCTCTCCTAGCAACGAGCTCCTCCTCAGCTTCTGCTAAACACAAGCAGGGTGGATCCCACCCATATGCCACCTTTAACCCTTTGAAATGTGGTCGTTGCTCAGTAGGGTGTGCTCAGAAGGGAACAAGAGGTTTAATGTCTCCATCTCTAAGCTGATCCAGTTGATATTTGCGCTGCTGTATGTCATTTCTCAAGTAACTGTACCATACTGCAGCTTTATAGGTACTGTCAACTCACTTGAACCCTTTTTTTCCCAATCATGTTTCACGATTCACAAGAAAGGAAGTCTTTTTTTATATCTGCGTCACACACCAGTAAAGTTGTGGGGGGCTTTTTGTGTGTGTGTGTGTGTTTGTAGAGGGGGGTGCAGGTCTCTGTGGGGCAGTGCAGGACAGGCTCCTGTCATTGACAACCAGATTGGGGCTCTTAATTTAGAGGACCTTGCATTTCCTCTCCGTCACAATAATGCCTTATGTGCAGCACTTCCTGTTTCTCAGGCCCGGGAGGAAGGAACAGGGCGCTTGTCACACAGTAGTCACACCGCTTCCTCCCTCCCTCCCCCTCACTCCTCTCAAACTTCAGACAGTGTTGTGTCCTTCAGAGGGGAAAGATGACTGCACCTTCAGCATCACAGCAGGATGCTGCTGCACTATTTTTAGCCTTAGTCGGAAAGGTAGCGCACAGACATAAACACAAACTTTAGGATGTCCAGCTGTGTTGATTTAGCATCCGAAAATGGAGGTTCAACCGCGAAGGGCTGATTATTGTTTTGACTGAGCAGTGGGAACCAGGAGGCCTGCTGTTTGCTTGAGGTGTAATAGAAATGGGTCACCCATAAACAATGATTTTCACTTTAAATGTTGCACACATTGTCCTGTAGACCCTTGAAATCACAGAGACATTGTTTAATCACAGGTGTTTTTGATGTACCATTATGCAACCACAAGTTATGAATGGACAACACCTAAACTTGTTGCACCCTTCTGTAAAAACAAAAACCTCACCACCTTATTTACTTCCCACCATGTTATTGTCATACTACAGCAGCTCCAGTTACCAACAGCAGCAAACTGACAAAGTACACACGACAGACCACAGCTCCTGTACACAACTGCCCCTCCTCTTGATGAGTGTTAGACTACAGATTTGTTTATAATTTATGGGTATTTGTTAATTATTAAGAGCGGAACCACTCCCTTTAAATGGCACCTTGCTGATTGTCGTGTAGTCAACTGTTTGCTCCCCTGTGCATGTCATTAAAATTCACTGCTCAGTTTGCTGACTGAGTGCACACTCAGATCACAGTGCATTTCTCTGATGATGCTCAAGACACGGAAAAGCTGACACATACTGTTTGGACCACTGGACTGTCAGTAATCAGATTGTTTGTGCACTTCTTAAAATTGACTCATGATCCTATCCTGCCACATGGACATTTCTCGTCTAATTACAAGCCTTGTGTCGTCTGGGAGTTGGTTGAGCCTTGTGGTGGCAGAAGCGACTTTTTCGATTAATAGTTTGAAGGAACTTAATCATTGGTTTTACCTGAATCATGCAGTATTTAGAGACGGTATTCAGCAGTCAGACTTTGACGCAACAAATTAGGAACATGTCAACAAAATAATCTCAATTTCATTATTCATGTAACCACATGTAATCCCTTTGTAGTCGCAGGCGGGGTGGAACATAATCAGATATCAGGTTCCACTATGACACTGAACTGTATCCCCGCAGCCAATCTCCCATCTGTTAGGAAAAACCCATTGTTGAATCCCACTCAACACCACCCCCCACTTACCACCACCTCTCCCTCTGTCTCTCTCACGTTACAAAATGACCCTCTTTTGCTCTCCTCTGGTCGCATTCAACGAAAGAATAAATATTTAACGTGAGAAAGGCCGTTCATTCCAGGTGGCCTCTCAAGGACAGCAAAAATTAGAACAAAACTCAGCATCAATATTTCAGCCAGCCTTACTAACAGTATGTTTACATCCCTCCAGTCAGGAAACAAGGCGCAGGAACACCCCTTGATATGCCCACATTCGTTTAAACAGACGCATGCACAGATGCAGGAACACAATATGCATCTTTATGAACTGCTGTGTTGTGTTTACTCAGGCAGTGTGGAGCATCAGGACCTCAAGGACCTCTCCAAAGGGGCCTGCCATATTGTGACCTTCAGCTGGAACAGAGGAGCTCAGATTGTGGATGAGTGACAGATGAGGATGCAGATGAGAATGTGTTTGATGCTGCAGGAATGCCCTCAGCTGGTCCGACTGCACATGCATAAGCACAGTAATAAACCCTTGGTGGTTTTAGGTCATGCTAGCTGCTTTGTCTTATGACATAAGGTCCTGTAAATACCGAGTCATAACTTTTGTCGATTGATTGGTGTACTACTTTGAATTCAGATTGAAATAGTTCAACAGCCATTCATTGTTCCTGCATCCCCATGACTTTTTAGTTCAGTTTTATGTGATGCTTGATCAGATGCCTGCTGAAAATGATCAAATGACACTATCAATAGTCAAACTGGTTCATGTTTGCATGCTAATATATTATTGTGAATCAGGTAAATACTGCATGGTAAACTTCAGCGTGTCAGCATTGTCAGTGTGAGTGAGTTACATAGACTGAATAAACACTGAAGTAGTTGATGGTGGTTGCCGTATTTCAAATGCTGACTTCTCCTCACCTTCACTGGACCAGCAGGGGATAAGAGGTGGAGCTTAGATGGTCCTTGGGTGTCTTGGTAAACTATAACAATGCACCAAAGTAGACCATTTATGTAATGAAACGATAGGTCTTTTAGGAAAAAGTGTAGTTTCATTTAAGCCGTGTAGTATTGGAGTGGAGGGAAGTGGGGGCTACAGAGACCATTGTCCAGCGTGTGCCCATTATCCTTGTTGCTCTCTGCTCTTTCATCATGAAACTGTTTGTCCAAGGAGGCAGGTGATACCATGATCACATTTTTTGTTTGATATTATCTCTACTTGTTGTGTTAAATACAGGATCAGTAAGAGTGTGAAGGAACATGCCTGCATGCAGCAAAGAGAGCCTCACTACATCCATGCAAATTGTACCAGTCTTGCACGCGTCGTGCACCAGTCCCGCATGATGACCTTGTCAACACCTCTACCTACACGGGGTGAATCTCCTCATCTTTTATCTTCGATGTTCACATATTGGCTCATCCTAACATCTTGCTGGAATTTTACCAAAGGGCAGGAAAAAATAGTGTGGGTGATTTTTGCCCTCACACATACAACTTATCCACATCACTTTGGGGAGTTTTATGCATTTGTGGAAACAGGTCATGAAGAATTTTTCAAAATACATATTTAACATACATTTAGACAAAAATAATTTTTTCATGTAGCTATGATATATCCTCTACAGCGTTAAGCTGAAGGCTTTGCTTGATTGACAAAGGTCACTGTGGGTCAAAAGAAAAGGTGTTTATTCACCAGAAAATTCTGGTAATAAGTTATTAGAATTCTGGTAACCCCCTCAGCTACAAATGTCTTTGATTAAAAAGATGGGAGATTAGCTTTTGGCAAGTTTGTCATAATTAAAGCCTGCATTGTTTAAGATGTCCATGTGTGTATGTGTGTGTGCACACACGCACAGATGAGGGGGTTGTTGTAGCCACAGGGAGGAGGGTCTGGGAGAAGAAGGGCTGGGGAGGGTCCCTGTGGTTGGCTGAATTAGTGCCCGCTGGTTTGGCCTGGCAGCTGCTCTCTGAGCCTGGCATGATGACAGCCTGGCACTGTGCTGTGTTGTCAGGGCCAATCAGCCGACAGTCAGGGAGGGAGCAACACCAGACTCACCAACACAAATGCATGTATGCCAGGCTTTGTCTCCCAACCAGCTTGTCATATGTGCATTACTTGTTATGGCAATATCATTGGATTAGTATGAGATTAAACTGGCTAATTAAAAAGGGGCGAATTCTACCAAAGTCATCAGAGGAGATGTAAATGCCAAGGTAAGCTTGATATGACATTTGGCCATAATGAAAAATCTGAACACCTCTTTTGGAGCAGTGCTGGATTCAGAAACAGTCAGTGTGCTGCCACTTGTTCCATGATTAAGTTAAGACCGTGACTGTATTATTCACTTAAGTAAAATTCAATTTAATTAAACTTCTTTGTCGAGAGCCTCCACAAAAGCCTTGAATGGTAAATGAAAAGTAGTGCCAGCTGTTGTATAATTAGATCAAACTCTTAAGAAACACACTAACATTGATTTCATTGGTTCTCAATATTTCAGCATAACCTAATATGGAAACATAAGTCAGTCACTGAGCCAACTTTTAATAAGACAGTTGAATTATTAACAATGTATAAATGTTATTTTACTGCAACATCCACTTACTTCATCACAACTCCAAAGACATACTGAAAGTGTCATCATGGATCTGCTGCAGGCTGCAAAAGGTGTTTATTGAGTCTTTGACCACCCCAGTGTAGAAGGTCTCACTTGTGGGAATTAGGGAGATCCTGGGCCTGCCAGGGCCGGCTGAGCCTGCCTTGGCCCAGATGCAGCAGCTTCTGTCCGGGCATGGCATGGCACTTGTGTATCTGTGGGGCCCAAGGACACCAGCTGCTATCTTGGTGTCACAGACAGCTGTATGTGAATATTCATACAAAGCGGAGATTAACGCGCGCTAGTTTGGCTACACATGACGTGCTGTCGAACAGGCCGAAGTGTGAAATGGTCCTGAGGTCATGAGTGTACGTCTTCAGCAGTGACAACCGAAAAGTCCAACAGTCCATGAAGACAGCCTGTGCCTCAGAAAGACAGGAACGCTAAGTGGGGGTTGTGTTGTTAACTAAAAGTGGATCAAGGCTTGACTAGATAGGTGTGTTTACTGCCTGTGAGACTCAAAAGAAGATGTTAGCTGCTGTGGCATGGTGGCTCATTTTGTGTGTTTATGTTTTGGCCCTTTCGTTTCTGGATGTGGGAGGACCTGAGAGCAGCTGTCCAATCATTTTGTGGCTCCTCCAGTGCTCAGTCCAACTTCTCTTTTGGTCGATGCCTTTCAGCTCACGCCAGTATGTGAATCAAACAATTACATCCAAACCAATGGCTACTCTCCACATCCACAGCTCGACCAACCTTGGCTTTCCCTGGGATGTGTTTCAGGGGGATTTTTGGTCAGGGTTTGGTCAAATAATTTGTTGGCTTGCAGCAATAGAATTTGTGAATGTGTTTTGGTGAGTGTTTTGGGGCTAGAGTTTTTCTAAATGAGCAGATGGTCTTTACTTCCCGGTCTGAATGAGTGGAGTGGACCAGTGGGCACACAGAAGCAGATTTGTGGGTAAACTGTTTTACCTCCCCTCTCTTTGTGTAGTAATGGGGATGGCAAAATGGTTGCTAACTGCTGATGAACAATGGCTGGGCCCTAATGAGAGCAAAGTGTTTTGGTGCTGCTGGTATAATGAGGACGGAGTGGGCAGCTTATTGTTGTAACCATCTGAAGGCACCAGAAGCTTCCCTTTATTTCCACCATGAAACAATGCAAAAATCTTTAATCCAATATGAACCGAAAATGTTTGAAACACACCTGTGAGGGCACAAAATAAAACACAAAGAAACATCTTATCAGCAGAGAGCAGTCTACTGTATGTAAATCCATCACAGGATAGTAAACCTGTAAGGTAACAGAGTCAGGCTTATTTACTCAACTTTTAGCGGCAGTCTGGCCCTTAGCTGACCCTGTGAACATGTAACACAAGCTGTAAAACCCACAGGTTGTGAAATCTGTGATTAGAACTGGTGAGGATCTGCTTGTCAGCCATGTTTGTCTGCTCGGTGTCGTGGTGATTTATGGAGGAAATGCTGTGTGGGTGTTCCTCTCCCATTGTGCCCAGTATTCTTCGCTAACTCACCCACAGCTGGATCCCTTTCTGTTGAGTGGACTATTGACCGCTACGTTTTTGAGTAAACCTCCATTTTACACTGCCAAACATCAGATTACCACCACAATGATCATTTTGGCCACAGAAAAAAAACCATTTGTTTTGCTTTCAATCTTGGATGCATGACATCATTCCGCTGTTATCGCTCAGGAATGATTTCTGATAATGAGGCTGATTTTGCTCGTGGGACATGATTGACTATTGGTTGATTACAGAGAGAGTTTGTGTACTTGAATGAGCAATATGTACTCTACTCATCAACAGAAAAGGCCTGAGCACAAATGCCAAGGATAAATCCAAGAGGATGGCAGTGATTGCCCTGGCAGGGTGGGAACAACACACAAAAAGCACATATCTCAACAAAAAGAGGCAATCTAACAACTGATAATCTTTTTGCTACTCTTTAGGGGCTTGAAAATTCGCCTGCAAATGAAAAAAGCAGCAAAAACTTACAGCGAGCCATGAAATGAGTCTGCAAATGTATATGTAAACATAGCTGAAAGGAAATAAGGGAACTAACACAAGTTGATTTCTTCCACTGGGAGTTGTTGCTTTTCTAGACTTTAAGGGTTACTTTTTTATTTTCTCCTACGCAGAAAGAAAACTTTATATTGTGTAAATAAAGATAAGCACCGCATGCTATTTCATCTTGTGAAATTTATGGTTGCAGATCGTGGTTGTTGCAGAGCTCGCACAGCCCTAAAAGGAGACATTTTTTGCAGAGGCGTACCAGTTTCCCATCAAGCCTGTGCCTTTGCTCTCTGTGGCAGCAGGGCTAGATTATTTTCCCGTCATTATGTGGGCTCCAGAGGAAAAAGAGAAGTAAAATGGTTTCCAGGTTTTACATCAATTGGAAGAGGGAGGAGGTAGAAGTTGCAGGGGCCTGGCTGCAGGTATAGCTTTATCATCTGTGGGCAGTGGGAAAGCAGCAGTGTGGTAATGAGTCACTAGTTCTCAAGTTCTCATCCTGAATAAAAATACATAAAATTACAGCAAACACTCACATGTTGGCACAGATTTACTGCATCAAGGAAGAGCTAAATGTATTTTATTGCCAAGCTTCCCAGTCGCGCACAAGTCTTTCTGTCACTCGTATAATTCACTGGATGTCAACCAAAGCAGCTATCAGAACAATAAGCATTGTGATGTCTGACAGTGACAAAACCCCCCAATTCTTTGAGTTACACCAGGGGATGACACCCAAATGCGGGGGAAATGGGTGTAGATTAGGAAAGGAAATGACACAATTTCCAAAATTAATTGTGTAAAAGACAAAAAGACAACAGGGGTCCTGAGTATGAGGAGCTTCATTGTATAAGGTTTTGGTGGGAACAGATTTTATCACTGAAGTGTTGTTTTCTCTAGTTTTACGTGCTGAGGAAGAAAAATGCAGGTCAGATATCCTGGACTTTAGTTTAGCATACTCAGCAGGCTAGGTGGTACCTCCAGCAGGATTCCCTCTTTTCTTTCTCACCAGACCCGAGTCTTATTGTCTGAGGAGGAGCCAGGTTGTCTAGATAATGTCCCATTCTCCTCTGTAGCCTGATAGGTTTACCAGCAGCAGCATGGAATAAGGACTCACTCTCCCATAGGACAAACAGGAACCTGCTTGAATGTACTCAGATGCTTATCTGTCTCTCCCATGACTACTGTCTATACTTAGGAATCAGATACCATTAATGTTATTCTCACAGTCCCTTTGCTCAGACGGTAACATTCAGAGCCAAAAAAGGCCAATCATTTCAATCACCATCGTGCCCCTTGAATCCAAAGCCATGAGATGGTTTGATCAGTTTGGCACTGGGCAAGTAAAGCAGGTGAGAGTTAGTCCCTAAAAGTTCAACAAATAAACCTGATGTTTTTAAACTAAGACAGTAAGATTAATTTAAAAACAAAAATTACACCCTACAACCACTTTTAGAGAGGGTGCACTGATTTATCAGCTGTTAACTGTTATTAGATGTTATCTACTATAAGCTTGCTTTGTAAGTTATGATCTTACCAGTGGTCATCTGAAAAATCAGATACAAGCTGATGTCAAACTCGTGCTCTGGCCACGCACATGCATACAGCAACCAGATTTTTTTTTTTTAACCATTTAGATGACACAGCTGAAGAGAGACATGAAATATAGAATCAGAAGATGAGAATGAGAATTAACCAAAATCAAAGTTTAAAGGTTTTATTTTATCCCGTCATACATTCTTTACACATTCTGCCTTTAACCTCCCAGCATGGGCTTACATTAAACCATGAATGCAATATAAATATTATCTGCAAAGTTAATGGAACAGAAGAAGAAAATTAAAACAAGAACACCAGAGTTATGTCCAAGTTAAAAAATGCGTTTCTGTCTGAAGGCAAAATGACAACATTTTTGCAGTTCAAAACCAAAAATTAGCATCTTTATAAATGCTCATAAAGTTCAAGTAGCAGACACAGTTCAACATCAGCTGTTCAGAGGGACTGTAAATCTAGGCTTGATAGTTAAATTGCTGCAAAGAAGCCACCAGAGATGAGGAACAACACAGAGAGAACTGCTTGGGCCAAGACACACAAATAATGGACATGAGACCAGAAATCAGTACTTTGGCCTGATGAGTCCTAATTTCTTTGTGAAATGAGGAAAAGCTGTTTATAGCACATGTGTAGTTTCCACGGAAGGACCCCAGTGCAGGTGTAATGTTGTGACTGTTATTGATTTATCCTAAATGAATGACCTCTGCCCAACTGGTTGTTGGTCTAGGGCTAAGTTGGGGGGCAGAGTAAAGGAAAAACAGTCCCAAACTCTTCAAGACTTTTGGAAAACCAGTCCAGGTACCGACCTCGTGAAGCTGGTTGAAAGACTGCAGAGTGTGTTCAGATGTAATCAGAGCAAAAGGCGACTACTTTGGTCTTCCACATTCATCTGTATTTTGCAAATAAGGGAAAGAAGAAGAAGAAGAAGAAGAAGAAGAAGAAGAAGAAGAAGAAGAAGAAGAAGAAGAAGAAGAAGAAGAAGAAGAAGAAGAAGAAGAAGAAGAAGAAGAAGAAGAAGAAGAAGAAGAAGAAGAAGAAGAAGAAGAAGAAGAAGAAGAAGAAGAAGAAGAGGGGACTCCCAGGATTTTTTTTTTTTTTTCAGACCACCATTGGTATTCACTTTCACAAAAATATTCTCAATCTTAAATGCTGACATTCAGTCATCTTTGTATACTGACCTCTGGAAACCAAGGTTGAAGTTTTTCACAGAGATTGATGATGGGAAGAAATAAGACTGACAGGAGGGACAAACTCATGACATCAGGATCAACATGGGACATTTCTGCTTTATAAGTAAGACAAGGGTTTGTCTGAACTATCTCTGTCCACTGTGCAGTAGAAATGCAGGCGCTACGCCAGCGTTCAGTCCAAAATGACCATTTTTAGGTTTAAGCAAAGAAAGACGAAAAAATCTGCCAAGAAAATCAAATACAACTAAAGCAGATAATAAAAGAGCCAAAAAGTACACAAATATTCACTAATGAAGTATATCAATTGGTCTTGAGATGAGCTACAATTTATCATGTTTATTCATGGCCTAAAGGATTTGTTTTTGCTGATAAGGAAACCAAGAGATGCAGAGTTAAACAAATGCCGAGTCACACCAAATGAGACATGCAGTATTTGTTCCTGTGCTAAACTGGAAGTACTCCTGTGAAACATTGTGACATAATTTAAAGCAAACATGCTTAGCTTTGCATAAACAATCAAAGCTTGAAGAACAATCCCTTCTCCTATAAGGGAGGAACTTCCTTCTGATTTCCCCTACACTTGCAGGAATATTGTTATTTTACAGCGCAGGAAGTTGTTTTCGTTGTGAATCACAGTCATTTTTCACGCTCCTGATGACTGCCAGGGTCGCTTTTCCCTCGCCGTGCAACATTTCCTTATCAAAGCAATTTTGTAAAACTTATTTGGCTTCATATCAAAAGCAGTGCAAGATTCTGTGTGTATCAAGAGTTGATCTCAAGCTAATGTGCTTTACTTAGATGGTTCCCAGCATACTTCGGCCTGGCATGAGGTAGCAGGGAGTAAACCCAGCTGTGAACAGGGCCTCATGTGTGACCTGCCCCGGCTGTCCAGGGGGGAATGACTGCAGGCATAGTTAGAGTGGGGGGGTTCCCATGTCACAGCTTAGGGCATGCTGATGTTGTGGGCCTACTTTACAACATGTTTTCATTTTTGCTCCTCTGACAAGCCTCTTGACTCTTCAGAGACCTTTAATTCATGGTCCCACTCTGCTCACTGTCAATCTCGGCATCCCTGAGGGTCATTCCCATCCATGGGAACATTGGTTGTGACGGTAGGATTCCCAGAGGGGATGGTACAGGGTGGGGTCTTGACAGAAAATCACAGCCAGGCCAGAAGGACATAGTTTTGTGGTTCAAAACTTCTCTTCTTCTGCTAAAGTGAGGGGGCTAGATTTAAGGAAGGGATGGCATTTCATGAGGAGTTGAAATTTGGATGGACAGGCTGCATGCACGTTCCAGGAAACCGTGTGAGTAAAAAAAGGATGTGTCACCTCTCCCTAAAATAGATCAATGCGCTGGGACCTTGATGATATAGGTGAGAGCATGAAGGCTGATTAAGGGCCAGGATGTGCGTGAGACATCCTCTGATGTTCAGGAATTCTCTCATTAAAGAGGGTCATGTTGATGGTCAATAGGAATCAGGCTGCGGAATAAACAGGGGAGGCTCCTCCAGCGATTTCAAATAAACACACTTTTCTTATAATCAACATGGAAGTGGTGCTACAAATATGTACATTACTGAAATGTACCACTTCCACTTTTGTAGTCAGTCTAAAGTGTATGCAGTTTCCTTTGCAGTTGAGTGCATATGGTAGTCCATCCATTTATTTCACTTCATATTTCCTATATATATGAATATGGAGATACTGGGACTGAAACAGCATGAAGCGCTCTGAATAAAGCATGACATTAGTAAATTTCTTCCAGTTGCTTGTAGTTGATCATGTAGATAATATTTTTAATGGCCTGGATGGCAGCACTTACAGAGATCATTAGTATATCTGCTCAGTGTTTGGTTCACTGCTGGGGCTACATCAGGGCCCTGATTTTGTTGTTGTTTTTTCCTTTCCTGCCCCCCCTTCTCAGGTCGGACAAATCGTTTCCAGCTAATTTACGATGGTCAAACTGTGGGAGAACAATACCCCCGTGGTGGACGTAACACAGTGCGAGCTCTACCACATGTCCCCGTGAGGAGCGAGGTGCTCGCAGGAAACACTTGCTGAGATAACAAGATTGTAAGGAAAGCAGGGCCACTGAAAGGCCAAGCCGAGGGAAACGTCCATGGAGAGGGGCTTTAAATCTGAGTGTCATGTGCACATAAATGTCCTCCATCTGCATCTTTTTGTTTTTAAACTTTGGTGGACTTACCGAGTCATTTCTCGGCTGGTCAAGATATGAAACTATGAATATTGTCCTTGACTCAATGACTCACTTGGCTGAAGATCAGACTCTATGACGTCAGATCTGCTGAAGCCTTTCCAGGACAAACCAGAGAGGGTTTGAGCGCTGCAGGGGGCCGCTGCCGTACATCTGTTCACATACACACTCAGCAGTTGATTGTTTTCCCTGTGTGTGTCTCCCATGCACACACACAATGCTCAGCCCTGCCTCCTGGTGAGAACAAACATTTGATAAAACAGTCAAGTTGTGCATCTGCAGAGGTTGATTACATGTATTCAACCCAGATAATCATTTTCTGGATCTTGTGTTTGCTATAATTACAGAAAGCACCTGTGTCTGGCCCACCTGCAGTGATTACTAAGGATGCCAAGCTGCAATTTAACCATCATTATAACAACAGGGGAAAAGGAAATATTCGGCAGCAGTACAACTTAATAATGTTTCAATTAAAAATGCGGCTGTGTTTTCAGCTCTAGAGGAAAAGAGATCTCAATAGGATTCCTGGAAAATGAGCTGCTGCATGAAAACATTTAAAACCCCTGACCCCCCTGGCAGATCAGCGTTTAAATCTCGCCAGCTGGGTCAGGGTTGAGCAATACAGGTGACATGGAGGACAGCAGGATTAAGGTTATCAGTCAGCCTAATTGATGAGCCCACTTGTTTTTGCCGAGCCCAAGTATAGGCACGAGGAGGAAAAGGAAAGCAGTCTTCAAGGCTGCCATGTTTGTGTTGTGAGGACAGAAGTGAGAGGTCAAACCCAGCCCGGGGTTTTTTGGGTTATTAAAACGATCCTTCTCTGTTTGACAGAGGGTACGTTCCCTCGCTTTGGAGTCTTTTTGGTGGGAAAAGAGAAATAGGGAAGTGGCAAGCCCTCTTAAGATCAATGGTTATGGTGGAAAAAGGAGTGGCTCAGGGCAGCCAATAGTGGCAGGGCCGTAGGGAGCTGTGGGGCAATAACGTAAACAAGGAAACCACCTGATGTGAGCGGGGTCACATAAATGCTCAGTCCACCACGCAGGCAGGTGCTTCCTGAGTCCTGCTCTTTCAATCAGTTGAGCCTTGCTTGCACTGCCCACTTGCTTTCTGTTTTCTCTGCTGCAAAACATCTTAAATCATCAGTCAAGGCATGATTGCATGGTTTCAGATCAACCTGCAATCACAGGGGAGAGCAAACATTCAGGGTCAGTAAAAACCAGACCGAGATTCACCGAACTGATGACGTTTATACAGGCAGTAAAGATAGGAGCAGCTGGCTGTTTGTCTGTGGGATCAGCACAATGCATGATGGTGGGCTGTTTTGCAGAGGTCTGTGCGTGCAGATAAAAACCTTTACATAAAAAGAGACAGTCCAGTGAAGACTAGAGATTGCACAGACAAACCGCACGTTTCCAGCGACAAATACTGACAATACTTTGTCAAATCCTGGCCCACCTCTCCTTCTGCTCTTTTCTCTTCCTTTCTTTTTCGATTCGCTGGTTGGTCTGGGATTGTTTTGTGCTGTCCAATGAGGAAGGAAGTCGGTGTGAGAAAGTGCCTGTTTTTTTGAGACCAACAGGAATTGGCCTCATCACAAGCGGTTCCTTTTTTTGCCGCTGGAACAATGCACTGGCGTCACACCCCTTGACTGGACCTCGGCATTTCACATGGAAAAATGTTCCCAGAATTCCGCTCCCAGGCTCAGGGTAAGGCCGAGGATGGGTTGAGGGTGAGAGGGCGGGAGGTGGAGGGCGGAGGGGAACGGCTGTTAGGGTTAGCAGCCCCGTGGACACTTGTCACCATCACAACAAGAGAAAGGAGATTCACTTTTAAATGATGGCATATCAACGAAGGAAAACAAGTCTTTGATTTTTAAATTTGAAAATTTTTTTGATTGAAACCTTGAAACCAGCAGAATCATTACTTGAGTCCCTGGTTTAAAAAAAAAACTCAACTCTATCTTTGCCATGCAACCTGGGGTATCCAATTTTCAGCTTACAAAGATCCTTTCTTAAAAATTAAATCACAGTCACTTAATAATGCCGCATCTTCCTCTTTGATGACACCATATTCTTCAGAGACCTGTGCAAGGAAATGTAAAGTCAGCATCTAACCAATCAGCTAAAAGATTTGTTGAGTTGTACTGACTGACAAGCTAAAGGGATCATCCTTCATACTGAATTTCTGAACATGCAATCATGTCATTGAGGAAACCATTACACAACAACTTGGAAGCTTTAGAAATTTGACACATACCTGTAATAGGTGTAGATGCTGCAGGTAGGTTGATTGCTGACAACATGTAGACTGTTTGAGTTGACTGCATGTTGAGTTTGTCTTCAATAAAGGATTCTGAGTGGAATGATGAGACCAAGTCGATCCACCATTACTCTGCTGTCTCTATGTATCTTTGAGTGTGTGTTTATGTGAAGCTCCTACTGTGTACTGTGTGGCAAAATCCCACAAGTTATCCATGCTTTTATTACATCTTGTTTAGATTATTGCAATTCCCTGTATGTCGGAATTGGCAAGTCAGAGCTCAACCGCTTGCAGCTCATTCAAAATGCTGCAGCTTGTCTCCTAACTGGGGCTAAGAAACAGGAGCACATAACTCTGGTGCTTACCTCGCTTCACTGGCTCCCAATTAGGTACAGGATTGATTTTAAAATTATTTTATTTGTTTTTAAGTCTCTTAATGGGTTGGCCCCGTAATACCTGTCTGACCTTATAAAAATGCATCAGCCCTCCAGAGCCCTGAGGTCAGCTAATCAGGTGGTTTTAGACGTTCCTCGATCCTTTTTCAAATCTAGGGGAGATCGAGCATTTTCTGTTGTGGCTCCCCTTTTGTGGAATGCTTTACCCCTGACCGTATGCACTGCGAATACCCTCTCCACTTTTAAAACACTTCTAAAGATGCACCTGTTCACTTTAGCCTCCTCACCATTGCATATTTGCTACCCAATGCATGTTGAGGCTAGAAGATATTAGCTAGCTCATCTAGGGTCTAACAAAGCTCCTGCTAGCTAAAAATGAAGTAGGCCTCATTATAACCTGTGACCCGTAGAAGGAGAGAGATGAAAAGAGACAATGTGTGGACACTTTTTTAAAAGACAAGACCAAGTGTATCATCCCTAATCACAATGGAGAGCCTTGTGGATTCGAGATGGGAGGAAAATATGATGCGGATTTAAGAAGACACCTGGAAACTAGGCAACTCGCAGTGTCTTTCAAGGTAAATACACAATAGCTCTCTAGATTTCACTGATTTTCTCTAAACTTGGAGTTCTTTGTAGTATCAGGTCTCTATTTTTGCCGTGTTAGCATTCTTTGACAAGGCAGCAAAAGTCAACGTAACACCTGTTGGCGATCACCATATCACACACAGAGTTACATTACAGTCTATGTTTAACCTGCTTCTTCTGAAACATGACTTACAATTTCTATAAACCTACAGTTCCATTGTAAATCAGCTAAAATTAATATATTTCATTCAGCTCCATGTAGTAAAGGGGGAATTTGTGTTTTTTGAAATGTAACTTATTGTACTTTTCACAAGTTTTAGGTGTCATTTTATTGCAAGGTGCTCTTTTTCAACCAGAAAAAAATCTCAGTCTTTAAAATAACTATAATAAAACTGTCTGAAAAAAGTTAGACTAAAATTAGATGGAAGCCAACACAGACCAAAATAAGACTAAAATACAAAAAAATCCTCTGACCAAATATGATATATGATAAAGTTTGAGAAATCCACACTCAAGATATACAATGATGAAATGGTGACAGAGACATGAGTTTTTTAAGAATTATTTTTCACATGTTTAAATATTGATGGACACCTACTTGTAACTTAAATAATTCTGTTTTCCAAAGCCTTGTTTTAACAGTATGGGGACCTTCCAGTCTATAGACCTAAAGAAGCACACAACTCTATGTAATATGGTTGGCAACACTGCATTTCCATGTTCTTTTTCTGCTCTGGTTCTACAGCCTGGTGCTGTAAGAAAACAAATGACCTCTGCTCAAAAGTGCAAGGTCTGCACTTACACTATCAGTGTCATTCATCACCCTGGCTAATAAATCATCATTGAGTGTATGAGAACTCTGGACTCAAAACAAAGATGAATTTGCATTAGAAGTACCCCAGCTTTAAAAGAAAAACATCTCAAAATCATATATGAACATAAAAGGGGGGTCACAGAGGGCATCGCTCTGTTAGTATGCTTTTTGACAAGGATGAAGAATAATTCCTTTAACACTTGAGTTTTTTCCTCATAAGGAAGAAATCTGCGTTCTCAAATGTGAGCATTGCGCAGTTAGCTGCATTTTTAAATGAAGGACCTTGAAAAGCATGACATCTTTTTTTACGTCTGGAGAGTACAGCGTTCTTGAGAGATGTCATATAGTGGACAGAGACATGAAAATTGCCCATGAGAGCCAAATCAGAAGAGAGGCAACTTGGGAGTCGCAGGGTCAAGCTGGAACAACACTCCAAAGCTATTATCCATTAGCATTAGCCTTATTTAGGCCTGGCAACAAGAGAGCTCCTCCTGAGCTACAGAAATGAGGCTGGATGCATCACTGCTCCAGAACATCCATCAGCCCTTCTGCACAATCTCATCAGAGAGAATCCAACACCAATGAGCCTTTACTACACAAACAGGCTGCACCCACTCCTCACCAGCAGCTCCCACAGAGAGAATCAATCAACCGGCATCCATTCAGGCCTTGTTGTCTCCATATGAGGCTGGGTAAGCATCTATGGAGACCTAAATGATGTCAAGCATGACATGTCACCCAGTCGTAGGAGCACAAACAGACAGAGGTAACGTTTACATCTTTCATCTGCGGTCCACTGTTGTTAATATCACAGCCCTTAAGTTGACTTGGATAACACACACTCAGCACAGAAGGATTTACATCTGTTGTTTGTCCTGCGGAGTGGAGATGGGTTTGTGTGTATGTACACAGTGAGCAGTTATGAGGTCAGCTGCAGTTCGGCTGGCTAAAAGGGATCCAAACAAAAGGTCACATTTCACTCTCACGGCTGTAGAAAAGGATCATCATGACTCGAGTCAAGACAGAGACGAGGCTTTACGGAGGTCCCTTAACTTCCTCATGTGATAATCTAAAACATAACACTCCCACAGACAGAATACGCAAATGCCCAAGAACCCTTGTTTCGTAGTTGTAAGCAAAGGTAGGAAGCTGCTTGGACAGTGGGAAAAGGACAACTGGGAATTTCAAATCGTTGAAGGAAAAAACACCGGACCTTCCAGAAATACTTGTAGATTTGTCTATAAACACAAACAAAAATAACGTGGAGGTCAGGAAGTCCAGGAAGAAAAGCAGATTAGAGATCATTAAGTGTCTGGATAATTAAAGATGAATCAAAAAGTCCCTTATCACACCAAATCTCAGCATCTAACAGCCTGGCGTGCCAAGGTGAAATTAAGAGATGCTAATCACACTGGTAGTGTTTGGTGATTGTGTTGAATTTCCCTCAGGCTTAAATCGTCGCAACTTTGAAGACTAATATTAGCTTTTACTTTGATAAAAAAAAATCCCCCCTGATCCACAAAACCAAACAACTTCAACAGAAGACTATTAATATGAACAAATACAAACTCTCTCTGTGGTGTATCTGTGCTGCCAAAACCACTTGACGACACAAAGGCTCTGCTGCGTAGCACAGTAAGGAAATGCACCTGCTCACACCTCATGTGAGCAGGTAGATTAGTGTGTGAATAGGAGGTCCAAGAGGCCTGAGGGTTCTCAGTCTTCCTAATGGGCGAACTGGTGCAGTTTTAACAGCCCTCTTCACACCAGCATGCTCTTCCCAATCCTCCATTTATCTCTTTCCCTTTCCTGCTGGGAGGTTTTGTCTTGCGTAAGACTGTGATGCTTTGACTCTGACTGGGGAGGATTTCCTCAAGGCTACAGAAGCTACTTTCACACACACAATTAGTGCAGCGCTGGTAATCACTCAAAAAGTGCTTGGACACAAAAACATGTTTGGTTTTCGTGTTTTGTGAGTGTCCTTCACATATTTATTTATCTTATGCAACTAATAGATCCCTGCAGAAATGTGATAGATTAAGGGGAAACTCATCAGTGCTGATATAGTTTGAATTTCCCTTCAGGGATAGATAAAGTTATTCTTATTCTTATAGAGTATGACAGCATTGGGACTTTTTTACTTTGTGTATCACTCCACCTCCGTTGTGCTGAATAATTTGCATTACAGTAAGTTTTTGCAGAGGTCACTGAAGCAAAATCTTGTTTGATAGTTGCATGGAAAACTGAAACTTATAGATAAACATTTATACATTACATACAGTTGCTTCTTTGCAGTAATGTGTACACATTTACAAATCATAGATGGAGCACAGTAAACAAAAATACTGAGAAAAATGTCACCCTGTAGTTGCTTATTACTTTGTCATCACCTTGTTTATCTTACTCATTTGCAGACTGGCTTTGGAAACTTGATTCTGATTGGACAAAACCCTTTGACAACCCCTTGACAACAGTTATTAATTCTGAATAACAAAATCCAGATCAGATTAAAGAGACAGCAGCTTAAACAAAGCGTTTCAGACAGAGGCTGAAACAATGGTAATGGTAAACACAAGGCTTTTTTTCATTTGAAAATCATGTAAAACTATTGAAGAAGTACAAGAAAAGAAGTACAGAGTCTGAAAAAATACATAACACCCCCTCTTTAAGCTTTATGTCAATGATCAATCTACAACATGCAGATAAGAGTCCATAAAATAAGTATAAATAAACCATCGGTTCGATTCCCCCCTAATCCAAGTCTGTCCGTTGTGTCCTTGGGCAAGACACTTAACCCACCTTGCTCCCAGTGTGTGTCCTCCACTGGTGTATGATTGTGAGTGTTGTGTGGTGGTGGTCGGAGAGGCCGTAGGCACAGAATGGCAGCCACGTTTCCACCACCACCAAAGTGTTGAACTGTGTGAGCGAATGAATGATGTATCCAATGTAAAGCGCTTTGAGGGTCTCTGATAAAGCGCTATATGAAATCTGATGCATTATTATTATTATTATAAGAGTCCATAAAATCAGTATGAATAAACCATCTTTAACTCAACACACTGTGCCAACTTTTTTGGATCTTAAAGTCACTGTAAGGAACTTTTGGTTTGTGTCAATTTTTGGTGTCAAATCGGATTTTGTTGAACTGTTCTTGACATGCTAAAGTGGTGGTGTCAGACCAAAAATCTAAGCCAAACTTGATGTCAATATTTTATGTGAAAACTGTAAAATCAGAGTTTTTTTGCTTCCTGGTTGACACCACCCTGTCACCTAGTTTAAGGCATTAAAGGTTACAGTACAGAAATTGTCAATCTTGTTGCTAATGATCTTGATTTCTTTTATATATCATCAAAAGGCATCTGCACAACTGTTGCAGCAAATGACGTGATATAGCTAGGAGTGACAGATGTACCAATGCCTATCCCTGCTGACTCTCAATGTGTCAGAGGTGGAGCTTGTTCTGTTGGGATCAATATCAAGTATTGAAGGGGAGGTCCCTGTCTGTTGGGGAGGCAGGAATGCGCTGCTGTTTTTCTGGCACACTGGCACACAGACAGCTGTACACAAACGGCCTCAGATCACCTCGACTTGTTTTACGCACTTCAGCCCGAGCAGAAACCTTTAAACCCTGGTGTTATTGAGCTGTAAATTACACCGCAGGCGTTGATGATGTCATGATACTGCTGACCAGACGTCTCTTCAATAGCTTCACTCAGATGTAGTGACACTAACATCACATCGGGACGTGCTGTCGGTGACCCAAGTGTGTTGTTAGTTGTGCCTTAAGGGTAGAGGTGTGCTGACATAGCGGTGTTTTGTCAACAGTGTAACAAGAGGGTGGCTGGAAAGTTCCACAGCAGAGGAGGGCTCATATTAGAAGGATACACTTGATATCAGGGTCTGCATCTCCTTATTAAAGTCAGCTGAAGGTTCAAACAGAGAGAAAACAGACATGTTACAAAGGTAATTTACGATACCTTTTAGGGCTTCCACAGCAGATGCCAGAAGACACTTACTAAATGCCATGTTGATTGTATAATTCAGAGAACTTCTCTTTTGTTTTTATCAGCAGGCTGTCAAAACAATTTGCTGCATATTCTCTATTTTAAAACACCTAATCCAATTTATAATCCTTGGCATTTGCGCAAACAGTTTACTGGCAACTCTCCTCATACCCTGAGCACCCAGACATGTTATTCGATCATTTTGGCAGAAACATTTAGTCCCTAAAACTTTGGGACTAAAAGGCGCTACCAAGTTAAAACAGGACAGCAGGGTGCTGTGAGACAACCGAACCACCCCTTGCCTCTCTAATTGTGGCAGTAGGTGATTTCTCCTTGGAGGGTTGACATCCTTAGATGCCTCAGATCTGTTGGCAGCGCACATCAAAAGGCTTATTGATTGGCTGGACAGATTGGGGCATAGAGATCAAATGTGCTGTAAAGAAGTGTTGAACTGCCCTGCATTAAACGGAACAGATTTCCTGACTAAAAGGAGCCATCTGTTAGTGCTGTAGTTGATTTCCAGTTGCACTAGTCCAGGTTGAAACTAGCATAACGGCCAGAACAGGCTCAAGTTAGTCCTAGGATACGGTTCTTTAAATGGAGACAATGTTTATTTTGGTAACACTTTATTTGACGCCTATCTTTGTAAAGCATTGGAGAAATATTTATAATATAATATAATATTTATAATATTATAACAGCAGTTGAATTGCATTATCTATGTGGGCATTGTCAGTGAGTTGTTAACCATTATAACACATTATAATACCTGACCTTGTAAGTCATGATAAAATGCTTTATAATGTGTTGTGATTATTGCTATAAAGCATTATGATCATTTCTGAGTGTTTATCGGTACATAGTGCTATGATGTGGCTATAACGCATTATACATCTATTTGTAATGCATAATAGTGATAGTTGTCAAATAAAGTGTCACCTTTATTTTTTAGTAAATGTAAGCACTTCTGTGAAAATATGACTTTTTCGGTCACTTTCATGTGACTTTTTACCCATATCATCAAGTCCAGTCTCCTTTCCAGTGAAAATGAACCCTAAACACAGACTGACATTTAGCAGAGGGGAATTTAATTAGAGAAGCTCTTTGATCCCTGTTTTATGGATGGGTGAAACATCAATTTCTATGTGTTTTGGAAATAGATAAGTATCAACAGAATGTTGTGTGACTGTTGGCCGGCAGTTTGACCAAGAGTGTTTTGAGTCACATGCTTACATTTAAAAACGAGAGAGCCAAGTGGCACACCCCTGATTGGATTATTTTATTAGCTTTTTGAGTTACAACATTTCAAACATCTTGTATAAATCTTTTACTTATGGGCAATGAGCTTTGCTGGGAACAAACATCAATCTGCCATTGAACTAAACAATTGCATCAGATAATGTCTCGTAAATAGAAACTTTCCCCCCCAGAAGTTCCAAGTCCAATAATACTGCCATGCCTCAATATTTTCCAATCAAAATGTTATTTTTTAGTTTGGATGCCAGCTGAAAAGCAGTATAACAATCAGAAACCAGCTTTACCAAACACTGTCACAGAGAAAAATGATGTCCCATAAGCTAAGATGAGGCAGTGGAGGGCCAAATTCTGTTTCCATGGCTGTGTTTACTCGAGAGCAAAGCAGTAAAAGAGCCCCTCTGAGTATTGATTGTGGTGGCCAGACGTAATTAATGAATATCGCTAAACTTGCCTTTTACAACCCCATTTCCAAAAAGCCAGGATGCTTGATGGTACCCTCTCAGCTGCCTGTGGGCTCCCAGACATCCCCATACCAACATTGGTGCTGGTTTATGAACTGTGTCCTTATAATAACCCAAACAGTTCCTTGTCTCTTCAGAGCACAAAATGCTGCATTCACAAATCCCAAAAAGGCCGCCATCTTTTGATTTGTCAGACAACAGGACAGTTTTACCACCTCACCTTCGTCCATTGAACACACAAAACTTTTCTATGCTTTGGTTATAATTCACCAATATAGGCCATTAAAATGACGAGATTTATTGGTGCATATAAAGAGTCTACATCTACATTTGATCCAGGTGTGCGTTTTTCTTTATTCTTCATCATTAAGTTCCAATCCAAGAATTCTTGCCTGTTTAAGACAGTCCAAAGCTTCACCAGGAAGTGCAACCTGAAACCCATTCGGAAACATCAACAAATGCTCCATCAAATATTTAAGTCTATGGATGTTTTGACGTGTATGAGGTGAGAGCAGGAGCACCATTACACGATACACTTCTCCCTTCAAAAGAGATCAATGAGGCTCTGGAGGCCATCACAGCATCATAAACCAGTAAGAAACCCTCACAGAAACATGAATGAGAGTCATTTTCATACTCAGGATATAATAGGAATATACAGGATTAAAGCGCTGTGTGGGGCTGCATTGATCTTCAATGGTGGGAACTTTTTTTTTTTTTGATAAAGCAAAGCCATGAGATGTCTGGGCCTCTTAGTCACACTGCTCACTCAATAGTCCATTGTCCCTGCTCTTAAGTGGAACCTCAAACCTATAAGTCAAAGGTGGGGGCTTACAGATGAAGTCATCTCAGCAGGAGAGCTTTTCAGCCAGACACCTTCATGGTCAGGGAACAGCTTCTGGATCCTGTTCCCTCACTGTAAATCCTCTCAGACGAGCTGGTCTGCTGCAGGGGTGATAAAGGCAAACAATGCCTGTGCCCAGCATGAGTTTACATGTGATAAAATGTATATGGCATCATGATTTATTTACTCAGCGGCCTTCATATACTGTTTGGAGTTCATTTTTCTTTCTTTTTTTCATGAAAGGGGAAGAAAAGTTTTTTCAACTTGCTCTGGTTGATGTTAGTTCAACAAACATCGTTGAGTTACATGTAGGGTACAATCTCAACTTCAGGGGATTTGAATTGGTTTTCAATGGAAGGAGTTATGAGTTACAATCTCAGATAAAGTGTCTGAACAGCTGGGTGCTTGCACTTGTGATGATATTTTTACTTAAACATAATAAGCCAACTTGAAGTTTAATGGAGCCTCTTCCTCTCTTTACACAGCATGCAGGGGGGCAACTGTGCGTGAGGTTTCTTACGTTTCTCAGCTTTAAAAAAAAGATTCTGAATAGACCTACTATTAAACAGCTTTTTCTATAATCAAAATGTTCTGCTCTTATATTTGGGATAAGATAAGTGCATTTATGTCTTCGCTGCAAATCTGGATCTACCCATATTTGCCTTTTTACGCGCCAGATTTTCGTAAAACGCGGGTTCCACGGCTGATTTATGAGTAAGAAAGTGTGTTTGCATCAACAAACCATTACCATGCAGCTGTGGAGTTATCTCCCGCCCCATGTTCTCTATCTTGAATAAACACGAGAAACGAGCGTGGAGGGCTGGGAGGTCATAAGTGGAAAAGACGCACCATGCGCTCTGATGCGTAAAGAGGCGCACATCCCCGAACCAAAACGCTCGATCCTCTCATAACTTTGTCTTTCTGCTGCCAAAAGTACATTATAAGAATTTTCCTCTTTAAAAGTTACTTTGCAAATGATTTTTTTTTTTCGTTAGCCTTTGAGAAAGTTGCTTTATCTTAATTTGTGAATATTTAACTGGGATTCATGGATCGACAATTTCAGCAAAACACGTTGAAAAAAGGGGGCTTTTTTTAACAACGACTCAATCTCCTCCTATAATAATATCTGCTTATAATGATGTTCTAAGCAATAGCGGAGGGAGAGTTGAGACTGGGAGTGGGCGGTGTTTACTGACTGACACTGTCTGAAATGGCACCACACGGCCGTATATAAACTGGGAGGGACGTCAAACACCCTTCACTGAGAGTCAGTATGCGCTGATGCTCCGTCACATGCTCGCATCACTGTTGGCAACACCAGCCTCGCATCAGCACACCAGACTCACACACACACTCACACACTCTCCTGCCGGCACGATGGATGGGCAACATAAAGACCGCAGACAGACTCACTTGTGGATATTGACGTTATTGATATTAGTCTAACCTCAAGCACTGGATAACTCGGTCTTTGCCATTTTTTTATTTCCTCTGGAGACGGATAGTGGATCTGGATCTCTTCCAACAGCCTTCAGAAGACGGATTATATTTATTTTGATCTCTTTATTTGTCATCACTCCATTTTCACCACTTGGAATAGGAGCGTTTTGTTTTTTTCTGGAGGACAACAGATTTTAAGGATACGCACATTAACCCTAAAGGATGGCCGTTTGGTTCACCTCTTTCCTCGCAATAGTTATGACATTGTTTACTCAGGTAGCTTGATTTTTATTTTTTTCAAATGTGGAATTGATTAGCATGGGAAGGAAATGTTGCTTTTTTTGGTTGTCCTCACTTTTTGTGTCCTTTTAGGTTCTGGGATCAGGTGTATTCGAGATAGATCTCCATCACTTTCAGAATACTAAAGGTTTGCTGGCGAATGGACTCAGTTGCAGCGCATCTGGCTGCAGGACTTATTTCAGGGTTTGTTTGAAGAACTACCAGACGGTGGTGTCCCCGAGAAAGTGTTTGTTTGGCAAAGTCACCACACCTGTCCTGGGAACGGACTCTTTCACCATGCAGCAGGACGCCAGGCTACGTCTGCCACTTAACTTCACCTGGCCGGTAAGAGCACCTGTACCACCTGAAACAGCTTTAAAGTAAAAACAACCTGACACATCAAATCAACAAAAAATAAAGACAAGTTGATGCAGTATTAGTGACACTTACATATACATTAGGTGGAATATATGTGCTTTACAACGCAAAAAGTTTGGAAATTTAACTTGTTTGACGTTTTCCACCTTCTGCGTAATGAAACGACAAAAGTTGCAAATATGAAAGTTTTTGTTGAAGTTTCTTATTTGTCCCCTCAGGGTGCTTTCTCGTTAGTTATTGAAGCCTGGCATTCTCCAGCAGCGGACCCACCGGGAGGTAAGCAGACGTACTTTGCCTTATCACCACGAGAGGGAGACAAATTTGGCGTAGTTATATAGACGGCTTCATAGCAGTAAATCTCATTTTAAGTCAATATTCCTCACTCAGCGTGCAGGAAAAATGCATCTGGCTTTTTCAGCGTCATGAATTCGTGTTTGTTAGGATGCCTTGTGACTCACACGACAATTCCTTTCAATCAAGTCTCTCCAACACAATCGCACTTCCCTTGTTTTATTTTGGGAGTGCATGGGAAAGTGTGCAGGCTCAAGTACGAATATGAAGTCTTGCCAAAATTCCCATGACAGCCTTTTCCTGTATTTTACACCTTTTTTTGTTTGGTCCTTCATAACAAGGGAATAACAGTCACATGTGAAAGGAAGAGGAAAGATTTTGAATTGTGGGAATGGTTCGATTTATCAAGTAGGCTACACCACAAACTGTGTTCATATTTCTAATTCTCTGTTCTGTTCTCCACAGAGACCACCGACCCTAAATTCTTGATCAGTTCTTTTGACATTCAAAAACAGTTGGGAATAGGGCCTACATGGTCCCAGGAAGTGCAGAGCAGGACGCAGACGGAGCTCAACTACTCATACCGGTTCATCTGCAATGATAATTACTACGGGGACACTTGTTCCAAAATATGCACTCCAAGAGACGACCATTTTGGCCACTACACCTGCAAGCCTGACGGGCAAATAGCCTGTCTACCAGGATGGAAGGGAGAATACTGCCAAGAACGTAAGCAAGAGTGAAGACACCATATGGACACTTTTCTTTGTTTATGATAAAAGGTCACAAGTCAGAGTTGAGCTGTAACTTTAACCCAAAACAGGCTTAAAATTAAACTACAAGGCACAGACCTTGACCTTTAGTGGTGCATATAAAAGAAATAGCTAAAAGAGCTTGAACATACCGTTTTTGTACGTCTGAGGCCTAGATTCAAGAATACTGACCTTTTTTGAGTCTTAAAAGTCTAAATTATGAGTTTACCTGCTACATGATAACAGGTGTGTGTTTTTGGACGGAAAGCATTCAAGCAAAATGAGAAGGTGAAGCTGAAGTGAAATTTGACGACCCGAGGCCCACTTGGCGCACCTTTTCTCTGGGCGCGTGCGGTTTAATCCAGGGCGGTGGTCGCCCAGCAGCGCGCGCCGGGGTTAATCGCAGCATTATCGCCCGCCACGCGCCACTAAATTGCGGGCTCTATTGTTGAGACGGTGTAGGGCAGCAGCTGCAAACAGGGCTCATACTGCCCACCGCTAACAATGGGGCAGCTGTCCTGCTTTTTGTGGGAACGAGCATCTGCTGTGCAGTAACCAGCCGTTTAACACTATAAAACCATGAAAAATCAATGAGGCATACAGCACAGGGCAGATTATCTCTCCTTGAACTGGTCAGGTAACAGGTTTAATAGTGCAAAAGGAAACATTTAATAGCGAAAATTGTTTATTTAAAGTCTGTTTTGTGAACTAAATTGTATGTGTGTAGCATTAAATATCATTTCCTTGTTTGTTTCCTTATAGCTGTCTGTCTTGAAGGATGCAACGAAAGAAATGGAAACTGCACCTTACCTGGAGAGTGCAAGTGAGTATTCTCATAATTTTAAGATTGTTGTACTCTTCTAATGGTCTTTTTTGGCATTAAACTGTTTTTTTTCTGTCAACTGGTAAAAGACGATCCACAAACTTTAATAATGTAATGAATTTACAGAATTTCCACTTAAGAAAGTACTTCTGATTCTTATAGATATCTTTATAGAGCAACAGTTAAAACTTTGCAACAATTGATGCCATCTTTACCTCTACCAAAAAGATGCTGTATTTTACTTCTTGTTGCACCCGTTTCAAAACACATGTGGACGTTATCCTGCCATGTTGTAGCATAGTCTACAAAATATGATAATGTGTAAATAATGTCTTTTCAATCCCCCCCCTAATGAATTTGCTTCAGAAGCAGCCAGTGTATTTTCAGAGTGTTTTTGCGTTTATGAACCACCAGTCATGTTGTTCTGTTTTATGTGTGAACAGGTGCAGAGAGGGCTGGCAGGGCCTCTTTTGTGATGTGTGTAAACTCCATCCATCCTGTAAACATGGTACCTGTAAAGAGCCGTGGCAGTGCACCTGCAAGGAGGGCTGGGGAGGCATCTTTTGTGACCAAGGTGTGTGAATATATCAGTCTCTGATCTACATGAACCAAAAAAAAAGGGGAAACAGAATGACATTTTTAAACTAATGTTTCCCCAATGTTTACAGATTTAAACTACTGCACTCACCATAAACCCTGTGCCAACGGGGCCACATGTCTGAACACGGGCCAGGGCAGCTACACTTGCACCTGCCTGCCAGGCTTCACCGGGGTCAACTGTGACATGGAGGTCAGGGAGTGTGACAGCCAGCCCTGTGGTAACGGAGGCCTCTGCCTGGTGAGTCCGGAAGTCTCTCTCTCTCCTTTCCCACAACACAGGCTTTCCTGTTTTTGTTTTTGCCTCAGTCTATCTGCTCCTCCAGGAGGATGCTATCGATTGTCAAGTCAGTGGATGACCCAGTTCACAGGGCGTACACTGTAAATAGAACTCAGACGGATGATAATAGGACAGTTTTGTACAGGATGTGATTTTTAAAAAACAAAATGTGACAGGGAGCTTTTTTAATAAACTTTGCGTTTCGTCCCTGCAGGAGTCCGAGGGTGGCTATGAGTGTGTGTGCACACAGTGGTTTGAAGGGAGACACTGTGAACAGAAGATCCTCACCTGTGCAGATAAACCCTGCTTTCATGGTGGCAAGTGCAGAGACAGGGCTAATGGTCATAGCTACATGTGTGAGTGCCCTGCAGGATTCACTGGACTTAACTGTGAGAAGAAAGTGGACAAATGTACCTCACTACAGTGTGCTAATGGTAAAGATGATCACAAATAATTCTTCCCTTTCTGCACATTGAGGTTTGAAATTACAGTTGCACAAGAATGGCCTTTTTAATGCTGTTTATTATATTGTAGGTGGACATTGTGTGATCCGTGATAACTTCCACCAGTGCAGCTGTCGCTCAGGCTTCACAGGTCTACGATGTGAAATCAACACCAACGAGTGTGCGAGGAACCCATGCGCAAACGGCTCCACCTGCGTTGACGGCATCAATGACTACACCTGTATCTGTCCCCCTGGGTTCTCAGGCCACCACTGTGACAAGCCAACAGACCGCTGTGCCTCCAAACCCTGCCTGAATGGTGGGACCTGCACCATCACAGCAAAAGGCCCACCATCCTGCATCTGCCCGGCTCCTTACAGCGGCCCCCAGTGCCAGTCCAACGACGTGCCTTCACCTGACAAGTTAAACTTGGTGGCCATAAGTCTTGGAGTTGGTCTGGTGGCAGGTTTAATGCTTTTCTGCATGGTGGTGTTGGTAAAGTGTCACATGAGGAAGCAGAGGAAAAAGAAACAGGACTTAGAGACCATGAACAACCTCTCCAAGAGTGACTTTCAGAAAGAGAACCTCATCTCAACTTTAGAGCTCAAGAACAACAATAAAATGATCGATTTGGAGGTGGAGTGTCCCAAAGAAAAGTCAAATCACAAACACATCAACCACTACTGCTCGGACTACAAATCCTCGGGATACAAGGATGAACTGTCACTTTTGGACAAAGATGAAAGCTGTGAAAAGAAGTTAGAGGATAAAAAGCATTTGAGCAGAATGTACAGGTATGCAGACATTATATTACAGTTATAAATAAAGATTTGAATTTCTGCATGCCCCATAATAAATATGATGCATCTTTTTTTCCACAGTGAACGGCCAGAGTGCAGAATATCAACAATATATTCTTCCAGAGATTCAATGTACCAGTCTGTCATTGTATTAGCAGAAGAGAAAAATGAATGCATCATTGCAACAGAGGTAAGCTCTTTTCTCAGATCAGTACATTTTCACTTCTCTTTATAGTAAAGCGCTTTATACTTCATCAGTAAAATAGTTATCACTCAGATTATTTAGTTATTGAACCTTTTTTGTTCATTTCTGTTTCAGGTATAATTCATGGAGGACGTCATTCACTGTCAACATTGGATTTATCATGAACTGTTTACAAGTGAGGAGAGACTGGGATTTATTTAAATGCAAGTTGCTGCTCTTGAAAACTTGATAACTGGATGGAGCCGGTGTGCTCTCTGACTTCAAAACAGAACTAAAGCTACTAAACTTTGTGAGAATGTAAAGACTGAAAAAAAACTGTGGGAAATAATGACTGAATATGACTCGTGGGCGCTTCTTTTTGTCTGCTCCGTCCAAGTTCATGTAAGGGCTTCAGGCTGAAACATTTTTTCCTGATTAGAAGAAGAGGATTTTTTGATGAACTCCACCTCCATCTTATTGCGGTAATCAGCAATCAACAAATCAAATTACTGCCAACGAGCCTGGGGAGGAGTCGGACCTTTGCATTTTCTGTAGCCTGCAATGAACTATGCAAACGAAGACCATTGTTGTTTCAGTCAAATGATGGATTATAACTACTGAAAACGGTTCATTTTTGAAGATTTTTAGGGATGTCACTTTTGCAAATCCTCTTTTATAAAGAATGTATACAGCCTAGATCACAAAGCCTTAAATTCATGTTTGAGAAAACATTGTGCCCTGCCTTGTCTTGATCCCTCTGCACAGCAAAATGGAGGTAAACGAAAAAAGATCAAAAGATGCAATATGCCTTTGCTGCATGCAGGGAAAATCAAGATGAGGTCTCGTTTTTTTATGCAAGACCACCCTTAAATCAAGACAAAGAAATACATGAAGTGACTATTGTACCAAGGACGCCTTCAAAGGAAATTACTGAATTAACAATGTTATTTGTAAGATTAGTATTTCATTAGTTATTTATGAAGCACTGATCTTTATATGTTTTATAAGATTATTTTGTATATACTGTATATTTATATGTCAAGATAGGAAGTAAGAATCTGCTTTTAATTTGACACCTAGGAGAAGTGAAATTATTTTTAAAGGTGTCTGTTTTATTATTTTTTATTATAAAAAGACACATGAATACATATCTGGTACACTGTTTTGTTTGTCGGTCTTCAATGGTTGTGTGTACATGTTGTCAAATACAGATCCTAATTTAAGTGTCGGAATCATCTAGAAACTTAATTCATGCCACATCTGGTGTGGATTCGGCTTTTTTATCTGTAGATACATGCAGTCTTATATTTGGCCTGGTAGCATTTCTGGTGTTTCCACGTCTGTACCCATAATGTCTGTGTCAGTGTGAAGTGAAATCAGTGTGCTAGCAATCATTCAGTGGACAGTGTTGTAATTGGCAGTGAGAACAAAAGGATACATATTCAAAGACAATATTTGTATGTGAAAATAAAGAGTCCTTGTGATCTTTCTACAGAACTGAAATGTTTCTCCTGACATGTTTTTTTAAATATCAGGAAAAAAAGATTGCAGCAGGAAAAATACAATCTGTGTAAATGATCATGAAACTAAAGAGGGGGTAGGTGATTTAGTTAGAATCAGATTTACCATTGGAGTCTGAACTAACTGAGCAAGTTGCAGTGTCGTTTTGAAATAAGGTACTTTAGTCCAGAGCCAGCCCAAGGCATAAGCGAACTAAGTACCTGCTTAGGGCCCCAATGGGGTGCCCCCAGGTGCAATAAAAAAAAAAAGTATATATATATATATATATTTTTTTTTTTTGCATGTATGAGTGATGCTTTCTGTATGATCAAATATATATCATTGTATTTTAGTGCTGCTGCTGTTGTAGGCCTATGATTCTTACTGCTGATATGTCAAAGCTCTGCTACCGTTATGTGCCTTCTGCTGTGTAATGTGCACTGTGCATCCAAAGCACGGGTAGTTGTGGGGCAAAACAATATCGCGAAAAAGGACATATCCTTCAGGGGCAGAGAAAAGAAAAAAGAAGAAGAGAAAAAAAGCCAAGATTAAGGTATGTTTGCATGTCATGGAATGTTTAAGAGATTTGTGAAGGTGTGTGAATGATCAACAATCAATATTATTGGCAGAAATAGAGGGCCCCAAAATCAAATTTTGCTTAGGGCCCCATTGAGGTTAGGGCCGGCTCTGCTTTAGTCACTTGCACCACCTGTCATGAAGAATGAGTTCCAAGATTGAAGCAGTGTAATGGTCTACCACCTGGTGGCAGTAAGCCTCGTATGAAATCTGAAGAAAAAAAAGTTTTGTCTGTTTTTCCTCCTCTACCCTCTGTGTACACATTCACAAGCAGAGGTCAGAGTGTGAGCAGCAGTCAATCATATGTGATCATCCTGTGTGGGGACACACAGACTTTAGAGGAACACAGACACTTAATGAGCTTAGGACAGCACTGGTACAACAGTCCTAGCTATTTATATGTAATGTGATTACCTGTGTGTGTGTGAGAGAGAGACTGTAACTGACTGTTTGACACTCAAGGAACAAGAAGTACTTTCACTTTACCCAAGCAGTGGTTTTTTTTAACCTTCGTTATGCTTTAACGATCGTGTTGTGGCAATGTAGTTCTTTTAACTGAAAATCAAATCTCTATTAGAAATCGTGTAATAAAAAAAAGCATAGTTATATCAATTATTGTATCAGAGATGATTTACATTTATGTACATATTCTCATATATCACTTCAAACCATGACAATTTTCTCTATTGCTGAAGGCTCAATCCAGCGGTCGAAACGTCTCAATTATTGTTTTTCTCATTCTTACTGGCGTGTTACGGTTCAAAACATTCTGATTGGTCCACCCGTAAGGTAACCCCGCCCTCCCTTTGATTTCATTGGTCGAGGCCGCTTCGCTCTGACGTCTCTGCACAACAAATACACGTGTTTGTTCAAAAATAGAGACGATTGAGACACACTACACAACCGTTCAAACCGCATATTTGGTGGCGCTGGTCATCGTGGTCGGTGTATTTCTTCACACTTTACAATATATAGATTTTATTTTCCATCTTTACTGTCAATGCAACAGTGACAGCAGGATGTGTCGGTATGCATAGGAGAAAAACAAGTGAGGAAATCTCGGAGAGGAGCTACTCACTGACAGAAGTGCCATTAGATAAATGCCTATAACTGCCTCAATTTTGAGACACAACCAAGCCAACATCATGAAACCTCAGGACATCGTGAAAGAAAAGAGCAGCATGTGGATATTTGGATATGGCTCCTTGGTGTGGAAACCTGACTTCGTCTTCAAAAGACGTAAAATTGGCTTCATCAGCGGATTCAAAAGGCGCTTCTGGCATGGAGATGATTTTTACCGAGGGGACAAGGAAAAGGTAATGTTAAAACATTTGTCATCTTGTGCATGATTATACCTCTGTTTATCTGAGGGGTGTTTTTTGTCAGATAAGGATATTTATTGTGCTTTTTGGGGGGGATTGTGAATCCCCTTAATGTTGTTGTATAATGTGCTGAGTAGTCTTTCATCCTTTCTATTCACAGCCTGGCAGAGTGGTCACACTTGTGGAGGATCGGGAGGTAAGTGAAGCTCAGTCTGTTATGGTACAGCATGCAGTAGTGAATTACCCCCTACAGACTTCCAGGACTTCCACTACTCTTCTGTACAACTACAAATGGACATGATTAGGATTCAGATGTACCATCTTAATATGGCTCAACAGCTTAAAATAGCCAACGATATTAAATATATCATGTCTGCTGCATCAAATGGTCCTAAAGTGAAATAGGAGAATACCTTACTTTAAAGCCTTTCACCAGTGTGGTGTACTACTACTAACACAATTTATCATAAAATGATGATATGGATTCACATAAATATTCAGCCAATTATATCTCACATGTATAACCAACAGCACAGTTCATTTGTCTCAGAATTAAAATGCTTTAAAACTATGTTTAATTCTGTATCTGCACTCCCTTTGTTTTCCCCCGCAGGCTTGTACATGGGGAGTGGCCTACGAAGTGACCGACTCCAAGCTAGAAGAGTCCCTTCAGTACCTGAACATGAGGGAGGTAGTTCTGGGAGGTTATATAACACAGATGGTGGAGTTCATCCCCAAAGAGAAACCTCATACTCCTCTCTTGGCCCTCGTCTACATCGCTACTTCTGATAACCCAATCTACCTTGGCCCGGCCTCGGACGCGGATATTGCCGCCCAGATCGCCATCTGCAGGGGCAACACGGGGCACAATATCGAATACCTGGTCCGCCTTGCAGAGTTCATGAGAATGAACTGTCCTGAGGTGGTGGATGAGCATCTCTTCTCCATTGAGGCGGCTCTTTTGAACATTTTCAGTGACTGTGGAGGGATCAAACCCCCAGACCAAATGACACTTTTACTAGGAGCAACATAAAACAGGACCACTTAATGTTATTAACAGGCTTTTCCTCAGGGTAAATGATTGTCCTTCAACCCATCTTTAAGGGTGTTTGGTGCTTGAGAGAGGAAATCAGGTTTCATTGGTATATTTTGGTCCCCTATCATTGACCTTTACACTTGGGAACACTTTTAACAGAGAACTCAGCACATGCTTTTCTAAATACTGTATGCAGACTTCAGAAGCAGGTGAAGCTTTTAAAAATTCACACTCAGACATTTTCTCTTCTCAATACTTATTTTCTTACTCCTTTGTTGTAAAAGGGTCTCATAAGCACTTAAGTTGATTTTTTTTTTAACAATAAAAACACAAAAATCTGGATGAATTTCCTGAAGTTTTGTTGTGTGTTGCTAGCTGCAGCCCAAGTCGCCTGTGTAGATAAAGCCTGTCATTGAGGTCAGACCCCTTGGCCTCATCCTCTTTCTCATCACATGGCCGAGAAATGTACAGCTGTAGCCTCTGGCATGCTGACTTTTCCTTCGAAGGATAATATATAAACTGCACAGACACTGCACACTTCCCTTTATTCATGCATGTATTCAATAACATGGCCTTATTCTTGGACAAACTGGGAAGACTCAAGAGCTGTTCTGTGCAGTTTTCACCACAAATAGACAGCCATGAAAAGTTTTCTTTAAGATGTTTTATATCTGTTTGTATTTTCTTTTATTTGTGTGAATTATTTGGAAAAGTACATAACGCAGAAACATCTAGAATAGCTCCACTGATTATATGGTGACGTGATAAACATATCTCAACATTTCAAGTAGGAAAAGCCAGTGCGAATTAAGGAAAATAAGCAGAGGTACTGCAGTGTGTAGAGCGCACAGTCAGCAGAGAACAGTAAACACTATGGTAGACCGCCCTCCCTTACAGTATAGATAGAGTACATAGGGGCTAGGTTAGGGGGGCTGGGGTGCAGATAGGGTTTCTTTTCCTGTCTGGAGCACTATCACGTTTCAAAAACATGTGCACATGCCGAAGCCAGCCTCTCAAATGAGTAGTCCCAACCTCGGCCCAACATGCCTACGTTTGAAGAAGTGGAGTTCTGCAGCATGCTACCCTACATTCTTAGAAATCGGCTCAGAACTGGGTCAAAGGTATGAGCTGTGAGACAGGAACATACAGTTCACCAAGAGCCCACGTGTCCAGGCCAAGAAATGCAAGTGGACATGGACATGGATTCCTGATTTAGATAGATGTTATTACATAACTACAGCACGGTGTCCAGTAGTTGTCCTTTTGAAGGAAGTGATAAAACTGAAGCATGGGAGAGCTGTTTGTGTTGTGAAACCGCTGGGAAAAAAAAAAAAAAAAACACTTAAGAGTAGAGGACACCAGGTTCCCTGTGCCGTGTGACTAAACGTGTTGAGTCTTTGTGGTAACAAATAAGGTAATCCAGAGACAGACAGCGGTCAGTCAACACCACAAATGTTTGTGGTTTCATATGACACAATATGGTTACACATGATACACACAAGAGGTTTGGTACACACAGTTCCCAACAGAACTATATGATGAGTCAGGCAATATGATAATCTTCCTGCCACACCCATTAACAATTAGTTTGTTCCCTCCATTCATTTATTTTAGTGCCTTTTTGAATTGATTAATCTGACTGGCCATGAATCAATATTCTATTTTTAAAGTTCATTCAGATACAAAAAACGGTGAGATTTCCTTCATATTGCCCTTTCTACATTTGCCCCTGAAATATACTTTTATATTTTCTCCTCTTGCCAGTGAAGCTCTTAATGGTAAGAATGGTCATTTCTTAAAGATTGCTTCATGCACTTTAAACCCCCCACCACAGCATTCCTATGTCAGATGATTCCTTGTCGCCAGCCAACTTGTGGTAACCTAAATCAACAACACTAATGGCCTCTCCCTATGCTACCTTGTATCACTCGGCTTAGCTCCTCCCACCACATGCTGCAGCAAACATCCATGAAAACTATTGTCAAGCAGACTTACTGATCCACACACCTATTTACGTCAGTCTCAGAACAGAAACACTGACAGCTGAATAGGGAGGTTCCCATCAGCTGGTTTCCACTTGTTCTAATCAAACCTTAAATTCTAACCAACCATCGTGTCTAAAAGTAAGAAAACACTCAGAAAGTAGTCCAAACTAAGATCAAGAACCAGGTTTGCCTTTGTGGAAAGATGGTGCAAATTGGTTTGCCAAAACTGCCAGACACACATTTAAGGATATCAATGTTTAATTTGTGTGAGCGACATAAACTTATCAAAATTCACTTTTCTAAAAATATTAAGTTGCCTACTGTAGCTTTAAAATGCTAAAAGTAGTATGAGAGTAAGAGCCTTCAGTCAACAGGACCCTCTCTTCTGGGTTCATCTACCAGTTTGGGTCTGTGGGCAGGCACCCTCTGTATTTCAGAATTTTCTGGCTTTGACTTAATTCACACAGGGATGTGGATAAAGCAGGAAACTGGTGAGAGTGGGGAATGGCATGTGATAAAGGCCAGCAGGCCAAAATCAAACCCTCAGCCATCCAGCTGCTGAGCTCTCTCTGTTTTTAATACTAGGATGAAATGGTCTGTTTCAAAAAGTAGCAGCGAAAGCTGGCTCAGACCTGTCCTCCACCCAGATTTCTGCTACCACAGGCTTAGCCTGCCTTGGGGCTTGTTACATACAGACTGACTCTCTCCCTTGGTCCCTATCTCTATACATTCCAAATTCTGTATGTTCCTAGCTGCACACCTTCACGCAGAGTTTTTGTGCTCTCTTGTCTTGCAGGTTCCTGTGGGTTACTGATGTGGACTGCGTGCTTACTATCAGGCTGACTGCTGAATGCACAGTATTAATACTGACTTTCTTAGTCATATTTCTGTTATTCTTATTGATTTTACTGGTCTGTTTTATATGTTTACATTTACATCTTTCTGTCTTTATGCCTGCCTGTTGTCTTGATCTCCATTTTTAATTTCTCCCTTTATTCCACATCCAGTCATGGCAGATGGATGCTCACTGTGAATCTGGTTCTGCTTGTGGTCTCTGCCTGTTGAAGGCTTTTACATATTGCTATTACCAAATGCCTCCTGATTGTTAGAATTAGATGGGCCTCTGTGAAAAGTACCACAAAGCACATAGCTAAGACCTGCTCTAGATTTCAGGTTTAATTTTTTTTTTTTCAGAGTTAATGCCTACATATGCAATGAACTGATGATTGATTGGAAGTATTTAATAATCAAAAAAGAGCAGATATATCTCTTATGAAACTTAAAACATTATTTTGTTTCTACCAAAACATCTCGGTACACACTATCAAAAATAAAAGATATTCAATAGGAGAGTTGATGTCAAAATTATCCTTAGCAAATCTCACAGTATTAAAAAAAACTATGGCTGCAATGGATCTTCTGCTCTTTTAAAGTTACCTTCTTGTGCCCATAAACACAGCATATTTATAGCTGGTCCTAGCCTCTCATTAGCTTTAACAATAAACACAAGCTAATCAATAAATGCCTCTAACTGCACAGTTAGGGCTCTTTGGAGAGATGCAGAGGAAATGTGAAATCCTTGAGTTAGAGGATGATCAAAGGAGGATGTAAAACATACAAACATTGTCCACTTTAAGTGAAATCTGCAGTAAAATTACCATAGAGCATGTCCAATCTAAGGGTCAAAACCTGCAGTCTATTAGGAAACATTACACCTCTGTTGCACTTTGAACCTCTAATCAATGTTACTACTCTATCCAAGGTCCCTCACTCTCCTGAACAAGATGTCGGTCATCATCTTCTAAATAGATTGCACACCGATTTAAAGGAACACACAAAACAGAGATAGGGGTCATGTCCTAAGTGGATGCATTTTGCCCATCATAAAACAGAATATCAGTCACACAACCCCAAAATCATTGTTCCTCCTGCTGCATTTGGGAATCTCCACCTGCATGCAAATGTGCACTTCATCTGAACCTCGACCCTTGGCCTTGGCCTGATCGTTGCAGGGCTGTAGGTCAGCCTGGAAGTGTGTTAAAGAAAAAGTGATTGGGGTACTAATGGAGTCCATCCTCTTCAGAGCCCCCCAGCCCTCTCATATTGGGAATCTGTAAGGCAGGGGTCAGCTCACCAGTCGCTGGGCTGCTGCCAGTAGACGTGAGTGCTCTGTGGTCACAGAGGCCAATTTATCTCAAGAGGAAGTCCATTAAAAAGAGAAAAACAAAAGCTGATGAGTTGGCAGTCAACCACAAGCCTTCTTTCAGGCCATATCAATCAAGAAAATAGAAACTGAAAGTATCGTTCCATATGTTGTATATTTCAATGATAGTACAGCTCTCTGAATGCTTACATCAAAAGACTGACCTGGTTTTCTTTATGGGTGTCAGCAGCTTGTGTTGTTTCACAAAGAAACAAGTTCAGACCCATTTATCATTGTGTAATGATAAACATCGTTCTTTAATCCATTCATCATCATCAGCGGTTAATGTAAAAAATGTTTCCTTCTCATCCAAACAGACAGTGACTCACACCCACTGGATCTTTATAATCCAATCTGTTTGGAGCAGGACTGGGCACTGAAACGGTCTTGACGAAATTAGAGCTCCAAACACAGAGCGGCCTCCTGCTTCATTAGCCTGCTCTCCAGCCCTGAGGAATGGCACTTTTGCTGCGCTAAATTTCATTTGGATAATCTCTTTTATACTCAAACACATCATGGCTGCCTGAGTCTGGCCAAAGGGTGTAGGAACTGAGGGGGGAAGGCTCTGTAAGATCACCAGAACTTCTTATCTAATTTAACATAAAACACAAAAGACTCAAACTGTCTATGATGTGCCATGGTTGAATTACCACTTACGACGAAAGAATTTACTTTTTTCCCTCGCTGTATTACAATGAGATACCATCTGAGCTAACACCTGATACCTGAACTTAATGCTTACATGTGTTTGCTTGTATGCTTTGAGTAACATCACCAACATGCAGGTATTTGACAGATTTCATGTGACATTAGACACTCACTGTTGTGTTTTTAAGCATAACATTTTCAATTGAACTATACTCGTTTATTTCACTCTGAGCAAGATATATAACTTTGGAAATAAAACGTACACCATAATAGTAGCTGTCTAAGTGCAAGAGTTTGGCCCCATTGATTCAAAATGCGCCCCCTGAGGCTTTAGACTTGGTTGTACTTGTTATAAGGTCAGACAGGATTCGGTGCACATTACTCTACATTCTCTGCTTATAGTTTCTGCCTCTATAAACTCCTTTTCAAATATAGGTTTAAAACAGGCCTTTAGAAACAATAATGGTGAGATTTCTAGGATGTATTGGTGAACAAAATAATCTAAGACGTGTATAGCATTTAGTGATTTACTGGTTTGTCACAACTGTTTTCATCTGCATCCAAGTCCCCAGGCAATAGGCTTTCAAATAATCACTGGTCTAGCTTTTGTTTCAGTTTTACAATGACTTTGGTATGACATCTAATTTCTTTTAAAGATGACAATTATAAGATGTGCAAAGACTTTCTGTATTAATTTACGGGAAGGTCACGAGATCAGATTTAAAGGATGAGAGCCATTGTTTAAAATGGATCCGGCCATACTCTGTGACTAATGTCAAATGCATGTCAGGTGTCAAAGGCATTTGACCTTAGATTACTCATTAATGTTCTTTGGTTTGTCAACTACCTGTTTGACAAAACACGTGTTTGTGCACTCAGATGGCTGGATCCACCTTTTTTTTCTCTAAACATCTTTAAGGGTGTGCCCCAATGTTTAGTACCGTGACCATCAAAAATCCATGTGATAACTTGTTAGATGCCTTCTATTATTTTATTACGCCATTACTTATTGCTGTTCATCATTGATTCCATAAGCTTTGGAGATTTTACAGTGTGTTTTTTGTTGATCAGTCTCATCTGCAGAATTGAATTTGGTTTTGAAAGCAGAAAAAAACAGATCATGTTGTTCTACAATTTTAGTGAGTTACCAGTGAATAAAATTAGATAAAGTTTACTAATCCCCAAATGGAATTTTAGTACAAAACTGATATTAAAATCCAAAGGTAAATCTATATAACTTGTTACAAATGATAAGTACTGGATTTTTATCATTATTGATAGAGAGCTAACTTTTAAAGCACAACCTGCAAATTTGGTCAGTATTTTACAGTATTTTAGAAATAATTCCTCCGCTTGGAAACTTTTTGTATCTTCACTATTTCTGTCTTCACTCGACTTTGGAAATGCACTGAAATACTGTTTATCACTGCTTTGAGCTTTGTCACCGATTATTCATGGCCCACTTATGAATTATCATCTTTATGTTAAGTCTGACTTAACAGGGCTGAGTCTAACTTATAGAACTATTCGGGACTTAGCTCCTTTGCATTTATGTATATAGCTTAAAGAAACAAAAAAATTGTTCCCTGTCTGTCCGGGAAATGGGGCATGCTCTTTTGCTGCTTTGTCAACATGGAATAAACTTCACAGTGATTTAAAGCTGTCAGACCTCATCTCACTTTTGCTCTGCCTTACATGACAGACAACAGAAGACCTTAAAACAGCATTTTAAACTGTTATCTATCAACTCTTTCTGTACTGTATTAATCATGTAATATTTATTAAGACATGTGCTGCTGACCTCTTGGCCGGGTCACTCTTGACTCTCCTATCAGCCTGCTGAAACCATAACATCTAGCAAAATAAAAAGCACATTCAATGAGTGCACAATAAAAATGTCAACAATGTTTTGTCAGTGTCGAAAGGAGACAGTTTTCTCAACTTGTACAGACGCTGGTGTCTATTTTTGCACACAGTACACAGAGTCCATGAAGGGTGCAGTAAATGACAGGTGATTGTTTGGGCAAAAACAACAAACCGTGTTTGCAAAGCAGCTTGCGTGTGCGAAACTCAACAAAGATATCTTGGCAATGTGTTTGGTGACGCTCTCAGTAAATGGTGCTAATGTATGATTTTTATGCCAAAAATAATAATTGCATGCTATTACCATCAGCTACAGCACAACAGGTTTGGTTTGAGATGTAAGCCAGAGCCAAATTACATCCAAGGGGCACGGCCAAGAAATACTATGAGACTGTTAAATAACGCAATGGTGTTGTAACTGTTTTCTTTCTTTGATTTTTGTTGTTTAATTGAAGATTTTTGACAAAAACCTTTGGCTTAAAAATCTATTTTCAGCCAAAAATTGACAAAGCAATCAAAGTAGCTAAAGATACTTGTAATGGTGAAAGGGGACCACTTTTTTGTGGGTTAAGGTTTGTGGTGGAGGTAAGCAGACGAGGAATGAGACACCGGCACCCCCTGTTGGTAGATACCAAGTGCACTTAAAAAGCAAACATTAATTTACAGTTTTAAAAAACAGTGTCATCAAAATAATATTTATTTTAAAAAGAGATCAGTCAGTGGGGTCACCACACCTTGAAATTAATAATCACTGTCTTATCCTCTGCTTTATGTTAAAATTGGCCATCAAAGATGGCCTTGACATCTTGAGGAGTGAACTGCGAGTACTCTGACTCACTTTTTTAGCCTGAATCAAAAGGCCCTGGAGGTTTCCTGCCATTTTTCTCTGGTGTGTTCCCTCTCAAAGAACAGGAAAGGCAGCTCTGTTTCCCACACACTCACACAGGTTCCATATCAATGCCATTTTACAGTGTGATTGCTACGGCACACAATTGAGCAGCTGCAGAGTCATTGTGAGACTCCGAGGCTTTGTGCTGCAATATTACACCAAACTCCTTTAACATGCATTTGTATTCTTTGGAATAAAACAAAAATTTCCCTCTCTGTCTGCTTGTGAATGTCATTTAGCAGTTTATGGAATTTGTTTGTGAATCTTGCTGCTATAAAATGTCACTAAAGATGAACTGGTTTAGCATTTCCAGCTAATTCTGTACTATCGAGAACAACAATCTTATCAACATATGCAGACGTTCTTGCTTCACTGTATGTGACTCTGT